TACCATTTTATATTCATGTTTGACCTCCAGCTCTCTTTACCAATATAAACTTTTGCCTTTTTTAAGCAGGAAAGCCTGAGCAGGGGCACAAATTAGCCTATAGCTAGATATCTTCCAAGCAATACATCTGTAACCTGTGACAGTATTTTTTGCCTAGTCCCTGACAAATAAACTAATAAATAAATAAACTTTATTTAGATTGTAGGGTCAAAATTTGGAGTGACACAGATGCAGAGACATAGTTGCTGACCTACTCTGCTCATTAAAAATGGACCTTTCGCCAAGCCCTTTGTGATGGTCCGACAAGCTGTCGCAGTAAGCATGGAGCCCACACTGTAACTAACTGCACTCCCTGAAGAAATGTGATCATATTTTTGGAAAAATAAAAGAGTGATTCCAGAGAGAAGCAGACAGAGGGGTCTACAGTCTGTGTTTGAAGGATATATCCAGGATGTCAAACTGACTCAGCAGCAACAACAGGTTAAAAAGACAAAGATAGTTAGAAGCTAAAGCCGAACTATAGGCTACAGATCACAGTGTAAAAGTGAACCACCACATCACTGCTGATCGCCACAGAAGAATGAATATAAAGGGAAACTTTGCTGATATTGAACCAGCTGTGTGGCATCGCAGTGTGTGCTAGTGCTGCACGATTTGATAAAAATGTGCGATTGTGATTATGGTGGACAATATCGCGATTTGCGATTGTGATTACAATATAATTATAATATACAATATAATAAATAAATGGTATCATGAGTGTTTTTGCTTGATTCAGTGTTTCCCCTACATTATATTAGGGGGGCACTGACCTGACATAGTTATTGTTATGGACAGACAATGTGTCAATGACCATCAACAGACTGAGCACAGTCAAACACGCTGCTCACACAGCAGCGCAGCACGGAACTGTACACACAGTGGAGTGAGCATATGTTGCGTTCAGGCGTTGTCATGTAAATGACAAATTCCAGCGCCATAGCACAACACAGCAGCATGTCAAGTGGGCCGAACCCGAGCAAAATTGCCCAATTTTTCATTTGTTATGGAGTCCATGATTTCCCTGTGAAACTTACAAATGTTTGCTAAACTGTGCTTAGATGTTGTTTTATGAGGCTCTAGCAGCTTTCAGTTGTCTCTTTGTCTTTAACGTTACACGGCTCGGCTTTCTCTCGCATGCACTCTTCCTACTTTTCCCTGTGCTGTGCTGTCTCAAGTGTTGATATAGATTGGTCGTGTTGCCGCGGGACGTGGCGACTTTAACTTTTAAACTTTTACACAGCACATCTTTCAGTTCAACACCGCCGTATCTGAATCCAAAGTATCGCCATGTAACAGACGTTTTTTTCGCCACCAACTCAGCCTGTTCATGGTCGTGCTCATGCTCTTCTTCAGCGTCTGTGTTGGTCACTGCTGCACGCCAGCTGCACGCACCAGGATAGCTTGTGGGCATGATGTCAACAAACTGCCTCTCCTGTAGTGTGTGGAGTCACGTTCACAGGCACACACGTTAACATTTATTTACATTAAATCACAAATCGCAGCCTTTTATGCGGTTATGTAATCGCACAGCCTGACATCGCGATTGCGATTGCGATTAGATTAATCGTGCAGCACTAGTGTGTGCAGATGAACAGTGTTTGGCTTTGCCCCCCCCCATGCCACTGCCAGCACCCTGACCTTTGCCGCCAGACTAGGGGAAGTCAAATCATATTCATCTGCACACACTGCGATGACACACAACTGGTTGAATATCAGCAAAGTTTCCCTGCTTCCCTTCACTGGTTCCTGTACAGCAGCGTCGGCCTTTGTTTCACTGTTATAATCATCAAAAAGCAAAAGCAGCATGTGTATACATTCAGTAGGCTGTATCTTCAGTAACTAGCTAGCTAATCCTAGGGTTTGATTTTGGTTTTGGAACAGGGAAGAAACGTTTATCTTTTTCCAACCTCTCCAGGTAACAAGTATCATTAATACACGACGTGCCCCAGGCACAACATTTAGCTCCAAATCCACAACACCAGCCTGAAAATGAAGGAAATCTAAAATGATTGCATTAGAGTCAATGAAGCACAGCCATGTTGTGGCCTTAGCTGGCCCAATGCTATGTTATGATTGGCCTGTCTGCATCCAGGCGTGGGACTTAGCCAAGGGTCAGTTGTATTAACTTAACCTTATTTGTTCAGGTGAGATCCAGGTCACAGATACACACCTTAGTTTACTCTTGAGCCATTAACAGTCTGCAGACCGCAACATCAACAAAGCACATGCTGACTGAGGTAGGAAGGCAGGGTTGGTAGCACTGAAGATGTTCAGCTTGACGTAAGGGTATTTGGACAAGCTACTCCTACATGCCATGGGTATGGTTATAGACTAATTATTATAGCACTTCTGACTATTTGGCTCTATACATCATTTGATATATAAGGAGAGAAAATGGGGAAATAACAAGACAGACCAACAGGTACTGTGTCATTTCCGTGCAGTGATGGATTTTACCTGTAGAAGCTTATGTATTCTAAAACTCTGCTCTGCTTCGAGACTCTCAGCGTGCACACTCCTGCTTCCCTCGCCTCCTCTTGTCCTCCTGCTCTCCATATGTCTCTCAGCTCCACTTTAGTGCTCTCCATTTCAGCCCATTAGGGTCATCAAACAAAATTTACTGCCCTTTAGTCCCTTCCCCTGAAAGGCCTCTCTTGCTGTGCCACTGTTCCCTGAGGCCCAACAGTGTTGTGTTGTGTGTGTGTGTGTGTGTGTGTGCCAAGCAAGGGAAAATGCTCAAGTCCGAGTGCTTTGCGTGTTGTTGATTTTGGATTGTTTACCCCTTCATCTCTGGATACCACACGACTTTAAATTGCTGTTTTAATGACTTTATGAGAGGCAATAATAATAAGTTCACACTGTGAACAGCTGATGTTCTTAACCAAGATGATTTACAGTGAGAACAATTACAGCAGAGTTTTATAATGCTGTGAGTCAGTTTTAATCCTTTGGCAGGAGGGCGGGGAAGTTGTTTGCAGTGGAATGGAACTAGTGGAATTGTGGATGAGTCCATGATTGGGTTTGTTTTAAGTGCAGACCTGTCAGGATCTGAAATATTGGCCTTTCGTGCAGAGTTATCTTGAGCCACGGCTTTTGATATGGGGACATGAGTCATCATATTGCTGTTAATGTTAAGGGAGAAGTCCTACAGTACGAAGCTTGTAAAAACGTTCAGCTCAGTCATGTTGACATTAATGTTAAACCTGCTTGAACACCCATACAAGCAGAGATGCATGTCCTAACCTGAGAGTCAGTAGAAGGATGACAGAGGTACGGATTTTCATTCAGGTATTGCAGTGCAGCTTGACTGTTAGGAAATGTATTTGACAGTTTAAACGTCTAGTGTAGGATTTAGTTGCATCTAGCAATGAGGTTGCAGATTGCAATTAAATGAAACTTCTACTGTATTGTAGAACAACATGGCAGACTTGTAGAGAAGACTTGCTTAGAGTGTAGATATAAACAGCTGATTCTAAGGAAACAAAAACACAACTGTTCTTAGTTTTGGGTAATTATAAACTAATGAAAACATGGAAGACAGGTTCCCCTTAATACTACTCACTGGACCGTTGATAGAGGAGAGCTTTATGTAATTGTCTAATTCCCACAATTGCAAATGTGAATGTGATACTTGACCTACGATAATGAATGCTTAAGATTAAATGGTTACTCCAGCAGTTTCGGAAGTGTTAACATTAAACATACTGTGTGGTTTGACTTCAATAGGGAATTCAGTGGGAACCATGGAAATGTTAATTAGAGGCAGCACAGTCAAGTGTTCTGGAAAGAAATGTGACCAAATCAGTAGTGATGTGCAGTTTTTGATGGCAGATGGGTCGAGGGTTACTGTCTTCGAAAGATGAGAAACTAATTGACTTGAAGGCAGACGAAATAATGCCAGATGTCAGTGAGGAGTTGATGACAGCTTTAAAAAGGGGCAGAAGGTCTGCAGCTGTGGTTTTTCTGAGGGTTGTCGGAGACGAGTTAAAGTCGTTTTTAAGTAGGAATTGTAATTTTTGACATAATGATTTTTCATTTGTTGACATTAAAACGTTATTTAACACATTTTACATGCGAGAATTAGATGGCAATGCTATTATTGTTGTATTCTGAATAATGATTTGATATACTGTGCGTCACAGATTCTTCAAATCTCTGTGGGCAATCCTAGTTGCCAGAAAAAAAATGTTGGCATTGTAAGTTTATGGAAAACCACAGTTTTGTTACCTTTGCATGTTATTATACTTTGAAATGTTATGTTTCAACATTGCTGTGGTTGATGTGTGTTTATGTTAAGTCACAAAAACCACTTGGTTATAGTAAGGAAAAGATCATGTTTTGGCTTAAAATGCCTGTGTTTGGGGGCACAGTCTCAACAGGAAAGGCAGCAATTTCTCTGTGAAAAACAACCGCTGTTAGTGCCATTATCCCAGCAAGAAACACAGCACTGTCTCAGTAAAGAACAACTGCTTTTTTGTGGCACTATTGCCACAAAAAAGTCACCACCAAACACCTGTGTTTAGAGCCTAAGAAGCTGCTGGAAAAAAACACAAATGAGTTACCACAAAACACCCATTTTTGATCCTTAAAAGCCAATGGAAACTTAGCAATGACTCATTAAAATAAAACCAGTTTCGAAATTTGTTGATTTCAAACACCTGTCAGCAGTGGTCTGCTGTTCGTCAGACACCACTTGCTCTTTCCACGGATGACAAAGTCAGCTTATATACGCTGACACTTCAGAAACACTGATATGATGTGTATAAAATGTGCAAATGTAACATCTTTGTGCTTTGCAGAAACTCACAATGCCAACATTTTGCTCTGCTCTGGGGGTCAAACGGGTCCCCCAAATTATTTGTGCACCACTCATTTCTCAACATATGACAAACCACATATCCGCTGTTGAAATATCTGAGCAGCAAATGAGCCCTTATACTTATTTTGTTTCTCAACAGAATATGTTCTTGGCCCGAGGGAGTTCTCGAGGGGATGGGACAGTGCCTTCAGGATCCAATCGGAAAGGTTCAATAGGTCGTGGGGATGTCTTTGTGGTAGACGAGGACACTGACTTGTTGGATCCAGTCTTCCAAAATGGTGGACAAGTCAACCCTCAGTGGAAACCTTCCAGAAATGGACTTAAGGGAAGCCAGAAGGGAAAGCCTGACACGTCCTCTAAACAGTTTGAGGAGAACATTACCACGGATAAGAAGGCCAGCTCTGGTGGGCGGACTTCATCGCTGTTCCCCGGAAAACCATCCGGTGACATCATTGACCTCGACATCGCAGGTGTACCTAAGAAGCCCTCAGTGGAATTTCATGTACCTAAGATCCCATCAGTTCCCAGAACATCCACAAACTCTGGGACATCAGCAAAGACGGGAATCCAGAAGCAACCAGACAAGGAGCGCCCTGCCACTGTTACCGTTGTATCCAGAAATGGAGACCTAGTCCTGGGTTCAGATGGCAAAATGTACCGTCTCCAGAGAGGACCACCGGGCCGAATGGGTCGCCCAGGGCCAGAGGTGAGTGGTGTTATGTTGTTCTCTTTGCTTTAATACCCCTGTTTTAATGCTACCATTTGCATCCAAGTGTGATCAGTGCATTTTTCCTAAAGGCCAGTAAAGAAAGGAGGAAGTCCTCTTTAGATTGCTTTGTCTGATGTCAGCTGCTCAGTTAGAAATGATTGTTTTTGTAGTTCATATTATTGCATTTGTTGGATATTGTTTACCAAAGCCAAGGCGTGTTTTGCACTGATTAACAAGTCATTTGATGTATCACATCAGAGCTATCTGTTGTCAGATAAGATAAAAAAGTTAGGACAAGCCTTGTGAATGAAGAACGTGTGACGTCTGTTTATGCTTTACAGCTTACAAGAGCTGTTCTCCATCAGCTGCCATCTGACTCTGATCAGGGAAGGTTGCACTGCTCAAACATATGTTGATCCACATGTCTTTGATGCCGCGATCTGAGCACGAAGAGCATAAACCGCACGGTTAAGGAGTTTCAACAGTTTGTCATAGCATTACTCAATGTGACAATCTCAACCCCTGGCTGCAAGTTATTTGATTGGTGTCAAGAAGTGAAGTCTTTTTATACTATCCAATGGGATGGTTTACCTGGTGTAAGAGGTGGGTCATCACAGGGACTTCAGGGCAGACAGAACCAGAACCAGACTGCACATCTGGTCACGTCTGGGTCAGTCTCTGGAGTCACGCCGTCATAAAATCCACAGGATCACTCAGCACGATTACAGTGATTGAAGACAACTGTAGGAAACATGAAGGAGGACGTCCTGTTGGCTTAGAATACACTTCTACTCTCTTCTCATGTGCTGCATCTCAGGTCTTGCTTTACATTTCATAGAATTGGTTAGCCAGCAGCATAAGCCCCTACAAGTATTGTGTCAAACCTAATATTTTAGTAAAAAGCATATGTTTAAGGGAGGCACAAAAGAGTGTTAACATGGCATCTGATTGGCTGGCAGCGCATTAAGATGGTGCAGTAGTATTTGTATTCCTTAATCACTTTACTTAAACATGAGTCCCTTTTATTAGTTACTATTTGGACGGGATTAGTTTTACATGGGGATGTGGACTAATGTCAGTTTACCACAGGATGTCTGTAATATAAATGTCTGATTAGCACGGGACAAGAAATCTCCGTAAATCTGCCAGAGATGGGAGTGGTAACTTATTAGCCCAATATGAAATATTGCCCATGATCAGGATTGTGTGTACACAACGATTATCAATATGGATTTATATTAGGCCTACCTAGCACAGCCAGAAGTCTTGTGGCTCTGAAAAGTGCTTTCTTCTCGATCTTTTTGATTGGGCTCCCACGTAGGGCTATGCGATCATTATAAGAATGTCCACTATCACGACTGCTGACAACACCAAATGCATCTTCAAGCGCCTCCATCATCAAAAAAACACAGAAAACTAGTTGTAAGCGCGGAAAAATGGTTGTAAACAGGACGTGACGAAATATGTACACACTCGCAGGGGATTAATATACCCAAGGTATTTTCTCCGGACCATTTTACAGAAGGTAAAAGTCGCCGTAATTTTTACTGACATTATCCATAATGATAACAGACATGGTGCGTTTGGACAGGACTAAAATCCCTGGTAATAATTACTACAAATTACTGATTTAAATCAACAGTTGAGTTCATTGATTGAAGCAAATAAAAACCCCAGCTATTAATTGAAGTTTTACAGTATTAATTTATTTTAATGCCAGTGTGCCTCCACTATAAGTACAATTTTGTAATCTTTTCGTTCAGACGTGCTGCATCACCCAAACTGTAAGAACTGAAAGGAAATGCCAAAGTAAAGATGTAGTGAGTTTTATTAGATTTATAAGGCAGTTTAGATCTCATAGGAAGGTGCACTTAAAGGATACAGTGCCTGCAGGATCTACACAGTACCAAGCAGCTTAGACATATAATTACTGTACATCCCAATACTCTTTAAGCCATAAAAGCTTAGTGTTTTATTGCCAGCGAAGGTGTTAAGCAAGTCTCTAAAATGAGTCTTTTACTTCTCAACAGGCAGGCAAATCTGCCACAAACGGAGGTTTTACAAGGATCTGGTGCTTTGCTTGTCTCTTTGGTCACAGATTTTTGCCTCCAAGGAGAAGTAGTAGAGTCTTTAGTTTTGTATTTCTGACAGTTTTACAGTTTGAATGGTTTACTTCTGGTTTTTGGAAGTAGTTGATAAATACTTGAAGGGTTCTTTTTCCTTGTGTTGGTCCTTTGAGCTGTTTTATTGAGGGTTTTTACTCTTTGACAGGGCTGTCCTGGTGAGCCTGGCCTGCCTGGGTTTAAAGGTGATAAGGTAAGAGAAGCTTGTTTACGACATAATAACCTGTGATGATGTGCTAAGTTAGTCCACTTGACTGCTCGGGATTTAAATGTTCCTCTTTTCTGTGCACCCCTGAAATAACATCCGAGGCTACATCTTGTTTTAAAGCTCAATTTTGCCTTCGACAGTTTAATACCTACCACTGTAAACTCCTGTCCCTTCCTCCATTAAGCCCATGTGTCAGTTATTAATGTCTGAGCCCAAATCCTGCATCAAATCACTTCTATGATGTCATTAAAAAAACAAGGCAAACAAGGCTGTGCTATAAAACTAAGTATTCCATAAAGATTGATTTGTCTTGCATAAACGTACCACTTCCTCCTCATCTCTCACAGGGGAAGTTGGGCCCTGAAGGGCGTCCGGGAAAAATGGGGCATCCAGGACCTCCTGGACCAGCAGGTTTACCAACACTCTACCTGTGGAAGAACACATTAGAGGAATGGACTGCCTTTCAGGTAAGATGATAACCACAATGTACTCTTTAGTTTTTTTGGTGCAGTATTAAGAGGAAGTAGTGTTTCTTTTCCTTAAACAGATTTTCCCCCATTGTAATTTCCTCTCTTCATGGGGAGTCTGTCCTCTTTCATAACTTGAGGTTTAAAAAATCAAGTAAAGCTCTTTCTTTTTATAGTTTGGATGATTGACCGCTGGCGACTGTTACATTTTAGACACGTTTCTAGACAGGCAGTCTGGTTCAGCCCCTTGCAAACCACCATCCACAAGTTCTTAAGAAATAGACCCTCTAAGGGGACTTCCCACTGGCAGCTTCCCAGCATGAACTTTGTGTTAATGGTTCTTTCATGTGTACCTCCATAGTATTTTACAATTTAACAATAAAGACAACATGTGAACATGTAAACCCATAAATAGGACTCATAAACATGGCTGCTTGAAGAAATTAAACAAAAGAGTACTTTCTGGATATAATCAGATCCATTAGTGGGTTTTCATAATTATTTAAGAGTTATATATGTTTTGCACTTCATTACTAGTTTTAGTCATACAAGCGGCATGGCTCTGGGGATGGCAGCGTTGGTCTGTCAGTCCACCAACAAGTACTAGATGAACTGAATTGACATTTGGTAAAGACATTTCCGTTCCCTCAGGATAAATTGTAATCACTGGTCATCCCAACTTTTCATCCAGTGCTGTCTTTAGGACAAAATTTAAATTCTTGCAATACTTTGGTTTTTGTCCAAATACTGCAGACCTTAGGGATGCACAATGCTGTCTGCACATCATTGGTATTGGCCGATATTGGCATTAAAATGAAATATTGGAATCGGCCAACATGCCAATTTCTGACGATATGACAAACAGATTTTTTTTAAACTGACAAAGTCAGCATGTACAAAATATCAGGTAAATGATACAGTACAGGTAATTAAAGACATACAAAAATATACTTATTTATAAATGCATATAAATCATACGATGAAATAATAGTACCACACAATGCAAAACAGAAATAAATCGTCTAAAACCAGGGTATTACAAAAGTAGGCCTACATAAATAAAAATACATATAAAAATAAACTGGGGTACAAGCACACAGATAACGAGGTATATTCAGTCAGAGGATTCAGGAAAGAAAGTTGCATGATTTATGGAAATATCAGTTTCAGTTATTGGCCAAATCCAATATTGTGCATCCTTAGCACAACAAATGACATCCCCATCGACCTCAAATGTACATTGTGATAAAAACTCATCACCAAATGTTAGCATGCTAACATGCTAAGCTAAGATCGTGAACATGGTGAACATTTTCCCTGCTGAACATCAACATGTTAGCATTGTCATTGTGAGCATGTTGATGCTAGCATTTAGCTCAAAGCACTTTGTGTATTATCACAGCCTCAGCACTGGCCTTTGTCTTACTTATATATTTACAGTACAGGCCAAAAGTTTGGACACACCTTCTCATTCAATGCGTTTTATTTATTTTCATGACTATTTACATTGTAGATTCTCACTGAAGGCATCAAAACTATGAATGAACACGTGGAGTTATGTACTTAACAAAAAAAGGTTAAATAACTGAAAACATGTTTTATATTCTAGTTTCTTCAAAATAGCCACCCTTTGCTCTGATTACTGCTTTGCACACTCTTGGCATTCTCTCCATGAGCTTCAAGAGGTAGTCACCTGAAATGGTTTTCCAACAGTCTTGAAGGAGTTCCCAGAGGTGTTTAGCACTTGTTGGCCCCTTTGCCTTCACTCTGCGGTCCAGCTCACCCCAAACCATCTCGATTGGGTTCAGGTCCGGTGACTGTGGAGGCCAGGTCATCTGCCGCAGCACTCCATCACTCTCCTTCTTGGTCAAATAGCCCTTACACAGCCTGGAGGTGTGTTTGGGGTCATTGTCCTGTTGAAAAATAAATGATCGTCCAACTAAACGCAAACCGGATGGGATGGCATGTCGCTGCAGGATGCTGTGGTAGCCATGCTGGTTCAGTGTGCCTTCAATTTTGAATAAATCCCCAACAGTGTCACCAGCAAAACACCCCCACACCATCACACCTCCTCCTCCATGCTTCACAGTGGGAACCAGGCATGTGGAATCCATCCGTTCACCTTTTCTGCGTCTCACAAAGACACGGCGGTTGGAACCAAAGATCTCAAATTTGGACTCATCAGACCAAAGCACAGATTTCCACTGGTCTAATGTCCATTCCTTGTGTTTCTTGGCCCAAACAAATCTCTTCTGCTTGTTGCCTCTCCTTAGCAGTGGTTTCCTAGCAGCTATTTGACCATGAAGGCCTGATTGGCGCAGTCTCCTCTTAACAGTTGTTCTAGAGATGGGTCTGCTGCTAGAACTCTGTGTGGCATTCATCTGGTCTCTGATCTGAGCTGCTGTTAACTTGCGATTTCTGAGGCTGGTGACTCGGATGAACTTATCCTCAGAAGCAGAGGTGACTCTTGGTCTTCCTTTCCTGGGTCGGTCCTCATGTGTGCCAGTTTCGTTGTAGCGCTTGATGGTTTTTGCGACTCCACTTGGGGACACATTTAAAGTTTTTGCAATTTTCCGGACTGACTGACCTTCATTTCTTAAAGTAATGATGGCCACTCGTTTTTCTTTAGTTAGCTGATTGGTTCTTGCCATAATATGAATTTTAACAGTTGTCCAATAGGGCTGTCGGCTGTGTATTAACCTGACTTCTGCACAACACAACTGATGGTCCCAACCCCATTGATAAAGCAAGAAATTCCACTAATTAACCCTGATAAGGCACACCTGTGAAGTGGAAACCATTTCAGGTGACTACCTCTTGAAGCTCATGGAGAGAATGCCAAGAGTGTGCAAAGCAGTAATCAGAGCAAAGGGTGGCTATTTTGAAGAAACTAGAATATAAAACATGTTTTCAGTTATTTCACCTTTTTTTGTTAAGTACATAACTCCACATGTGTTCATTCATAGTTTTGATGCCTTCAGTGAGAATCTACAATGTAAATAGTCATGAAAATAAAGAAAACGCATTGAATGAGAAGGTGTGTCCAAACTTTTGGCCTGTACTGTATATGCATATCTACTTCGGCTTTTTTTACTTTTCTTTATTGTGACTGTGTTCTGTGATTGTGCTGTAGCTTTTTTTGCTTCCTCAACTTTGTATTATTTTGGAATTTTGAAAGCATCCTTTAGAAAATTATCTTTTATGTGCCCAGTTCTCATTGGGTAATGGTTCTAGCAAACACCTCTTGGTGCAAATTAGACACATCATCAGTGATGTATCCTGGAGTCATTGGGTGTTTCAGGTCTGTCAACACATACACCCTTGCCCAGGTGACCCAGTTGGGGTTGATCAAGCCCCGGCTTGTGTCTAAGTGGCTTTAATTGACCACGGATCTCACCGCTTGATCCACAGCCATCTTGACGCCTTTTCTGCGGCATCAGCGATGTTCTTGATGGCTCTCCTTGTGTGCAGTCCCTTCACTCCCAGCATCTTGAGTGCCCTAGTGAGAAACTGGCTGATGAATCCTCTGCATCCAACCTCGATAGGGTTGCATCGGGTCCGCCATCCCCTGCTTCGGCATTCGTCTTCCAGCTCCTCATATTTGGCCCTCTTCCTTTCAAATGCCTCCTCCATCTGGTCTTCCCAGGGAACTGTCAACTCCAGCAGGACCACTTGTCACTTGTCACTTTCTGACACCAGCACCATATCTGGCCTGAGTGTGGTCTCTGTGATGTTATCTGGGAATTTAAGCTGTCTCCCCAGGTCAACCTTCAGCTGTCAGTCCCGAGCTGTTGCCAGCAGCCCCCCTGTCTGACTCGGACGCTGCTGCGGCTTCTCCCCAGCTTTGATGGAAGACATTATCCAGTTGAAATATTATGATTTAAAAAGCAAGTACACACCCATAAGGACTCTTTACTGACCAACAACAAGTCCTCTGCTCATTGAGAGAAGTTTGCAGCTTTGCACACTCTCGTAACTCTGAACAAAACCCAGCTGTTCCTTTGATGTTTGGGGGGTAGCATAAAAGTAACTACTCTAATCATAGCTCGGTGGCACAGTGGTGCAGTGGTTAGCACCGTCGCCCCACAGTGAAGAGGTTTTCCAGGTTTGAACCAGCCTGTGACTATGATAGTCTGGTGACCTGTTCAGGGTGTACCCCGCCTTGTCTAATATCAGCTGGGGTAGGCTCCAGCAGCCCAACCAGCCCCCCCACCCCCCATAAAAAGGAGGTCCGTGACCCAATGTGTATCAGTTTAGGGGTCCTTGACACAAAAAAGGCTAAGAACCACTGTCACAGACTGATTGCTAGGAATGTAGAGAGATGAAATAGATGTGTATCTTATCATCTAATTCCTGGTAAGCCTGCACATTACCTAATATCCCTTTAAACATCTTTCAAGTTGTGGTCACCAGACGAGATGACTTTTCCTTGCTCTTCTCTCAGTAAGCCCTCTCAGTAATTTATTGTCAGTCATCTAAAAGAAACACTCAACGACAAATGTTCTTCGAGGTTGCGGCATCTTAGTACTATCTGTAAAACCTTTGACCCTGCAGTCATGGTGCGTGCAAGCTGATGCTCCGTCCTCATCTGTTTAATCTCTCTGTAGTGGTCACAGCTGCATGTTATAGAATACACTCAGCAGTATGTCAGCATGATGGAGAACTGCCGTTTTGGAAAAAAGACGACAGAAATAAAAGTCTGTTAGTAGTTTGTGAAGGTGATTTGTTACTGTATGTGCTTTGAACTTTATGTGGGAACCCTGCAGAGGTTATTCACATACTTAGATTCAGACAGAGTGAGGGTCAGTCATGAGGCAAAGATAGATGTTTAAATACACAGACTAGGAGTTGGGGAGAAGACGGTAAAGTTCAAGTTCTTTTGGTATCATCCATGTACTTTTTTTCCATCGTGTTATTTGTATTTCTGGATCTGTAACTTATCCTGTTTCCATTCTCCTTCAGCAAACCAGTTTCTACCAGTTACTCCGTGCTGGTTGGCCTGTAAGTATGCTGTGATGATTCATGTCTTATCTATGTCGGGATTTAATTGGTTTGTTGCTTCCTGCTGACCCGAGGCTGGTCTCTTCTTTGTGAGCTTGCAGAGTAAAGAAGGCCCTGCAGGACCACCTGGAGAGATGGGCAAGCCTGGCATGCAGGTTAGTCTTTCACAATTATGAAAGCAAATCATGGCATATTAATATCCATGTGCTTTTCTTTTTCTTTTTGTTGTTATTGTTGTTGTTTAGTTGGGTCTTTTTCCTTATGAGAGCGAAAGCAGGCAAAGGCAGTGGAGACGTATTTCTACCTGCTTGCCGATCGGTAAAATCATAGACAGTAGAGGGTAACAATTATTTTCGCGAAGTCTCTCAACGACCTGCCAAAGACAACAGTGACTGATTTCAACAGAATCGCCAACAGTTTATCAGGACAGCAGTAATATAGCATCCATGATTTTCATGCTAATTTACCAAACACGGGCAAATTTTCATTGTAATCTATTAAAACAAGTTTCTATTTAGATGTAAGTATAATACTGACTCACTGGGAGGCACTTAAACTTACCAGGTGGAGATGGTAAAGCACAGTCATGATCAGGGCAAGGGGCTAGGGGTGAGGGACAGTACCTGTACCTGCCGAGGTTACATCCTCTTGACACTCAACACCAAATTACACACTGGCCCTCTCATATGCCAGCTGCTGTTTATGGCATCCTCCCTCGTCATTCCATACAAACCTTGATAGAATAGCCACCTTTTTAAAGATGTCTTAAGCCTTTCAGGGTTGAATATAGATATTCTACTTATTAAAATGAAGACTGCAGGCATAGGTGCCACTGAAAAGAATTAATGAACATGGCACCCTTGTCACTTCTGATCATTGTAGACCAGTGAGCTCAAAATCCATCATTCACTGCAAAGTCATGGAAACTTAAAATGGGTTTATTGTTGGAACAATAGGGGGCACTACAGTGACTTTGGCAACTTGATTTGACTCGATTTCTTAGTGGGAGCGGAGGCGTTAGTTTTTATCAATGGGAACAGTAGAGAACAGGAAGCAAGTATCTGCTGCCTTTGCCTACTTTTGCTCTCAAAGTGCACAGTGTGAAAAGCCCCTATTATTATTCAGTTTGTTTAAAAAACATGTTCATTTACGTTTCTCTGTATTTATGTGTATGTTTATTTACTTTGATTTTACATTTAAACATTTGTCTTATTGTAGTGCTTTACTATCAATGGTATGCTGCTATCACTATTTTATGTGAATGCGCATTTGTAGACATACATTGGCATGTTTCTGTACACTGTTCTTCAAATTAATATTTCATACAGAAATGTAAATTTTGTTGTATCTAACATATTGAAATTGCCCTTTAAATTAAGGACCATCTTTTTTCCAGTAAAATGAATCTTTACATAAAAAAATAAATGCGAATTATGAACCTGAGTATGTAACATGTAGAATAATCTCTTTATGGTAAGTATTTCTGAACTGGTAAATGGTTTCCTGTTTCCTGATCTTCCTCATCAGGGACCACCCGGTGCCACTGGGGAGCGAGGACAACCAGGGATGCCAGGAGAGATGGTAAGCTGCCAAACCATCACATCCTGATCCAGAAATAACTTAATAATTCAAATTGTCACATTGGTTACTGAGATGTTTCAAAACCACAAATTTGGTTTCACACTTGACATAATTTATCTGAATCAGCAGCAAACACAGCTAAATGTGAGCGCGTGGGAGGCCCGTCAGTCAAGGCAGCCAAAAAACAAACTTTAGTGTAATTTAAAACCCCCCATGACTTTTCATTTTCCCTTAAATGTCTTGGTTTTCTTGCAGCTTTATTGAGTTTGTTTAAATTCTGACTCGACACTGAAGTTTAATGATGCGTAGATAACGACATAAACAAAATAAAAATTCACATTTTTGTGGCAGTACAATGACATCAATATGAAAAATACACCCACTGAGTGTAATAACACTGAAATAAATGAAGTGTAATATAGCTGGTGGAGCAGAGTGAGTGCGGTTAAATGGAGTGGGTGTTTGGAAGCCCTCATGCATGCAACTCCCAATGATGTAACCACTCTCATATTGAGAGGATAAACACTGAAATTATTTTTATTGCCAATTTGAGACGTTCCATATTTTTTCCTAAATTTGATTATACTGAGCTGTAGTCGAACCAGTTTTCTCAATTTGTATTGTGTTATTTCACATATGAGACCTCCTTTCTTGTCATTTAGTCAAATCAAATTTGGAAACCTTTGACTTCATTTGTTTGGGTGAAGGGCTTGTTAAGGTAAAGGTAAATTTAACTGTGTCACATCCGTCTCAAAAACCATCTTACATACATAAACATGCGTCCTAGAAGTCCACTGTGAGCGTATGGAAAGTGATAGTCTGGTGCCATATATTGTGTGAGGTCTCGGCTGGGTAATGAGTTGGTACTGGGGACCAAACAGTGCGGTTTGGGATAGTTGGAAACACTCAGTCGCCTGTACAACAGCCTTTGGTGTCTGTTGTGTTTGGATCCCTTGAGGGAGAGAATATAGATGCAGTGTGTTTTTTTTTGTTTGTGTTTGAGTCATTGTGCAGCCTCCATGAATGAAAGCACATTTTTGTTTGTGCAGAAATAACCAGAGGTAATCTTGTCTGTGATGTCCCCTCATTGTCTGTCAGTGCTGACATATGCATGCCGTATACATGTATGTGTGATATAATTTCTTGGGTTGTGTGATGCCTGTGTGGTCCCAGCCAATTGGTCTCCAACTTGAGGCCTGTGGACACAACAAAGGGTCATAAGATAAATCTCAAGATTTGCGAGGTGATTAACTGCAAAGGAAATCTGAAAATTCTTGTGTGGTGCTAGATAATTATACCTGCACTCAAATAAATAAATCAACACCAAAATTACTCTTTAAGGTGGACATTGAATACCACTGGTCTAGACAATGGTCTAGACTGAGCTGTGAAGTCCCCAGTTTGATCCACAGACCAGCAGGATAAATTTTGGTGGACCAACTAACAGAAAGAAAGTTAAAGAAAAGATTTTATTTCTACCACTGAGATGCTCTTAAGCCAAGCCAGTCACCACAAGAAATGAGGCACTGAATGTTTCTTCAGACTATAGATAAGTTTCATTTTATACCTTATGATGTAGTGGATCAATGAAACTTTACACTTCAATAATGCTGTGGTTAACATGAGGTCAAATTTAGGCACAAAACCCTCTTGGATATGGTAAGAAAAAAATCAGGATTTGGACTAAAATACCTGGTTCTGGTGGCACAATCCCAGCTAGAAAAGCAGTGATGTCTTGGTTTCCACTGTGAAAACTTGTGGATGGTACCAATGGAACCATTCTGTACAGTCCCCCCTCTGTTAGGGTACCTAGCACACAGATCTGGTACTAAAAGGTGGAGCTGTGAACACAGCAGTCTGTTGATTGGTCAGTAGAGGACGGTCACTCTGCTCATGGCTGAGTTGTGTCTGATTTTGAGGCTCATGTAACCACTGTTCATACTGTGGAGAGTTTTACATATATTAGTAAACTATAACTATAAAACAAAAGGATGTTTTCCTGCCTCTAGCAGGAGCTGGAGTCGGAGAAAAATATCTTAATTCACTGGGCCGACTGCCGGAAACATTTAAGGTGGAACATTAACTTGTAATGTTACTCAATGTTTGAGTTGACAACGTGAATCCATCAGCACACCCTAAATTTCAATGTGACAACTTTGACCATTAAACTATTTTTTATTGTCTCGCTTGGATGACAAACACTTTTAGTAATGAGTGAATCTTCAAGCTTTTTAAAATATATATGAATTTCGACCGGATTATGTGAGCTGCATATATCCCAATCCTCACTTGGAGAAAACAAAGTGTCATGGAGTGTCGTTCCTGTGGGCTCTGCCAAACACTAAACCCCTGAGCTTGCCTTAGAAGGACTAAACACGCTATTTTTAAATATCCCGTGGAGACAAACTCTCACTGGAACCTGTTCTATTATGTTCTGAAAATGTCAGCGTGCAGTCTCGTTCTATGGACGATAAACAAGGTGCAGACTGATATATGATGAAATGGAGCGCATACTGGACAGAGCAGTGAGTGACAACAACCCCACCCACCTGAAAGTACTGTTTGTGGTGGAAATGCTTAGTGGACCTAGGTTGTAGGTACCATGTCTGAAGGGTTACTTTTCCAAAAAAGAAAGGCCTCTAAATCACAATTGGTCACATGTCGCCCACCATCCCCTCTGCCTCCTAATGACAAAGTCAGCCCATATATGACATCACTTTAGAGACGCTGATATGATACTTATGAAATGTGCAACATATTTGTGGTTTGAAGAAATGAACAATGCCAAAGTTTCCCTCTTGTGACTGGACTGCTTGAGCAACGCCCTTAATCCAGACTGCTCCAGTGAAGCTGCTCAGAGACCAAATGTTTAGACTGTATTTGTACAGGCAGCTTTTCGGTGGGTTTAGTGATGTAATCATTAGTTGATTAAAGACTGTTGTGATTTTCTCTGTTTTATCTCACTGCAAATTAAATATCTTTGGGCTTTTGTCTGTCAGTGAGTGAAAACACATTCTGAAAATGTCACCTTCAGCCCTTTTATGATTTTTTTCTCAACTAGATGATGAATCCAATAATTACTTATGGGAATAGTCCTTGTTGGTGTGTAAATGTGAAAGTGGGCGATCCCAGCAAAGAAAAAAGAGTGCATTGCTTTAAGTGATAAAACCCTCACAAAATAGATGTTGACCTCACTCATCACACCAGTCACGCCATGTGTAGCACTGTATCCATCATTCTCTGCAGCTTAAAATGCAACACTGTCCACTGCCAGCACAGGTGGTGTATCCATTTACTGTACTGATATGTACATGTTTTCCACCTGTCTTCAAGCAGAGTTATTGCAGGGCACAATCTTCTTGACAGTGTGTTGTTATTCAAGTGATGCCTTGTCTGTGTGATGAATAGCTCCACTGACTGGTGGAGAGGGTCAGTGTCTTCACAGTGCAAAGCTATAACTTATACTGTAGCTTTCCCAGTGTGGCTGTATTTTGATATCACTCCAAGTATTTACTGTATGGTTTATTTGATTTTTTTGTTTTACTTTGCCAGTTTTCAGTTCATGTTGTCTTTAAATACCTTGTAAAGATGTCATCACTGTTTACTACCAGGCTGATAAAGATGCAGTGAGTATCAACAGCTGTGGTAATTTATGCTGTCTACTCTGACAGGGCGAGTGGGGTCTCAGGGGCCCTGTAGGACAAGCAGGGGCTCCAGGGAGAGATGGGGAAGATGGAGAAGATGGTCAGCCCGGGCCACCTGGTGCTGCTGGATCCCCGGTAGGCACATTCTGTATAGTAAGCAGTAGGGCTGGGCAGTATGGAGAAAATCACGTCACAATATTTTTTCATCATGATATTGATATAATATTGATATATTGCCCAGCCCTAGTAAACAGTTCAGCTGGTACAAGTACATCATGCGTATATTTATAGTCTGTAAATTATGTGTTTTTCATTGCTGGTATTTGTTTTCCATCTTATCAGGGCCCGTGGGGATACAGGGGAGAACGAGGGTCTAAAGGGGAGAAAGGTGACGAGGTAAGCAATAAAACAGCACAGCTGCTTCTGTAACAACAACCAGTCAGTCCCATTCACATTTTGATTTAATGTTTGTGAAACTGGAGCCAAGACTAGTCTGAGCTGCAGCTTATGAACACTATCTGTCTGTTATAATTTAACAATTCAGCACTTACTGGGAATCCTCGTCGGAAGCGAGACATGGGAGCACAAACATCCTGTCATACAGTCCACACTAACTCTGTTTTCCATAAAGGTCTCAGCCATCTGTCAGTGTGCGGACGGCGCTAACCTGCCTTCACCAGGCTGACTGACAGCAGAAATTTACTCAAACAAAATAGTTTTCATGGCAGCTCTGTGGGAATAAATCAGTGGTTTTCTTATGTAATAATTTATTGATTTTATTTCCCTGCCCTAGTGAGTGGTATACACACAGGCCCAAAATACGCATACACGCACAAACAGGACCTATACATACATTAAATGGAGAGATGTCAGAGTGAGGGGGCTGCCCATGGACAAGCGCCCCGAGCAGGGTGGTCCTGTGCCTTGCTGAAGGGTGCCTCGACAGTGCCCAGGAGGTGAACTAGCACCTCTCCAGCTATGAGTAAAGCGGGAAAAAAAGACTGTGAGACCTCCGAGTGCAGGATGTCAAAAAACGCTTTCAGCTTTCAGTGATTGTTGGCCATTAGACTTTAATGAACTTACCATTTTTGCAGATGAGTTTTACATTTGAGCAGCTGTCACTTTATCCAAAGCCGTTTCAGCACCAAATTACACTTTTCCCCAAACCTTTCTTGGATTAACATACTTTTCTTCAAAACCTTTTTTTCACTTAACAAAAGAAGCTTAAGTTCTCAAATGTTACATATTGCCTCAACAAGGCAGCATTGCAATACTTTTGCAGAAATGAAAAAGTCCAATTGAGTAAATATTTGATGTAAATCAGGATCTGGTAAAAGAAAAAGAAAAAAAAAATTCTGACCAGAAGTTCACTGCCAGACTGCAGTTCTTGAGCGTTTCCATACTCAGTGCTGCGGAGTAGCAGAGAATTATTGAGGGTTTATTTCCAGCTGGAAGGTGAAGCTTTCGATTTGCTGGTCCATCTACTTCCCAACCCTCACCTATGGTCATGAGCTCTGGGTAGTGACCAAAAGAATGAGATCACGGATACAAGCGGCTGAAATGAGTTTCCTCCGTGGGGTGGCTGGGTTCAGCCTTAGAGATAAGTTGAGGAGCATGGACATCTGGAGGGAGCTGGAAGTAGAGCAGCTGCTCCTTCACGTCAAAAGGGGTCAGTTGAGGTGATTCCGGCATCTGATTAGGATGCCTCCCGTTAGAGGTGTTCCAGGCACATCCCACTGGTAGGAGGCCCTGGGGCAGACCCAGAACATGCTGGAGGGATTACATACAGTCAGGTCCATAATTATTTGGACAATGATACAGTTGTCGTCATTTTGGCTCTGTACACCACCACAACGGGTTTTAAATGAAACAATGAATACCTGCTTAAAGTGCAGACTCTCAGCTTTCATTTAAGGCTTTTTTCAAAAATGTAGTATGAACCGTGTAGGAATTACAACCATTTCTTCACACAGTCCCCCAACTTTAAGGGCTCATAAGTATTTGGACAAACTAACATAATCATCAATTAAACAGTCAGTTTTAATACTTGGTTGCAAATCCTTTACAGTCAATGACTGCCTGAAGTGTTGGACACATAGGCATCATCAGATGCTGGGTTTTTTCCCTGGTGATGCTCTGCCAGCCCTTTACTGCAGCCGTCTGCACTTCCTGCTTGTGTTTTGGGTGTTTTGCCCTCAGTTTTGGCTTCAGCAAGAGAAACGCATGCTCAATTGGATTCAGGTCAGATGATATGACTTGGCCATTGCAGAACATTCCACTTCTTTGCCTTAAAAATGTCTTTGGTTGCTTTTGCAATATGCTTCAGGTCATTGTCCAACTGCACTGTGAAGCATCGTCCAATGAGTTTTGAAGCATTTGGTTGAATCTGAGCAGATAATGGTGCCCCAAACACTTCAGCTTTCATCCTGCTGCTCTTGTAAGCAAGACAAGAATTCACTAGAACAAATACAGAGGGTTTATCACAAGATGCAAACCATTGGTTAGCCTTAAAAATGGAAGGCCAGATTAGAGTTTGTCAAAAACCATCTAAAAAGCCTGTACAGTTGTGGAACAGCATACTATGGACAGATAAAACAAAGATCAACTACCAGAATGATGGGAAGACAAGAGAAGGAAGAAGGGAAGGAACTGCTCATGATCCAAAGCACACCACCTCATCAGTGAAGCATAGTGGAGGTACTGTTATGTCATGGCCATGTATGGCTGCCAGTGGAACTGGTTCTCTTGTATTTATTGATGATGTGACTGCTGACAAGAGCAGCAGGATGAAAGCTGAAGTGTTTGGGGCACCATTATCTGCTCAGATTCAACCAAATGCTTCAAAACTCATTGGACGATGCTTCACAGTGCAGGTGGACAATGACCTGAAGCATACTGCAAAAGCAACCAAAGACATTTTTAAGGCAAAGAAGTGGAATGTTCTACTTATGAGCCCTTAAAGTTGGAGGACTGTGTGAAGAAATGGTTGTCATTCCTACACGGTTCATACTACATTTTTGAAAAAAGCCTTAAATGAAAGCTGAGAGTCTGCACTTTAAGCAGGTATTCATTGTTTCATTTAAAACCCATTGTGGTGGTGTACAGAGCCAAAATGATGACAACTGTATCATTGTCCAAATAATTATGGACCTGACTGTATCTCATCTGGCCTGGGAACAACTTGGGGTCTCCTAGGAGGAGATGGAAAGTGTTGCTGGGGAGAGGGACATGTTGAGTGCTTTGCTAGGCCTGAAAAATGGATGGATGGATGATTTCCAGCCCAAGAAGGTCTCATCTGTCTCACCTAAGCTAGTAACAGTTCAATTTTTAAAAGAGAGGTTGGACTTTATGATTTTAAATGCAATTACTGTTTTTTTTTTTTTTTTTGGCTTTTTTTTAGCTTTTAGCACAGCTATGACATATCATCACCTTTTAAGTTGGTTAGCAAACAGTTCACTCTTTTAGCTCTGTTTTTGGTCTCCACTAACTCCTGATGGGGAAAAAATGACTTTAAATCCTCCACTAGTTGCTAATTTTTCCTGTCTGTTCTTTGATTCTGGACAGAAAGTGGAAAAACAATTGTAGAGCTCTACATCTTATGATGTCCTTGTTGCATAAGACCTTTTCTCCAGATTCTGTAACTTGTTGTGTATGTGATTAACACTCATGTGTGCAGGATGAAATAAAATGACCTTTACGCTGTAGATAATGTTTTTGTTCCCTCCACCTGTCCAGGGTCTCGTTGGCTTCAAGGGTCCAAGAGGAGACATTGGCGAACCTGGTGAGAAGGTACTCATTGGTGCAATTTAATTATCATCCATTCTGAATATTTAAATTGAATTTGTCCCAAAATGTTTTTTCTGTCCTGACTTGATTGCTTTAAAACAGACAGACCATACTGGTGAAATGACATCTCATTTTGAATAATACAGTATAGTGTGATGATCTTTGGTCTGTGTGTTTTTCTCTGTGTAGGGCTCTACTGGTTTACCAGGCCCACCTGGTCCTGTTGGATCACCAGTAAGTGTCTTGTACCCTTCTTGTTTAGTTCCTTTTAATAAATGCACCAAACCAAGAATTTCTGCAGGGATTTGACATTATATTCATAACCCTTGGAAAGAAAATATTTGGCTCATAAGCCAGGAGCATTTCTCCTTTATCTGTTACATTAAGCTGCTTATACCTCTGGAATAATTCATGTACTGTCTGTTTAACAGGATGCCACAACATTACAGGATCAATTTAAAACAATAGGAATCAAAGTAACAACTGTCTTTGTGTATTACATTTCCTGTACATCCAACTGGTGTAAAATACGAGGAACAAAACAAACAATCAGCTTTTGTGTTAGAAAGACGTGCGCCTCCGAATCCTTTTTAATCCCTAATCCAGTCCCTCTTTGAACTCGGAGTTCCAGGCAGCGAGGCACTGACTCTCTTCGGTCCATTCTCGGGTTTACTTTGAATCTACTTGGCATGAAATCAGAAACTCTGCCTCGTAGTATTAACACAGGCACTCTGACCAGTTGGGAGTAATCTGTTTGATTAATCCTCGCTTTGAATACAGCGTTTGGTATGTATTTTAATGATATATTGTTGTTAAGTTGACATTGAATACTTGAATCTTCTCTGCAGGGGCCTCAGGGGATCCGAGGTGGATATGGGCCAGAGGGGCCCCGTGGGCCTGATGTGAGTGATGTACTGTCCGATTATACCTGCTCAAGAAGTTGTTCTTAAAGGGATAGTTCACCCCAAAGTCAAAAATTTTTATTTTTACTCTTACCTATATCAGTCTAGATTGTTTAAGTGTGAGTTGCCAAGCACTGAACACACTGGTTGTAGAGTTGTCTACCTTCTTTCAAATATAATGGCACTCAGCTTGTGTTGCTCAAAGCACGAAAATACACATTTGTCTCTTTCCAGAAATCATGACAGTTACTTAAGATAATCCACAGACCTTGTGGTAAGCAGTTTCATGTAGGAACTATATTCTTTCTACCGAATTACACCCACTAACCGTATCACTGTGCTGAAGGAAGAGTGCATCTAGTGCTCTGTTAACAGCACAGCAAAGGTGGAGGCCAATAATGTTTTCATCTCACACTTTCATGAGCATGAGCCTCTCGTCAATGAGTAGATGCACACTTCTCCTGCGCTTCTGCTCAGCAGCTCACATAAAAACAGTCTTGAGTAATAAACGACACTACAGGTAAGAGAAATATGTATTTTTGACTTTGGGGTGAACTGTCCCTTTAAGCATGCCTTTCACACACTTCATTACTCCTTTACTGCTTCACTATATTCTCATGTGGTGATCTTGACATTTAAAGGAACAAAGGAACAAAAAACATAAATTTAAAAAAAAAAAAAAGATATAATCATCCCACAGCAACTGATACAACAAGTGACATTCGTGCCAAAACACACACACACACACACACACACACACACACACAAACAGTATGTCATTTTCAAGGTATGGAACTTGGCCTCTCTTTGAGATGTAGCTCCAAAGAAATGATGATGTTTAGCAGTTGTATACTTGAACTGGTTTTTCAACATTATTTGGCCATAGAAGCCCTGGACCTTTTGCAGCATTAGCAAATTAGTAACATTTCCTAGACACCAACCTATCCATCCACTTTCTAAACCACTTTACAGCATGCTTTGAGCATCAGGAGGCATGCATGATGAAAATGGTGGTTACCTGCTTTATACAGGCTGTTTGGCTTCATACAAACTTCAGCATAGTTAATACACTAAACTAGGGGTGAGTGGTTAATGCCTGATTATTATTTTGGGTGAAGTGTCACTTTTATAGTTGTATTCACTGTGAGCGATTCTGAACTGGTGGACAATAAGCAGGACATCACTCATGTTGTTATGAACTTGTTGTCACCAGGGCGAGAGTGGACTGGATGGCCCTCCAGGTCTGCCAGGGCCGACGGTGAGCAGACAGACGGATTAGATGACAAAATATTTCTCTGTTAGTGCCAATTATGAATATATGTATGATACTTACTTGTGTGTGTGTGTGTGTGTGTGTGTGTGTGTGTGTTGCAGGGTGCAACAGGAATAACAGGACGAGTTGGTGCTCAAGGAGTTAATGGCTCAAGGGTAAGATTGCACCATAACAGCTTAGTCAGTGCATTTACATGCACAGTTAAGCCTAGTGACAGTTATAGCTCAACCAGGCCATTTAATTGGTCAATAAATTGATTCCCAGTAGACAGTAGTCCAAAGTATGTCTGAACCTGCTACAGTGGGGGTCAATATGCCCTCTTCAGCTTATTAGTATTGGACCTTTTTCCGGTTGACCACTTCTGTCACAGACCAAACAATCGTCCAGCTGTTCCGCCACTTTTTAAAACAGGACACCATCCAGTGTTTTCCTCCCATCATTCTATTGTAAAATATTTAACCGTTTCAGCTGACACAACATGGACTGTGTCTCCTCATCTCCAACAGGGCACAGCTCTGGATGTAGATTTTGCCATTTTGTTACGCATTTAATGCCATTCGACTTCCGGGTCAAAGCCTGGGGCAGAAACTGTGGAGCAGGCGCAGAGCTCCTAGGCCAATTTGGGTTTGATTGATTGTGTACGTACAGGAGTAATTCGACTCCCAATCACATATTATCTGGGTGTGTTAGTCCGACTTTAGAAATACAATTGAGTGCAATTTTGGTGGTACTAACGTGTTTGCATGTATTTTAAAAGTCTGGTTTAAGTCGGATTAATATAATGAATTGATTTTCTCTAATGCCATGTAAAAGTACTGTGATATGTAAATTAAAAGGGATTTTCCCAGGGGATGCAATTTATAATGGCATTTATCAGTTAATCTATTATTTGTTAGACTGTTAAATGTTTAAATAAATAGTTAAAATTGTCCCACCACAAATTTCCAGCCTAAGATGCCATCCTCATATTCCTTGTTTCGTCCAACCAACACTGCAAAATAAAAAAAATCGCAAAGATGTTTAATTTTTAATGAGAACTTCTCAAAATTCTCACATTTAAGAAGAATGTTTGCTATTCCTGCTAGACTGATTAAATGATTAATGGATTTTCAAAATTGTAATTGGCAGAGTAGAAATAATGATGTGTTAAATGAAAAATGAAGCAGATATAATTTATTTACACTTCATGTCTGGAAAGTTTCACAGAAATCAAACAAAGTGTCCAAACTTAGTTTGCAGGTTACTTCCTGTGTATAAATAATTCATCATTTCTTTCAGGGGGACATGGGACCTGCTGGCAGTGTTGGTCCCAAAGGCCCACAGGTATACACTGTGTTTGATTATAAATTTGCTGCAGTTATTGAGCTTGCTGCACATGTTTAGAGACTCTTTGGCACCTTCCTTTTCTTTTGATTAGGGGCCCCCAGGTTTGGAGGGACAGATTGGACCTCCAGGACTCAGAGGAACTCAAGTGAGTACAATTTAAAGCATGACTCTTAATGAGGACTTTTGGCTGCTTCATTCACATTGCAGCCACCAAAGTGCAGGAGGTTAAAGTCAATGTGTTCATCTTGACAGGGGCATCCAGGACTGATTGGTGCTCCTGGACCTAAAGGAGATCCTGTAAGTTTGTTCTCAAGATTCATTTTGTCCCTTTTTTCCCTTCTTTATTTCTTTAAACCAAATCTCAAAAATAGTGGAGCTGCACACAGTATAAGTCATGCAAGAACCTCTAGTGTGAAATAAAAATCAGTATATCATTTATATTTGAGGTACAGCCTCATGGATGACTGAGGGAAAAATGTAAAGTCGAACTTAGGTTCAGTGAATTCTCATGTGGAGACAGTGAACAAACACACATGCATGGTAAGCACAGATTCATTCTATCAGCAAAATGAAATGTCAAGTACAAGGGACAGATGTTTGATCGTAAAAAAAAAAGCAAACCAGACGATGTTCATCAAGAAATCATGAAGTCTATCTCACTCTGAAGTTCAGTGTCACTGCAGCGGGAGAGCCTTGTTTCTTTTGTTTTGCTCAAGTAAAGTTAACCTCCATCATGAATTGTTCAGTTACGTAATGTTCACTGTGGCTCATTTTGCTGCAATTTTTATAATGGTTTATAAAAATTAAGGAGGTGGGGAGATGTGTTGAATATTCAGTTTCCATTTGGAAAATACAGGACAATGGAAAAGACTTTAATTTAGGCAAGTTGTATTATATATCCTACAGATAAGGTTAAAGCTGCAGTAGCTTTTAATATGACAAAAACTTCTTTTTTTAGCTGTCACTGTATCCTTACAGTAGTACATGAGGCAGACGATGCTGCTCTGCTGCTTCATAGTGCTCCTAATGAAATTTTCAAGAATCATGAAAACGACCAAGTCGAAGAAGAGTCTCAAACTCAGCTGTGAATCATGTCAGCAACTGCTCTTGAACTGCAGTCAGACTGTCAAACTTGGCAGCGCTGATCAAATATGAATCAAGATTCTGTTGATGCATTGCCTGTTTCTCACCTCAAATGTTTTCAGAAACATATTTTATGTACTGTTTAGTTGAAAAATGAGAACGTTTGTGACCTGACTGCCATGTTGGAAAGAGTAGATTTGAGACAAAGAAAGGCCCAACAGCTGGAGCAAACGTTCTCATCTTACTATTGATTAATATTTGATCAGTGCTGCCTCGTTTGACAGTTGGACCGCAGTTTACAACAAGTGATTGACAGCTGCTCTGTCTGAAATAGGCCTATGTTTGGCCAGAGTCTCACTTCATGGACTGAATTTTCTAAAGCCTGAAAACAGAGCCAAGCGGAGGTATACAAGTCTACTGTTCTCTCAGACCACTTCAATTACAATATGCTTAAAGGCTATAATGGGATTTTTGCCAAATTGCTCCAAAGTTATACTGCCTTCCCAGCTTTAATGTGCAAGTCCAAAGGACTTCAACATATATGTTATATCAACATATAAAGGCAGCTGATAAGAACAGGAAATACAGTACGTTATCCCTGTTTTTACTTCTGTGTTGTTTCTTTTCTTTCTGTTCATATCAGGGGCCTGTTGGGCCCATGGGGGCTCGAGGGGATCCCGGCTTCGAGGGGCCCATGGTGAGTTGAAGTTGAACATATTCTCCAGGGTATTACATCATTACAATACAGTACTGTAGGTGCACACACTGTGTGAACAGACTAGATGTAGATAAGAGTGCTGCACACAGAAGTGCTCTCACAGCAGACTGCAGCCTCACAGTGCCATCTAGTGGTTGTAGCCTCTCAGTGGATCACAGTACAGTGTCTTATGTGTTCTTCATTCTTATGATGCTAGACCAATGTCTATTTATCCTTTAAATTTGAATAAATGGATGTGATCATTTCACTTGTCTACACTTTGAATAATTTGCCTCTAATTTGCATCATGGTCCTGAAGCACCTAATCCATCATCATCTTTTTGGGATATTTTACAGGGTGCTGTAGGGACACAGGGTCCTGTGGGTTTCCCTGGGGTTACAGTAGGTGCTCATTATAGATTTACAAATACTTACTGTAAAATATTATTGGCTTTGACCATTTTCTTCTTTACAGGGTAACAGGGGACCAGACGGGGACAAAGGGGAACCAGGACCAAAAGGCGACAAAGTAGGAGCCAGCTACTTTTTGTTGACTCAATTACACTCAAAGAAGAGAATAATACAATGTCATTAAGTTTCTTAACACATTTTGGAATATATGCTTATTTGAGAGTTGCATCTCCCTCTAACTGGACGTGTTGTGAACAAGCCAGTGACTGAACATCAGATTTTTTTCAGTGTTTTTAAATGAAGTGTGTGGCTTGTTTAAAAAAACCTGTCCTGGCTCTATTTTAGTGAAGTTTTGCACACCTGCAACCTAATTTCAGGGCAACAAGGCATCGCTTTGGCTGACTCAGCGCTCAATAGGCTCCCTAAATATTGTTGTCACGCTTAGTATATCTGGACACTTTTTCATGCTCCATCCTCCATAGTTTACTTGCTTGCTGTATGTCAGGAATAGGTGTTGGACGAGAGCATCGATATCTCTCTCATGTCTTTATGGGGAGTACTGTATGATGCTACAGCCAGCAGCCGATTATCTTAGCTGAGCACAAAGAAGTAGATATAGGAAGAAAATAACTAGCCTGGCTCTTTCCAACACCAGCAAAGTCTGCCTACCCACACCTCTGATGCTCACTAGTTCCTCACTACATGTTTCTTTTGTTTTATCTGTACAAAAAACCAGTGGTACCATCACATGCGGCCTCATGCAAGAACATACTTTTACTGTAAACCTCTCTTGCTTTTTTTCTGTATACCCCACAGTAGGTGATGTTACACTGTCAGGTACAAAAGTTCTGTTTATCATTTTCATAACAATTACAGAAGCAGTTGTCAATGACTATTTTAAGTATTAGGCTGCCTCCAATAATGAAAATTAAATGGGGCACCGGTAGCGTAGTGGATAGTGCCGGCGCCCCATGTACAGAGGCGATGACTCGCCGCAGCAGTCGCAGGCTCGATTCCGGCTCGCGACCATTTGCTGCATGTCACCTCCCGCTCTCTCTCTCTCACCCCGCTTCACTCTGTCCTGTACATTAAAGGCAAAAAGCCCGAAAAAATAATCTTTAAAAAAAAAAAAAATTAAAAAAAGAAAATTGAATGTTTATTTAAAAAAATAATGATACAAATAAAAAACAAAATAGACATACAATTATGCAAGTCAAAATATATCTAAAAATATTACATGAATAAAATATATTATAAAGTAATAAAGACAGTAAGTGCAAATGAATGAACTAACTTCTTTTTCTTTAGCTGAGTTATATCTATGTCTCAGTTTAATCCATTTAAATTCATTTAGATTAAGGCAAATTAGTGTTTTAGTCCGGCGCAGAAAGGCAGACCATCTATACATGACGGCTGCTGCAGGTCTGAACTACTACGTTCTTGCATGAGGCAATGTGGTTTTACTGGGGTTATGTGCAGGACTACTTCTTGACAGTGCACAGTCACTTCCTGGACTCCCTGCTGGTTGCCTGGCAACATCACAGTTGAAACTATGCATATAACGTTTCATGTTTTGTATGATTCAGAAAGGTCTCTGTGCCGAGTGAGAAAATTTTCCTTCTGTTTTTACCTCAGGGTGTTCAGGGAGCAGCAGGTATTAGGGGACCTCAGGGAGAGAGGGGCCCCAGCGGCTTACAGGGTTTCGCTGGCATCAAGGGCCAGCCTGGCCCCAGAGGCACTGAGGTACTGTGGAGAGAACTGACACACTGATCTACATTAGTAATTGTGCAGAATAGATTTTCTGACAAAGAAAAGAAAATATTTCTAAGGTTGAGAATGAACTGTGATACTTAGTAAATATTCTAGTTTATGGTTAATTATAAGAAGGTTGAGCTTAGAAATACTCTTTGAATTCACAATTTTACTTCTTATAACAAGTTGATTTACAAAAACAGAATGAACTTTATTGCCAGATTATTATCCCACAGTGTAGCACAGTATTTGCAGCACAGTATTGTATTACATGCTTTTAGCCGGGAGAAAGAAGCTGCCTGGTGGAGGTGAAAAAGGCGATAAGCTTGAATGGTTTTATATTTCTCCATTCAGGGCACAAATGGAGAAACTGGTCCTCAGGGGAAACAGGGCAGCCGCGGGTTAAAGGTCAGTGATGATTTGTGCATCTGAACACCATGAAATGTCAGATGACTTCATATGTTGTTCCACATGTCGCATTCAACCGTGAAACATTAGAGCCTCCAGTGGCCTCCTGCATGTACATTTAACAATCTAATATTGTGCAGTGAATGACCAACATTTAATGCAATAACATGAATTTAACACCTTCCTGCTTCTGCACCTGGTCAGGGAATATATTGTGATGTGTCATCTGTTTTGAGGGAATTAGATCCCTGCTATATGTTGATCTAAAATTAAGCAAATAAGGATGTAAGGAGTAATTCCCTCTTAAAACATCCAGTGTTCATCAACATCACGGGAGAGCTTTCTTCTGTAATGAATTTTATGTTGATGAGTGAAGCACAGGAGACAAACAACTCGTTGACCAGCTTTACTCAATGATCAGCAACAGCTAACAATGGTAGCATCAATGAGGCTTAGCATACCGGACTCTCAGCATCTCTGCCCTATTCCTACTCCACTACTTACATCCTTACTATTCACAGTCTCATAGTGACAGCTACTGGTGAGTGAGCGTAGCATCAATCATAGTCCATATCAAGTTTGAATTGTATGTGCATGCTGCATTAAAACCACTGACAGGTGAGGTGATTATACCACACCCCAAAAATTGCTCAGGAATGGCCCAAGGAACGTGACAAAGAGCTCAAGATGTCGACCTGGCATCCAAATTCCCTGCATCCCAATCTGTTCAAGCCTCTGTGGGACATGCTGGTAGACCAAATGCCCCGTGTCCATGCCTCAAAGGGTCAGAGCTAATGTTCTGATCCAGCCCCAGGGCCACTGGGGGTGTCATGTGGTGTCTGGCACCAGGGCGTTGGCGGCACATCATACGGATCCTTTGAGTCTTGTTAGTTACAAGTTGGGGCCTCCATGAATCAGACTTGTTCTGATACGTCTCACAGATGCTCGATCACAATGAGAGAGAACAGAATAGAAATCAGAACAACATCAACATTAAAACAAACACAATGAAGGCAGTTTTTGTTGTGGATATTGATGGTCAACCATAGTCACTAATATCTGAACTTCCTTGAAGGGAAACAGGGGACCAGATGGACGTTACGGCAAACCAGGACCCAGAGGGAACAAGGTATTACAGTAAAGTTTAAATAAAATATGTGTATAACCCTAATAGAAACTTAACAGTATTGCCAAATTAAAGCTAGCCTACAAATAGCTTGGCTTCAGGTACCTGTTGTATAATTTTTGTATTCCACTAGACTTATTTGGTGTTGATGTCACCTTCTGTCTTTACCTCCTTTTAGGGTCGGACTGGGCAGAGGGGCCCCACTGGCCAACCAGGTCCATCGGTAAACTTTAAGCCTGTCAGAAATTATTTGAAATGTAGCCAACCCTGAATTCTATATGTATTCAAAATGTAGGTCTTTAACAATTCTGAATATTGGTGGTACAAATATTTTTATACTTAGCAGCTAGGTGTGTAACTGTACACAGGAGTCACGGTTCGGTTCATACCCCTGATTGAGAGGTCACAGTTTGGTGTGAGCTTGATACAACAGGGAAAACCCCCAATGCATTGCGTTCATTTATTTAAAAAAAAAAAAAAAAAAAAAGACAGTAATGCAAGTATAGAAGACAGACATAGTCCTCTTGCTTGGGACTGAGGTAGCATTTTGCCTGCTGGCAACTTTGGTAAACTAATTTTATTATGAAAATAAACAACATTTTAAACACTTCTGTATTACACTGTACAGACACTGGACATTTTCCTAAAAGGCAACAGGTCACAACAGGCTAAGAAACATATCAAAATATCAAAATTCATGATGATAAGAAATAAATCTTGTATTGTATTGTATAATCTTGTACTGTATGTGTTGCAATTAGTTTCACCTTGGCTTTATTTAAACATTCAGAGCACCCAAACATTTATCATTCTGGTGATCAGCACATCTGGGTGATGCCGTTAAATGGGCGTTGGCATGCTGGATATGTTTCCATTCACACCTGCGGAGCAATGCCAACACACTTTCCTAGCCAAAGCTATCTCTCCGGTGCTGTTGTAGCTAACCAGAAACACACAAGCCGGTCTTTCAGCTCCATTGTTTCATTTGCGGTACACTTGTTGTGCTAACTTCAGCACATGTTGCAAACATTGTACAGCTAAAATTTTGCAGGTAGAACTCCTGTTTATGCACTTTGTTACGCACATCAATCTACAACTCGTGTACTCTGCATGCACTGGACCGTGACCCCCAGAACCTTGACGGTTTGATACAGTTACACAAACTGTTTGTTAGCAGCAACACGTTTCTGTTCTAGATAAACCTTAACCCTCCTTTTATACTCAGCTGTCATACTGGCCTGCAGAGATAAAGACATAAACGTGTTGCTTAAATTTTGCAGAATGAACAGTTTGCATTTGTGTGTGTGTCTGCATGTGTTTGTGGTTGATCCTTCACAGGGTTTGCCTGGGCCACCTGGACCAGAGGGAGCAGAAGGAAAGCCTGGTACACAGGTTCCCATTCTCTATCATATTTCAATTCCATCACATCTGTAAAGTTGTGTGTCTGTGTGTCCTCTACTTCCTGCCATATACCTTGCAAACATTTAATATTCTGCATATTATTTATTTAAGTATTACATGGACTTCTTTCACACACATCTCATTACCTCTCTTGGTTTAAGTCCGCAATTTGTGTCCCTTAGAGGGTTGAGGGCTAAAACTGGTGATGAGCACAGAGAGGAGAGACACCTCACTGAACATCATCACACACTTCACTCCTTTAAAAAAAAGTCCTTCCAGTACTTTTCTGACTGTTAGATGCAAGCTTAAAAGAGTGACATACTGAAAGACTGCGGAGATGGAAATGCCCCCAAAGTGTCAAAACTGTCTGCCAAATTGAGTCGAGGTGGTGTAATAGTTGGTTCAGCCAGCAGGGGGCAGTCTTTGTACAGTGCAGCAGTACTGTGGTGAGCTGTAGTACATTTCAGCTCTGTAGTAAGTGATGCAGAGTTCATGCTTTAGCTCTATCATTTATTCATCACTGTGTTTCATGCATTCTCTGTTTTTAGCTTCTCAAATATGAATATTTGCCCTTTTTTCTCTGTGTTATATCATTTTGGACTGCTAAGTGAACAAAACAAGAACTCTAAGCAAGACACCTTAGCCTCTGGGAACTATTGATGGGCTTTTATTTATTTATTTTATTAACAGTAATGAATAATGAAAATAATCATTATTTGCAGCCACTGGGGTGACTCAATTTTTTTTTTTTTTTTTTTTTTTTTTTTTTTTTTGCCGCTGTAGTTTCATTTTAATCAGAAAATTGTCTTGATTTGAGGAATATATTTAATAATAAAGTGAAAACAGTATTAATTAAATTGATTTAATATTTGGGGAAATGTACTTAATTGTGTTGTTGCTCTAGGGTTAGCTGGGAAGACCAATACCGCTCTGTTATTTGTCTGGTAAATATGAAGCTACAGCCAGCAGCCAGCTTAGCGTAAACACTGGAAACAGTCCAGCACACAGGTCTATTTAACCTTTGGACAGAGCCTGCTTCCCTCCTGTTTCCAGTATTTATGCTTGAACAGTCACTCATCACACTCTGCCACCTTGCTACTGCCAGGCTGTTGTACCTTGTGGCATGATTGCTACGAAGTGAATGTGAGAGGAGGGCAGTAGAGTTTCAGCATTGTACTGCTTAAAGGGTAACTTTGGTATTTTCAACTTGACTTGACGAATGTAGACCACAATTTTTTAAACTGGTCCAGTATGGAGAGAGATTTTGCAATGTATCTGGCATTAGTAAAGGTCAGTTGTGCACTGTCACATCCACTGAAAGTGCTTGTTTTTGCCACTGATATGCTCAGATTATTATTCCATGTGTCTGACAATATTATGGTAATGATCTCTACAGAGTTCCTTTACAAGTTCCTTTTTGTTTAACCAGAAACTGCCCCAAGAGACTCCATCTTACGATATAATGACAAAAACTCTGTGTCTGTGTGTCTCTTTTCCACGTTTTTCTCCTCACTGACTTGGTCAATCCATGTGAAATTTGGCACAGTGGTAGAGGGTCATGGGAGGATGCAAATGAAGCAATTTTACATCAATTGGCCAAAGGGGGGCGCTATAGCAACTGATTGAAATTGCAAACTTTGAATGGGCATATCTCGTGCCCTGTATGTCGTAGAGACATTAAACTTTGCACAGAGATGCCTCTTCTCATGAGGAACAAATTTGCCACAAGAACCCATAACTTTCGATTATATAGATTTTCCGCCATTTTGAATTTTTTGAAAAACACTTAAAATCGATCTCTTCCTAGGAAGTTTGACCGATCTGTGTGAAACTGGGTGAACATAATCTAGGGACCAATATCTAAAGTTCCCTCTTGGCAAAAGTTGGAAAACTTACTAAAACTGAGCTTCTATAAGGCAATGAATATTGCGGAGGGCGTGGCTCATCACATAAAGGTGTATAACATCTCAAGGGTTTCATCCATCACCACGCAACTTTGTAGGCATATGACCACACATAATCTGAGGGGACCCCTCCATTATTGACCCCATCAAACAAAATGGGGGCGCTAGAGAGCTAATTTCTTATCTAGGCCTAACCGCCGTATGGATTTTTACTAAACTTGGTAGATATGTAGAACAGGACGCCTCAAGGTGACTGGGGAAATTTAACTCTAATTGGCCGAATGTTTGTTTTTTTTCTAATTTTTGGTATGACTAAGTCATGGTATGGTATGCTGTACATAATCACGGAAACTGTCAGTGTGCCATTCTGTCTGTCCCACGTTTTTCTATTCACTGACGTGGTCAGTCTATGTGAAACTGCACATAGGCATTGAGGATTGGCATAGGTAGAAGGTGACAAAGCTACCAATGGGTATGGACTAGTTTAAATAAACAGTAAATTTAGCGTGTATAGAGCCAGCATATTCTCACATCTAGCTGAACCAAACCAGAGTTGGTGATTGTTTGAACAGTGGAATGACAAACCAAGCTAGCTTATGTGAGTTATTTTGTTTCTGTTGACTTTCAATGAAGTGCATTTTAGATTGATAAAAGTACAGTTTTTTAAATGGAGTCTGGTGGGTTTGGCAATTGCAACTTCAGGGCTGTTTCTGGTGAAACAAAAAGGATCTTACTCTTTAAAAAAGGTCTGTCTCTGTAGGGATCCTTTCCATAATGTTGTCACACATATAGAATAATAATCTGAGCCTGTCAGTGGCAAAACAATCACTTTTAGTGGACGTAAATTGATGGTGAATGCCCCAAGTTGTTACATTGCAGGGTGTTCGCTGCTGTCGGTTGCAGCGCTGTCGCTCAATATTGGACCAATTTCAAAAATTGTTGTTTCCATTAGTCACTTAGACATAAAAACATGGAAAAATAGGATCCAGGTTGAAAAATACCAACATTACCCTTTAACCCTAATAATATAATAATCATCTTGTGGCTGCAGCTTCATATTTAATAAGCCAATATAAGAGTGGCATCAGTCTTCTCAACTTTGGGATTAAATGACTTGATAAAGTGGAGATTCATGTTCAGAGTTTTTTAATTTAATTCGTTAAAGTGATGACATTTACTATTTGCACTCTGAATGACCTCTGCTGTGGGGGAAAATTGCATTGTCGCTATTTTCTCTGTCTCTCCGTTTCAGGGTCCTGCAGGAGCAGCTGGCAGTGCTGGCAGTAAAGGACTGACGGTAAGACTATTAGCCTCAGAATGACCTCAGCGTCCACTTCATGACATCATCCCTCCAACTTGGCTTTTTTTGGCTCTTTGCCACAAACTGCAGGGTTCAGCTGAATATAAACACATTATTACAGCTTTACAAGGCAGGCGAGGATTAAATATGGAGGACTTTACTGATTCATGAGTAGGCAAACACAATAAATACTGCCAGAAAAAAAAGTTTTAACAGGATGGAACCTGCTACTAGCCAGTTAAAGAGATCAGGTGTGCTCACTAAAAGTGGCCGGGGTTGATCAGAGTTCATATCTGTAAGCAGTAGATGATTTTAGGGGGGGACAAGGGGGGTGCCATCTGCCTTGTTAGCAAAATGACCAAATGCATCTTAAGGGAAAGTTGAAAAGAACTTTAAAGAGAGAGTTCAAGAGGGCGTGAAACCCTTGAGAGGTGATTGGGTGGGGTCAGTGCAGTCTGCAGCCGCTCTTGTTCCCTGGGTCAGCACCCAGACCTAGGGTAAATAAATTATTGAGAATTATTGAATTTTAAATGAGGATTTTCCCACCAGGAAACTCACAGACCATCTGCATGTGTTAAGTCATCTCGAGTGATGCTACTCAGCCAATCAAATCTGTGCATTACATATGGAGTGAGTGAGACAGAGGCAACGGTTGGAGAAATAAGAGTCCGAAAGGTAATTTCAAGTGGTGTGTTCTGACGAGAGAAAAGTAGACAGTGAAAACAGAGCTTTAACGCAATGTGAAGTGCCACCACAAGAGCACAGAGAATCGTCTGAGCAAGCATACCCACTCAAATTCTAACTGAGGGCACAGAAAATGAAATATTTTATATTGTAATGAATCACTGAATCATAACACAAGATAGGCATTATGGCTAAAATACATGGGGCATGAATACGATGCGTCACATAGGCGAAGAGGGGGAGGGTTTTTAATCCACTAGGCTTTGTCTTGTCTCCCCTGACAATTTTTCTGATCACCTACTGTGTATAAGCATGTGGGTGCTACATACACAGATAAATGTACATGTGGTATACCACACTCTTTGGTCAAAAGAATGTAGACACCTTAACATTACACCTATTGAACGTGTCATTCCAAAACAATGGGCATTAATCTGCTGCCATCCATCAGATGTTGGAACGTGGCTGCAGGAGTTTGTTCTCATTCAGCCACAAAAGCATTAGAGGTACAACACTGATGGTAGGTGATAAGGCCTGGCTCACAGTAGGTGTCCCAGTTCATCCACAGGTGTCAGGGTTGAAGTCAGAACTGCAGATAGGTTCACCAAACTAGGAAAACCATGTCTTTATGCATGGGGGTATTGTCATGAAACGAAAAGGGTCTTCAACAAACAGCACAGAGTTGGAAGTACACGGTTACCCGTCTGCAACTTGTCTGAAAATATCATTTGTATAGATCTGTGGTTCCCAGCTGCTGGGTTGCGGTGCAAAAGTGGGTCCCCGGTGCATTCTGAATGGACCACAAGTGACTCGCAAATGTGTTGTTTGTAAAAATAACACTTTATTTTTTAGTACAGTGAATTTCCAGCACAGAGCTTTTATTTTGAAGTGCCGTTTGTGCTTTAGAGTGAGTAACTAACTAAAAGTTACTTGACAGAGAGAGCAAACTAACTCACTGACATGGCAAAACACAAGTAGGAGGCTGCAGACCAAATGTCCTGCAAAATCCAGAGAAAACTGGATTTACTCCTTAAGAACTGCAGACGTACTGCTGCTGAGTAATAAGTTGGGTATTACCAAATTAACAGTCACCACATTATTGATTTGTCAAGTTAACAAAGACAAATGTAGCCCGTTTAAGAGCCTTAAATTAAATCTTAATCACCAATATATTACAAATAATGACACAACCAAATGAGATGGCTGAGAAACAATTAAATGGCAGATTAAGCAACTATCAGTAAAATACTGAATCAGTTCATTTAAACCAATAATTTAACAGCTCACTGCACGTTTGTTAATTGCGAGAAATAAATGACAATTTGCACTTTTTAAGTCAGCTTTGCAGTTCTCCCGCTCTGTACATTTTCACTGCTTGTGGCATTTTCTGCTTTTTTAATAACAGTTGCTACTTTTCCAGGGTTTTCAAGGAATTGCTGGAGAGAGGGGAGCAGATGGCCCGCCAGGTTCTCTGGTATGCTTTGTTATCATTCTGTGGCTGTGTCATTTGGAAGACAGAGGACTTGAAGACTGAAAGTGCTGTGTGACACTGAGTTTTTCAGAGACGAGGCAGTCGGGCAGGAAGTTTGCTGTGGAAATGAACAAATCCTCTGAAGCATACAGTTTAACTCAAGAGACAGCAGATGTATTGACTGTTTATCTGTTTTGTGAAACAGATGTTTAAGAGTTTTATTCAGAGTTCAGAAAACTTCTGAGAAGCTAAGCTGAGCTGCAATACTGTGGGGGTGTCAATTATCTGATATAACTTCCAGTCAGTTAACAAACAAGATATGTACGATCGAGCTATGCAGTCCTGTGACTCTGATTGGCTGAACAGATAGAGATGGTATTGGCTGCTGCTTTGAACCTTTGGTAACAGATTGCTTCTATCTGACAGGGGCCACCAGGGAAACCAGGACCTCCAGGATCACCAGGACCCCCTGGAGAAAAGGTGAGTCGACAGGCACAGAGCAGTCATGACCTCCATTACATCAGCGCACACACAGGTATCTGTTGTATGTTGTCATTATGTGTCATGTACATGTGTGTTTCATGTGTTATTTCTCAGGGTTTCACAGGGAAGCCGGGTGTGGAGGGACCTCAGGGCCCAGTAGGCATGTATGTAAGTGATTCTTCAGCAGGACATTGCACCTGTATTACCTTCTCACAGCATATATATTATGTATGCAGAATATACATCACATAAACATACTGAAACTGTTACCCGTGCGTGTGAATTAGTTGACCCACATTATTACCATGTCAGTAATTCAGACGCTTTTACCAACAAACTGATGCAGCAGGGCTCGACACAGTAACTGAAGTGTAAGATGTTTCCACAAAATATCTCACATTTGATTGGTTAGAAAATTGCTGTGTAATTAGAATATAAATGTGAAACAGGATTTTCGTCAGCAGAATCAGCATGTCAGAATGGGTTCATTGGATAGAAGGGAGCACTCAACAAAGTGATATCCGCCATCAGGGGATGGTAGATTAAGGCCCATCATTTTCAGGATTTACCAATTTTCACAAATAAGAACACAATTTTCCAAAAGATGGAGGTAGATAGAGTGTAATTGATTTTTATGATGGATTTTTGTGTCCTCACATACACACAATTTGTTGTTTTTCGTGCTGGAAGAGGACATTGTTCACTGAGTTATTTGTGAATTATATCCTGTTGAAATAATGGAAGTAATTCCAGTAATAAAAAAGGAAGAAGGAATAATGGAATATGTGTGGGTTAACTAAATTTTACACCAAAGCTCTTCTAGGTGATAAAAATGCATTCAAGTTATTCAAAGTTACATTAAAAAAAGACTGTTGACCTTACAAATAGTATTTTTCATTTGCCTTCACAAGCCCTACCCATTGCCTGTGTGGATACCCACAGTTTTCTGGCCAGTGTTGTAAAGTGCTGAATGAGCTTTTGTGACATAACTGATTATAATATTGTTTCTTCTCCCATCAGGGGATCCAGGGGAACGTGGGCATGCGTGGGCCCCCAGGGTTCATAGGAGAAAGGGTAAGGTCATCTCTCTGTCACCTATCAAAAGGACAGTTGACCACAGTATTTAAAATAAATTTTTTTCCTCTCACTTGTGGAGCTGTTTTTCCGTCTGGATTGTTTTGGTGTGGGTTGCTGAGTATTGGAGTTATCGGCTATAGAGATGTCTGCCTTCTCTTCAATATAATGGAACTAGATGGCACTCGGTTGTGGTGTTCAATATGCCAAAATATTCCAGTTGAAAAACTCAACAGCAATGTCTCTTTTCACAAATCTTGACCCGGACACTCAAGATAATCCACAGACCTTGTTGTGAGCAGTTTCATGTCTTTCTTTTTTTTTACTGAACCACACCCAGCAACTGTATCACCGTGCAGGAGGAAGCGTGCATCTGCTGCTAGCTCACCTAGCACCACTAAGGCAGCTAACAAGCCAAGGAGGATGCCTTTAATGTCACAGACACAAGCTTCTCGTCCATGAGGAGATGCACACTTCCTTCTACACATTGATGCAGTTGGCAGGTGTAGATCATCCATCCATTTTCATCCACTTCTCCTGGGCTGGTCGCTGGGGCAGCAGGCCCAACAATGCAACCCAGAAGTCCCTTTCCAGCACTTTCCAGCTCCTCCTGGAGGAACCAAAGGCATTTTCAAGCCAGACGTGATATGTAATCCCTCCAGTGTGTTCTGGGTCTGCCCCTGGGCCTCCTACCAATGGGATGTGCCCAGAACACCGCGAACGGAGGTGCCCAGGAGGCATCCTGATCAGATGCCCAAACCACCTCAGCTGACCCCTTTTGATGCAGGGACAGCGGCTCTACTCCGAGCTCCCTCCACATGTCCGTGTCTCCTCCAAGAATCACCACCTTAAGGTTGTGGAGGGGTTTGCATGTCCTTGTGAACCTGGGAGCTGTGTTGTCTGGGGCTAATAGCCCTGGTAGGGTCTCCCATGGCAAAGTGGTCCCAGGGGAGGGGCCAGACTAAGAGCAATTCAAGAAGACCTTGATGACACGGCATATTTGAACTTTGAGTATCTCACTCGGTATGGGGATACCGGGCCCTCCCCCTGGAGCCAGACCTGGAGGGGGAGTTGCCAGCGAGCATCTGGTGGCTGGGCCTTGGGCCACGGGGCCAGGTCAGGCTCAGTCCGAATAAGTAACATGGTCACCCTGTGGGCCCACCACCCGCAGAGACAGGAATCAGTGTCTGCTGCAGTGTGTGCCAGGCTCTGGGGAGGGTGAGGGCGAGTTCAGTAGAAATACATCAATCTGCTCACAACAAGGTCTGTGGATTATCTTGAGTAAGTGGGTCATGGTTTCTGAAAAGAGACATTGCTGTTTTTCATAGGCGTTATTTTGGCACTGTGAGCATCACAAGCTGAGTGCCATCTAGTTCCATTATACTGGAGAGAACACTTTCATCTCTAGGGCCGATATCAACACTCTGCAACTCACACCAAAACAATCTAGACTGATGAATAGCACTACAAGTAAGAAGATATCTATTTTTGATTTTGGAGTGAACCCTTAAGCCTTGTAAAAGAAAGCTTTGTTGATTGAAGAAAGGATTGGGAGGAGAGCCTTAAACATTTTGTTTTACATGGCAACAGTCAAGTATGTTTAACGGTGGAGCTAAGAGAGTAAAAAACTATTTCTAAGAGCAAAAATTATTCTGAAGGAGGAAATTTATATTTAGGCTTTTTTACTGAGATTTTATCAATATAAGTGAACACGTCTGAATCTCTTTGTAAGCAAAAACCACCATAACATTAATTGTAAGACACAAAAAGATCTCTTCCTTTTCCTTCTCACCAGGGAGAGCCCGGTTTGCGAGGTTTACCTGGACCTGTTGGGAAGCCAGGACCTGCAGTAAGTGTCTGTAGTTTATTTTTGTTCTCTATTTCCTTCCTCCTGACCCCTGGGAACTGCTCGGGGTAATATGAGAGTAGGACTGAGTATTGTTGAAAGGATTTGATTAAGACAGCAGCTATGATGGGGTCACACCATGGAGGGTTTGGTAAATAAAAGTAAACCGGTGAAGTGTGCAGCTGGTGTGCAGGGACTGGCTATTTATGGAGGCGAACAGGTCGCAGTGATTGATTTTGTTGGGGCCACTGGTGGCAAATCTAATGACAGAGTGATCGAGGACAAATAAATTGCTCCACGGACTGTTCTCCAGCCGGTCTTCTGCAATCCAGTGTCACGTGGCATCCTCAGTGTCAGAGCAGCTTTCCACACATTACACATTACATTACAGCTCAGGTGCATTGTGCAACTTTTGGCACTTTTGGTGGTGTGTAAAAAATATGACAATGACACAAGAGGAAATACAAAACAAAAATTGCAAGTTACATTCTGATAACATAAATTAATTTGTTTACAGCTCAAAAAAGTCACTGCAGATGAAGTATAAAGTTGCAGCAATGGTATTAATTGCAGTTAAAACATAGCCAGTGCCGCATGATGTCCAGTTTAGTGGACAGATGATTAAGGTAGGAGCGACAATGTTGCTGTCAGGTGTTCTTGACAATTGTTTTTGACCGCTGTGGTGCAGATTGTGCAACAAGCTGAAAGTTGTGTGTTCCTTTTGGATCAAAGATAAAGAAATGGACATTTATTCAATCTATGTTTGCTAGTATGAATAAATATGATGTTTGTTCTATAATTGGAGCCTGCAGTTCAGTTTCTGAACACAACTCAACCAATAAAAGCTGTGGCATCAACCGAGGCAAGGATGTCAGCCAGGTGAAGCCGAGTGAAACATCTCTGTGGCTGCAAGTAATCTGCTTAGCTCCTACAAGGCATATCTTAAAGATGATGATATGGATCAATGTTTTCACTTTGTATCGATGATATTTTGTAGTCCATCAGTGAGCCAATACATTGATCTAGATTGATGGGTCATTACACCTGTAATGCTTACTGGTTTACGTAGCTACAGAATGTGGTTTAATTGGGTGGTGCAGTGGGGAGAGCTGTGGAGGTAGAAAGCTTTGAAATCAGGAAAAGCAGCAGGTCTCTAACACAGGAGTCATGCATAATTAAATTCCAGCTGAGAATTAATTTGTTAAATGTCCTTAAACACACACCTGAGCGTAGAAGTGCAGGTACACACACACAAATTTGTACTGTATGCAGTGACACCTCTGACTGACGGTTTCTCCTCTGCTTTGGTGAAGTTGTACATGAATCTGAGAGGTCAAACTTTCCTCCTAGAACTTGTCAAACTTTCTGTACCCTATACATCCGTCCTCCTCTTCTGGTTGGTTAGACCTGGGAATAAGAAAGTCCCTCTTGCATGGAAAGAGTTACTCTCAGTAATGGAAGTTGGACTGTTTTCTGAAGTTCACTTCTTGTCCACAGTCCTTCCTGCAGTGTCATTGGACACACTTTTTGCTCGTTCACATGGTCGCACACTGCTGTGGTGAAATCCATCAGCCTGTCATAGAGTAAAGTTACACAGAGCTGAGAAGGTGGGTTCATCAGCTGCTGGCTTGAGCGCTAAATACAGTGATAAACTGAATGCCTTTGTGTCCACATCAGTGAATGCATTCGAAGTCAGTAATCATGGTAGTCTTAGGCCACTTCTTTTTAATACTTTCTTATTATCATTTATCTGTATGGCAGGTGTGTATATGTGTCTGTATGTGTGTGGTTGTGAGTATGTGTGCCGCTTTTAAGGAGCTGCACAACAAATTTTGTCACAAGGTGCAACAATAAAAGCATTGTGTTATATTCTAAAAATAATCCTCTCAACAAAAGGGACAAATGGACAATCTGAGCGAGGCTCTGCATTTTTTTCCCAACATATCACATCCATACTTTATTCTCACAGGGAATAAAGGAAAAAGTGATAAGAGCTGTGGAAAGTAGACAGAGGCTGTGGAGAGCAGTGTTGAGTGTTGTGTGAAAAAGTGAAACTTTAAAACCTGTGATTTTCTGTTACAGGTGTGACAATACACTCACCGTCCAGTTTGTTAAAAGAAAAGGTGTAGGAGGAAGATAATAGCAGGTGCAGCCATAAAGCTGCTGGGCTAGATATAATAATTCTGGCTTTTTCAAAGAAAAGATATTAAGTAATCCCATCAACCATACACCTCTCACCGAGCAACCAACTGTAATATTATTCTAATGAAGAAAGGATATTTTATATAGTAAGGGACATTTAATGCATCACCAGATGGATGACATACACATGAGTACCAAACAAAGATGCCCACTTTCACCCTCCTTTTTTGCCATATGTTATCAAACTGCAGCAATCAAGTCAATTTTATTTATATAGCATGTTTCATATGACAAATGTAAACTCTATGTGCTTAAGATATGTTTTTAGTTTGCTTTTAACAGAGAACATTGTTGTCGCAGATCGAAGTTCATGTGGAGGAGAATTCCAGAGAGTAGGACCATAATGACTAAAAGCACCATGAGCTGATTGAGAGCTGATTTTAGGTACAATGAGTTGACCTTTATTTGACATAGGACAGAGCTCAACCATTACAACATTTCAAAACAGTAAGAAGTATTTTAAAATCACTTCCTTCTTTTATTGGGAGCCAGTGAAGAGAAGATAAAACTGGAGTTAGGGATCACACCTTTTAGTTTTAGTTAAAAACCAGGCAGCAAAACTGCCTCAAATAACTGTATTTGATTACAAGAAAACGCCACAGGGTTCATTTGATCGTAGTCGTAGTAGACAAGTAAAAAAATGTGTCTGAACAACATAAAATAGAACAGTTTAAAGACATATTTTATAAAGATGCAGAATACCACAAGGAAAACAAACCTATTCACAGTTAAAAAAAAGAAGCAGTTGAATAACATCGCAAATATAGTTTGGTGTGTGTTTCACTCTAATTTCCCTTTGTTGTATATTCAGCATCACTTTATTTGTTGACCAACAACAGAAATGTGTATTTTATAATTTTGTGAAAATGTTTAGAGAGACGTGGGTATATATTATATACATTTTTGGACTTACAGAAGGCTAAACTTTTCTGTCTTATTTCTTGATACAGTACTCAGACAGGGTGGCATGGTGGTGCAGTGGTTAGCATTGTCGCCTCATAGCAAGAGGGTCCCAGGTTCAGACGAGATGGGGGGTTCAAACCTGCGGTGGGGGAGCCCTTCTGTGTGGAGTTTGCATGTTCTCCCTGTGTCAGCGTGGGTTTTCTCCGGGTACTCCAGCTTCCTCCCACAGTCCAAAGACATGCAGGTTCATTGGTGACTCTAAATTGTCCGTGGGTGTGAGTGTGAATGGTTGTTTGTCTCTATGTGTCAGCCCTGTGATAGTCTGGTGACCTGTCCAGGGTGTACCCCACCCAATGTCAGCTGGGATAGGCTCCAGCCCACCTGCGACCCCTAACAGGATAAGCGGAACATGAATGAGTGCTCGGACAGAAGTCTTAGCAACTAGCATGTTCTGATTTGCCCTGTCTGTTTTCTTTCTCAGGGTCTACCAGGTCCTGCTGGAGAAAGGGGACCCCGGGGACCTCCGGTAAGAGAGACGTCTAATAGGAGAGTTTGTGCCCTAAATTACAGAGGACTAAATATTCTTCCTTCCCCACATGGTGTTGATTGGCATGCCAGAAATGGCATCATCTACAGTCCCATGTAAATATGGTTGAAACAGACACGGTTAAAAGTTAACATCAGATTCATCCTTTAAAATACTGTCTGTATATAAAGGCTGAGATCCAGTCTAAAGAAGTGATGAATCCACTAATTAACCAGCAACTTAAGTGTAACGCTTGTCGTTTCCCACAGGGTCGGCCTGGAGATGAAGGATCCAAAGGGATACAGGGTCCACCAGTAAGTTACAGCTCATAGTGAAGTCAAGCAGCTCATAGGACTCTATTTTCACAATGGCTCGTCACTGTGTATCACAGGGCTATTATGGCTGCTTTTAAGTGACATTTTAATTGGACACACTCAGTGTTGGCTTGTCTCGGATTAATTGGCGCCAACAGAACGTTTTACAAACTATCATTATTGGCTGAACTTGCCTCCCATAGTGGCTAATGGCTGCGCTGCCTCCACCAGTCACACTGGGACACACATAAGTGACCGCAGCTAAAGAGGGGAGGGTGGTGTTAAATGGAGCAATAAGGAGCTTCATCAGTGGGTACAGCTCCAGAGATGCAGGTCCCTTCTGGTGTGTGAGCGCCTCTAAGTGTATTGTTATTCATTTGAACATGTATTTAAATTTAGATTTAAATTTTATGGCTAGACTGCAACAGCAAGGTATATAGGAATAGTCCATGATTGACTGAGTGACTGAAATTTTGAAATTAGCTTAAAATTAGACAGTTAGTTTGACGTTATATATTTATTTAGGTATTTATTATTTTGAGTGTGACATTCAGTGGTCTAGATTTATATATTTATGTCATATACGATAAGTAAGATTTGATATGTACAAATATTTTGGTTTATTTGAGGGAGATTCACTCAATTGTGAAACAGTCAAATCCCACTGCAAGTTAAATTAAATTTTATTGATTAGTTGATGTATGACTCATAGTCCATAAACCAATCATGCCAAACTCTGGAAAATGTCACCTGTCATTCTCTGACACTTGTTGATGTGGACCACTGATTCATGAAAACTCATTTACCGGTTTGTGCGTGTGGCTGGCATCCCATAATGCATCTGTCAATTATCTTTTCAAACTGACATTGATGATGAATTGACTCAGTGAATCACAACTGACTGCTAATTATTGATAAACTGTGCATAGAAATGACACACAGAGGACACATCTGATTACATATTATTTTGACATTTATAAAAAAAGTAAGATCAATCTCCATCCTAGGGCCCTCCAGGTCTCCCAGGTGGTGATGGCACAGCTGGAAAACCTGGACCCAGGGGAAGCCAAGGGCCCCCAGGACCTGAGGGGGCACAGGGGCCAGCAGGAATCCCAGTGAGTGGGTACCTACCATCAACTGCTGCTCTTACCTATATATCCCAGACTCCTTACAGTCTGGAAAGATGAAAACATATCAGTAAATTTTATTTACACAGAAGTTTCTGACCCCAGTTGACCCGTCATAAGATAAAAAGTGTATCATTTTTAACCACATGTTTGTTGGGTGTCCTCAGGGCCCACAGGGTGCTGACGGGTTATTAGGAGCAGCAGGAGAAAAAGGACCCAAGGTAAACTTAAAGTGAATATAAGAAGCATGTTTTATGGGCGTTTTATTGCAAGAGTTAGGTCTGTGTAACCTTCTTTTTATGTTCACTTATTGATACTGAGACTTGTACTGTACCCTCCAGGGTTTACCTGGCCTGCCTGGTGACGTTGGCCCCACAGGACAAGATGGACAACAGGTTGGTTCTGTTTTATGGTGAAGCAAAGACAGCAGTGTTTTCACATACCCAACAACAAAATATCTTCTTCTTCACTTGGACTACTTTTTATGCCTCCACACTGGCGATAGCTGTGGCTGGAGGCTGTTTTTAGTTCAGGTTGTCTGTCTGTATATCCCCCTGTACCTGTACGTACATACGTATATCTCAAGAATGCCTCAAGAGAATTTCTTTAAATTTGGCACAAATGTCCACTTGGAGTCAAAAATGTACTGATTTGTTTTTGATAGTCATAGGTCAAAGGTCAAGGTCATTGGGACCTTGTCTGTCTCATTCTTGTGAACGCAAAATCTCAAGAGCGCCGTGATGTAATCTTTTAAAAATTTGGCACAAAGGTTGACTTGGACTTAACAATGAACTGATTAGATTTTGGTGGTCAAAGGTCAAGGTTGCCATGACCTTGCATCCATCTCATTTTTGTGAATGCAATATTTCAAGAACAGCTCAAGGGAACTCCTCTAAATTTGTCACAAACGTTGACTTGGACTAAAGAACAAAAGATTAGAATTAGATGGCCCAAGGTCAAAGGTCAAGTTCAGTGTGACCTCCCAAAACGTGTTTTTTTTTCCCATAAAGAATTGATATGCTAATTATGACAAAACTTTGAACAAATGTCTAATAGCATAAATTAATGAAGTGATTATATTTTAGATCCAAAAAGTCTAAAGTCAGCTTCACTGTAACATCACGTTCTCATTCAAGTGTTCTGCATAAAACACTTCTCTGGCCATCACTCAGTGTCATATCTCAGGATCAGAAGGGGCAACATTTGTTTAGATACTTAATTGCTGACTATCATCTTTGGTGCCCACCTTAAAAGTTGCCGATTGTATCGTTGTCTTGTGCGGTCGGGGGAAATGTGTGTGAAGCATCTATATTTTCACAGACATGGATGTAATCTGTAAGAGAAACTGAAGTGGTGTGTGGAGGCATACGACCATGGGGTGGTAATTCTGGTTCTAGCACTGTCTTCATTGTGAACATAATAGACAAGCAGTTAAATATTTATACAATGAAATGTAAGTTACAGTTGCCTTATAGAACAACAGAGAAAATGCTACCAAATGCAACACTTTTTATTGCAAACAGCTCAAAACTATTAGATTATGACACAGCAATTAAAAATGTAAAAGCATCAAAAACTAAAAACACATTGATTACAAATTAAGTGTGGTCATACACCTGTGATCTAACATCTAATCTCATTTTTTACAAGCATCATTGGTGCCTTGATAAGGTTACATTTTTGGCATTAATGTTTAAAATAAACAACTGGCAGATGTAACCAGCTACATTTTCTAAAATAAAGTCTAAAACTCTAATAGTGTACACGTCTGTCCTGTCTGTCCTCAGAGTCAGCACCTGTCAGTACTTTTTCTGCACAGAACGTTTGTTTTTAATCTCCTTACCTGAACAAATGCACAGTGGATTATTTGCTGCTCTGTGCGCACAAGAGGACAGTGAGATTCCAAAATAAGAAAACACAGGATTCACAGGCAGAAAGCCAACAAACAGCATGAAAAACTGTGTAAATTCTACTTAAAGGCGCCTGCGGGTATACAGATAACTACTGGACACTGTGTACCGTTTCTCCATAGAGCCTATTTAAAGTGAAGAAATATGCCAGTTTAGATTATTTTTATGCACCATTTATTTGCTACGCACAGGTATGTTTATCAGTGCCTTTACACTTTTATCTGAGGTGAAGGCACACGGTTATTTTAGGATACTTGGGCAGGGCATCATGTATATAGCTACTTTCACAAATGCAGTCTATGTTCAGGAGCATTACCTGCATGGGGTCACATGTGAATGGGAGCAGGGATTCTGGAAAATCTGTCCTGTCAGTGTCCCACCTCAACACCCTGTCACAATTTAGGGACAGGCCGGTATGGCTCTATCACAGGGCCTTTACAGGGTTTAAAAGGGAATCAACTTTGTAGCATGATGCTTGTTAGATCAAGCATCACCAGTGTGGTTATATACATTAATTAATACTACATGAGGACGGCAGAGGACATTTTATTTTCAGTTGATAATTGTTTTGATTTTTGACTCATCAGGGTCTCCCTGGCCAAACAGGAAATGAGGGCCCACCTGGACAGAAAGGAGACCAGGTCAGTGATCAGACACATCATTCCTGAGTCTTTATGTCACTAATTATTCCTACAAGAAAAGAAGAAAAGTTGTTTTGTACAACTTGAGGACAAGTTGCCTTTGTTTAGTGTTGTGGAACTGCAGCCCCGGGTTTGAGGGAATTAAACCCTTTAACAACCAATTAATTACTGGAATTGAAAAGCCTGCAGTCAGTATTTGTGTCTGATATCTAGTCTTCTTATGTTGCCATGTTTGACAGGGGGACCAGGGGGCCTGTGGGAAACTTGGTCCTCCAGGGATCCAAGGAGACAGGGGTCTTGAGGGCCCAAAAGGTTCACAGGGACCACCTGGACCAGACGGTAAAGAGGTGGGTACATTTATCTGCAGAGTTGATCTTCACCGCAAATGATCACAGACATTCTCACACGTGTTCGACTGCTGTCTCATAAATGACGGAGCACCTCCACAGGAGATGATTTTCCAATTCAGTGAAGAATTTAAGGACCTCATCACATCAACATTACCTCCACCCTGTTTACATTATAGCATTGCACAATCTGTCCAAAGTGTGTTGTGGTGAACAGATCATTTCTGCCTGAAATATCTATTTCAGGTGCTCCGTGAAATAGGTATAAAAAGGGTTTGAAACATGTTAAACCACCATCACTGTTACATAAACCGTGAAATGAAATGTTCCCGATAATGCGATGATGGCAGTGCTTAACTCAGATTCCTGTGAGGGATTTGAAATGTTGATTATATAACAATGACATGAGCAGATAGCTGGCACAGCCTGGGATTGCTGTCATACCTTGAGCAGGGGTGTCTTCACTCAGCTTGATGAAATGCATGTTCCACAACTTGGAAATGTGCCTTACACCTTGAGAGAAGTGAAGACAAAACAGTAGTGTTAGCCTGGGAACCAGACAAACCTGCAAGCTCATGTTTTATTTGCTCTGACAGATGTGTCTGGTCCCCCTCGTGTTCAGACAGATTCCCCCTGACCTGGCCTGCTTTGTGCCAATCAAAACTGTTTATGTAACGTGGGGTGTGTGTCAGACAATGACTGACACCTTGTGGAGCCTTCACGCCTAATGCAAAATACATGATGACGTTATTTTTAGCTTAACACGCTCACGCCAGGGGACAATACAGCGTGCATAAACCTGGTTTATTGAGGCAATTTGGAAAACAGCTAAGTTGGCTGCAGCTGATGTGGAACCTTCTGTTGAAATGCTGTTTTCAAATTCTGATGGCAAAGCAGCAACATTTGTTCACCAACGTATTGATGCTACACCATCACAGCTTATCTCTGCACGCTGTAGTCCTTTTACACTTGTCCATCACTCAGTGCTACGTGACCTTTTGTTGCTCTAAGTGGTTGTAGGTCTACTCAGTTGCTTGCACAGACATTTCGGTTTATGGCTGCTGAAAAAAACTGCTCCCGACTAAGAATTTTCCTAGTCAAACAATAGTCGTCATTTAGGGCCATTAGTCGACTAGTCGGCCACATGTTTACATTATTAATCTAAATATTAAATGATATATTTTGGGCGGGGCAACACAATGGTTTGAGTTGAAGGTGTGAGAAAGAATAGTATCAGTAACATTGTTAACACTGTGCTACATTACAGAGAAATACAAAACCGTACTAATGAACCTTCATTAATATAGGCCTATATTTTATCTACAAGTGCACGTCACACACTGAACGAGCCGCCTGTTAATGACACTGTGGGCTAATGGGCATGTAGCTACTTCCATGTTTCAGATGATAAATCATGTTTGTAGTCGACCAATGAAGATGAGTTTACATATCACCTTGGGTTCGTCCTTCACCTTCTCAAAATGATCCCACACTTTGGATTTCCTGCCCGACATGTTATTAACTAGCCTGTGGAATAACCGCAGGTACCAGCTCTGGAAATTAGAGGTGCTGTTCGTGTGTAGACCTATCGTCTGTGGGACAGATGTAAAGCTCTGGGTAGCCCTGCACTAACATGATCAACTTTTCCGTATTTATCAGACTGAATATTTACAGAAGAAGGGAAAGATATCTGTCGGCTGTGATTGGTTTGTTACATGACTCCTGTCTGACTGCTGAGCGTGGCCTCTTCCTGTATCTGTCCTTTCAAATTAAATTCCCACATGGTCCAGTCATATAGGTTTTGATTTATTTTGACAAGGCGCAGCTCCTAATAGAGTTTCACATTTGTTTTATTTATTTATCTTGCAGACTAATGACCTCTCTGGTCGACTAACGTTTGGTTGACTTTTAGGAGCACTAGAGAGAATCCCATGGAAATCAACTGAGAGGTTCCAGACCAACACGCATTTGGGATTTGGTCGTGCAGTGTCAGGCTAGCAGATGTTATTACTGTGTAATTGCTTTGGTACTTTTTTACTTTGTTAACTGTAAAAAGCTATCTGTTAAAAAAAATGTAGAAAATATGGTTGTAGTTTCTCACCCATATAGATTTCAGTGATCAACCTTGAAATTAAAACAAAAGGCAAAGCAAATATCTTACGTTTCCACTGTCTCATCTTATGGTATCAGTCTTCTAAGCGAATAAGCACATTTTCCCAATATGGTGAACTATTCATTTAAATGAGGTGCACAGTAAGACAGTTACTCAGCTCCAGACTCATGTCTCCTCCCCTGCAGGGTGATGTCGGGCATCCTGGTGAGGTTGGAGATCCTGGACCCCAAGGAGAGAAGGTACGTTCACTGCTTTCCTTGAATGGAAAAGTTAGTTTTGTTCACATCTCTGATGACGAGGATGTTTGTGTTGTTGACTCTGAGTATGCAGTTTCTGATGAGACTGTGGTTGCTGTCTGCAGGGTGAGGTGGGACCTCTAGGATTGTCTGGTCGAGAAGGCCCCTGGGGAGACCTTGGAGAAAATGGCGAAAGAGGTCCAAAGGGTGAGAAGGGCCACATTGGACTGATGGTGAGCGCAATTTTACTGCTCAGTATGTGTGTCTGGCTTTACATTTCAATGATACGATATACTTCCAACATCCTAAATGTTTGGGTTAGGGTACTGGGATTAAAACATATCAGAAAGTGTTCCTTGAAAACCTCATGGCAGATGAGTCAGACTGATGTGTAGAAACTGTTCCTGACGTCATTGTCATCCTCCTGAACAGGGTGAGCCGGGGCTGATGGGTGAATTGGGACCTGCAGGTCTGGCGGGGTTGAAGGTGAGTCTGTTACCAGCATGTATTGATGCTCTTGATGGCATGCTGCTTGAAGTGACCTTTAAATTAACCTTTATTGAACTGTTCACAGCTGGGATAGAAATTTATCGATCCATATGACACATTAGTTCCACCTGTTTTCCTGTCACCACACATTAAAGCTGATGCTAGTGTTTATAGTTTTTTTTTTTGTTGTTGTTGTGTGTTTGTCCTCATTTCAGGGAGTCACAGGCCCTCGGGGACTCTCAGGGCCAGACGGACCTCAGGGCCAGAAGGTAATATTACACTGTTCACAAGATGGTCAAAATAGTGTCATTTAATTGCGTCAAACAGAATAACACTGTGTTTTGACAAGAATATTTGTAGCTGACATTTTCAAATGACTTTTAGTTGATGGTATTTTTGGTAACATGAATGAGTCAAGTCACAATTTACAGACATGTCTTCAGCTCTCTGGATCCATAGCTGAAGCAGGTTTAAGGTTAGATTGTTCCTGGTTGCATTTGACCTCATTTATTTATTTATGTGAGGTTTTAGAGTTTTCAGATGACAGAGACACAGGCAGTTTTGACAATTTGGGTTTTGCTGTCCTGGAAATATGGACATTATTTTCCCTCCTAGAGATCAAGGACAAAGCTAGGCTTGTAGTGGTGAGCTGTTGTCTACGTGTACAGCATTTGAATTACTGTTAAGGTTGCAAAGGATAAACCTCAGTGGGATAATAGATCATAGATAAAATATGAAAGTTCTCTTGTCCTAAACTGTTCCACAGCAACACTAAAATAATATGTTCCTGCAGCTTGCACAACACCGCTATCAGTGTAGTAGCTTTAAGTTATCACCTCATTGGCAGGACCCCTGACTCATCTGGCACAGAATGTACTCTTTGTTGTACATCTTCATTTTTTCTATACAGTACATCACCTGCAGAGCTATGCTTAAATCAGATCACTTAAACCAGAGTAAATGTCTCCATCTCTCCAGGGGGAGTCTGGGCCTGTAGGAATTACTGGACCCCCAGGGTCACGAGGCCCTCAGGTAATCTCCGATTCCATTTAACATTTTGCACAACATGGTGTACAGCACAGCGATAAGAGGAAAGCCACTTGTTCCCTCCATTTGTCTCACACACAGGGAATAACTGGTGCTCGTGGTGTCAGAGGAGACGCAGGGGGGCTGGGGCCGCCTGTAAGTATCCTAGACAGTTTTTATTTTAATTTATTTGGTTTGTTTGCCAATCAAATTACACACAGATACACCATCTGTTGCACTGACGTTATTTGTCTGAAGCTAATATGCCTCATTCTGTATGTTTTGTTCTCTTGTGCACATTGTTCTGTGATGGTAGTATTTTAGTTTTCCCTTTGTTCTGTGACAGAAGCATGAGTAATTTAAGTGTTCATGATGGGATTATACTTTTAAGTGATTTAGGGAGTGTAGCTAATTACAGTATTTAGGTTTTAATGGTCAGCATCACTGGTTGGACGGCTCCCAGCGCACAAATTCTGACTTTGTTGATCCCCTGACTATTCCTCTTATGTCACCATGGAGGAGGTTGACACTGGTTTTGAGTAAAGTGTCTGAGAAACTATTGGATGGAATTCAATGCATTTGGTTCAAGCTTTTGTCAATACTTTGGTTCATGTTAGGGCTGGGCAATATAACAACTATGTACAATATATTGATATATTTTCAAGCAGGATATAGATTTAGACAACACAATTTGTATAGAGTGCCGAAGTCACGCCCCTTCCGGTGAAGCTCATGGGACCTTAGATCGGAAAAAATATGAATGGCAGTGAATGAGGAGAGCAATATTATCTTTTGGTCCCGTTTTAGTTGTGACATGAAATCCAAATATGTCGTTAATGAATTTAAAACATAAATTTTAAGGTCAAGAAAGTCATACTTTGTGGTAAAACTGTTGAGATATAAGCTTTTGAAAAAACCGTACTTAGAAAAACTACACAGGAGGCAGTAGCGTATGTGAAGTCATAGCTTTCACTCGCTTCCAGCAGCTTGGAGTGACTGCAACCTGGCACACAACACACAGACATCTTCAATCATAAATCAATTAATCATAAAACAGTGGAATTTCAGCGGGGAGGCCAAGCTGCAGGAAGCGAGCGAAAGCTATGACGTCACATACGCGACCTCCTCCTGTGTACTCTTGAGTCTTTCTAATTAAAAGCTTTCACATGCTAATTTGCTAAACTAAAATGGTTCATATTGTAATCATTATTCTTGCTTAATGCCATCATGTTAACATCGCCATTGTTACCACATTAGCATGCTTGCGCTAGCCTTGAGCTTAAAGCAATGTTGTGCCTGAATACAGCCTCATGGAGCCATGGCTGCAGAATCTTTTTATTTTTTACCCTGTTAATCACAATAAAATGAATTACCAGGAAAAGAAGAAGAAAAACTCAATTGTTGCCTGTATTTGCTGTATTAACATACATACAGATACCTAACAACTTAGGAAGTGCAAGTCATTTGTAGATGTTTTCTTGGGATAGACTGTAGGCGGTTGCAGTGGTGCCAACAAACATGTTACCCCAGAGCTGATGCTGATTTAATTTACTTCTAAGTTAAAACTGATTTTAGCCCAAATGAAAAATAATATTAACCTATCAAGGTAATTGTGTTCCTTTTCTATGATGTTTGCACGACAGGGTCCTGTTGGACCAGTTGGACCCCAGGGAGACCTGGGAGCTAATGGGGACGGAGGGCCACAGGGAGAGAAGGGAGAGCCAGGAGCTCCAGGAGGACCAGGGGAACAGGTTAGTGAGGTTTTATTTATCTACTTTATGGCATCTATAAAAGCTAAGCACATATCTGAATGGTGCTATATCTTCTTGATGAAAACATTCTAATGCAAATAAATAGATTTATTTACTGTGTGCAAATGTCCATAAAACAACATCAATAATATAAATCACCTGTGCAGGGTGAGGAGGGTCTGCCAGGAATCCAAGGTCCTCCAGCTCTGCCTGGGTTAGAGGTAAAAACCATTGAGTCGCGTCAACGCTTTGTCTGATTACTATTACTGATGATTGCATTTTTCCCCTCAACAACACTGTTATTTGTGCCTCTTTTCTCTTTTTCAGGGGCCTCCTGGAGAGATAGGACCCCAGGGTCCCCCAGGTCCGGCAGGGGCTCCTGTAAGTGTGTGGATAGGTATAACACAGAAACACTATGGATGCTGAAACCATATTTTGCCTTCAGCAGCAGCTGGTCTATAATTATACCATTTGTTTGGCTGTGATTTGTTGGACAATAATAAAAACCATAGTGTGTGTTTGTTGTGTTTGATTAAAAGATATTTTAACAGCACAATTTAAAAGAAAAAAGGAAAAATGAAATCTGTCACTGCTTTGCAGGGAGGTCTGGGGAGACCAGGACCTGAGGGGAAACAGGGCATGGTAGGGGAGAAGGTAAGATCCTCCTGTTCCATTCCCATGTGTCATACATCTTATAATGTATAATTAACATATTTAATACATTCTAGTTTTCCAGAATATGTCAGATTGTAATTGTTCTAAAGTAAAAATTATTTGGTCCATTTTTGGGGTTTATTCTGCATCATTTCAGTGATTGAAACAAGTAATAATTCAATGGAAACAACAAATAGGCTCCAGCCCCCCCATGACCACCAACAGGATCAGGGGTTGTGGAAAATGAATGAATGAATGAACAAATTAATGAATAATTCAGTTTGTTTCACTGTGATTTTATTATATTGATCATGTGACTGCCTCACATTGGCTACAGGTACTATATATGTGAGGCCACACCTGTATTTTTTGAAGCCATGTTGAACTCCTACAGTATTCGAAACACGTTGACTTTTTAAATGATTCAGGCACTACAATGAAGGCTTTTTAATTATTCCTTCCTTGTTTATATTTTTTCATATTTTTAAAATGTTGACCCACTTCTTTAAAGCCTATCACCCACCTCTTACATACATTTGAGACTACTAGACTACCTCACTCAGTTTGCTAACACCATGAAGAAAGAAATGGAGAGCTAAACCCACCTTTCACCAGTTTGGGGTGGAAATAGATTTGGGTCACTTGCATCAGCTATTCAGCATGATCTTGTCGAATGAGCAGTTAGTTTTGCAGCAACAGTTACATTTCCATAGCAGGAGAGGGCATTTAACTCCAGTTTCAACCCCCAAAATAGAGTGCTGCAGGGATGAAGTTTTTTTGTAGGCCAATGCCAAAGTTGGTGTCATCCGGGTTCCCTCGTCAAAAAGCCAATGTGACTTTTTTTGTAGGATTTCGGATTATTGCAGGGAGTAAGCTCAGTGGCAATCACAAGTTTATGATACTTGCATGTTTTGTTCAGCAAGATAATCTTCACAAATGAGCAACCCTTTATGATTTTTGAAGCATTTCCAGAAGTAAAAAGCTAGCATTAGGCTATAAATGAACTACATTCCGGTCACATGACTTCAACGTTGCCACCACTACAGGGCTGCTAAGCTGTGTTTGACCTGATGACATTCTGTAGTCTCATTTAGCAACTAATTAGCAACCGTCTGTTTTAAGACACTTAAAGGCTTCAACATTCACCAGTGGGATGTTTGCTGATGTATTTTATGTTGTAGAACAAAACAGGAAAGTCTCCTAAGCTTGTGTTAACCACGGACCTCATGTGAGGCATCTAACCAAAGATCTTAGACAGGTCAGGACCGTGAGGGAGGGAAAAGAACAGAGTTGAGTCAAGATGGAAGGTTCAAGCAGCAGCAGCAGTCCCTCCAAAACAGACTTCCATTTCCTGGCAATATCACCATCAATTTGACTTCCAACATGTGCAGCACAAGTCTGTGCCAGTATTGCTTTTGTAACAATAATTTGACCAACTGTAAATGCTGAATATGCAAAATGCATTTTATTTGCAGTGAAAATGTTCCAAGATGTTAAAAGCAAAAACAGAAACTTAGTGGAACTGCCTGCATTCATTTTTTGTATAAGGTGCAGTTTTTTAATGAATGATTATCCAAAAGTATTCAGATTAGATTATATTGTATTTATAACCCGAATGAATTACCTAATTTATTAAAAGAATTGCCACATAATTTGTGTTCTGTAACTGCCTATATTTCAAAGTAATCTGATCCTGCCTGTCTTTTGCTTGTTTTGAGAACCAAATGTTTTTTCAGACAGCTCTTTTAAAAATTGGGAATATAAAAATAACCCTGCAGCTGCTAAATTACTCCTTTACCAGTTGGAAAATGTTCAGAAGTGCACTAATTAGCTTTGTCACAGACCAGTTTATATTTAACCCCTACAGGGAGACGATGGCAAGAACGGACCACCGGGGAGGACGGGTCATGTTGGACGGAGGGTAAGAGCTTTCTGTTTTCAGTCTTGTTTAACATTTCACAGGTAAAATTCAGTTTTTAATAATATACAGATGTTGCAAATAATCCAGACTTGTGATGAATCCAACAAGGTCAATATCCAGTCACTCTCTGTCTGTAATACCGATGCTATTACTTTTTTACGACTCTGTGATAAGAGAGCCTTTGTTTGGTGTCAAAAACAGCGGCATTCATACAGATATTATGGAGTGTGTGTTGGATAAAATGGCCAGAAACAGACAATCTGGCAGCCTCTGCATGTGCAGATTCATACATAAAACATGAGGTTGCTTCGTGCATGTCCCCTTTTGTTTCTCTGTAACCTCATTGAAAAACATTGCAAACTTATCAACAGGGGAAACGGGGAAAGGCTGGAGTCAGAGGGGCCAGGGGAGACAGAGGACCTAAGGTGAGAAACACGGAAACAAGGCCGCAGGCTTTGTGTACATCTGGTTTAATAATGATGTATGAGCCAGCAGTAGATTGTGTTTTTGTCATTCAGGGCCAGAAGGGAGACACAGGACTGGTGGGCCTCCCTGGATGGCCAGGGCTCATCGTAAGTCAATTTATTTGTTCACTTAACACCTGTTTTTATTTCCTAGGCAAACATATTCACATATTCAGCAGTCTGTCCTGCTTTGGAGGGATGAGATTAATAAAGTGATGAATTTCACAATTAAAGTGCGTTTGATCAATCAGTGATGTGATTTCCTTTTGATATGTTTCTTTCATTTGTTGTCCCCAAGGGAATCCCAGGCTTGCGTGGAGAGCCAGGAGATCAAGGCGAAAAGGGGAAAGAGGTAAACAAGAATTTATAAGCCCAACACACACCCAGTGAAACCTTTATTTTTATGATCAAACCCAACTGGATCTCATTGTATTCAGTGTGTAAACAAGGCTAGTTTCAGTTTTTGTTAAAATAATAGCGATTTATTCAGGATTCAGTAAAAAAAAAATAGCATTTTTGTTTAATTTATTTTTAATAGAATAGTATTAGTATGTTGCTTTATTTAGAAAAATCCAATTATAAAATAATATAAATCTATAGTACTGAGTGCTGAGCTCTGAGTTTAAGATTCTGGAGCATATCACAAGGATGTCACTCAGATTTTGTCTTAACATCTGAATCCACAAAGCCAGTAGTGCTGCTGGAACTTACGGTTTCCCTGGGAGGACCCATGTGCCAAAAAAGGCCAAATACCTTGAGCTGTTAGAGGCCTGTAGAGAGAGGTTGAAAGGCCCGCTGTGAGCCAATCGAGGTGGGCTGCAGGGGTTTCACTGGGCACTGATGCTTGGCATCAGAGAGTTGCAGGAGAGGAAAGCCACCGGAAACATCAGTGAGGCTGCAGAAAAAGCCTCAAGGTGGCTGTGGATCAAGAGGGCAGAACCATGGTATCGTGCACAGCTTGGACACAAGCCAGGGACTGATCAGTGGCTGATGAGCTAAGTCCCGAAACACCCTATGACTCTGTTCATGACTGATGTGTCCAAGCTGCACCAACTAGGTATTTCAAATAGATAGTATTATATAAAATATGTGCGTTTCATACATATATAAATCCAAACATTGTACATAAGTAAATTGAGGTAATTTATTCTCTAGGACCACTGCAGCCCCAAGACAGTAACAATAGCCCACCAACATTAGCTACTTTACCTAAGCAGTCTTAACAAACAGCTGCTGCTAATCAGTTTTTTCCCAAAAGTTGAAGTTTGTCACTACAGTTGGAGCAGCTATGAACGGAACAGGTTTAATCGATTGGGTCAAAAGTATTGTGACATAGAAAGTAAAGGTAAAGTAGAAAACTGTACAGTTCTGAGGACAGCTTGCGTTCATGCATGCACGAATTGTCGGGAGACACCATCCAAGTAATGGCGGCTTGTGTACTTAGAGTACTTTCCTGGATTCGTCTATATATAATGTGGTGGATTCATATTTTTTGAATGATTATTTTTTAGGGCTTTTTGCCTTTAATGACAGGACAGTTTGAAGTGTAAAAGCGGGAGAGATAAAGGGGACGACATGCAGTAAAGGGCCACAGGCTGGAACCAAACACATGACTGCTGCGGCAAGGACACTGCCTTTGTGCATGGGGTGCTCGCCCTTCCTACTGAGCTACTGGGCTCTCTGGTGGTGGATTATTTAAATTCGCTTCCCCCACTTCATGAAAGTGGCACACAGCCGAACTTGATGTGTACAGAAGATGTGGATTATCATTAATAAGCCGAAATGGAGAATACTGTTAATAGAGAGGTGTTGCTGCACACAATGGTATTTTATTGTGCTGTTCTGTTGTCTGAGTGAAGACGGAGACTTGACTGTATTGTTTCTTCAGGGTGAGAAAGGAGACATGGGACTACCTGGACCGCCTGGAGCTGATGGCATGAAGGTAGGAGCTGCAAGACTTAATGTGTTAATACGGAGACAAATATAATGTCTGCAAAACAAATAATAGAAATATTTGGTTGGTAATTGTGTCCGAAAGTGTGACGGTAAAGCAGCCAGCAATGTCCATTATATTTCTGTATCAGTAGTTACAGTACAGCACAGTGGGGCAGTCCCAGGGTTTTGTACTTGGTTCATGCTGCTCACTGGTGAGGCCCCCTGGGACGCTAATAGAACAGAGCCATTGTTAACGTTAGTAGTGTTCCCTGCTGTGCCAGGTCAAGATGTCAGCTGTGGAAAAGGCCTATTCTGACGTCCGAAATATGTGTGTGTGTGTGTGTGTGTGTGTGTGTGTGTGATGGGGGTTGGAAGGGTAGGGGGGTCTTAAGCTGTTCAACGATCCAGTAAGCACTTGTGATGGTGCCTCAAAGCTACACTGTGGGACTTTTACACATAAATGCAGGTACATTACACTCAGCCCTTGTCAAATGAGTTCACACACTGCTGATTAAGCCCATCGCCGCCAGGGAAAGCTCTCTGTATATCTCAGAATACTGGAGTTTTGGTGTCAAGAGGTCTGTGGCGCATTTTCCATGCAGGCACACCGGAGTTAATGCGTTTTATGTCAAGCAGGCAGAGCGAATAGGGGAAGACATTATTTATTTATTTTATTTTTTCCATTTTGTTTTCCTCAATGCTTTACCTGTATGTGCGTGATTCTGATGCTTTCTTCTGATACTATGTATGTTGACAATTTAGAATAAATATTCTTTCAAGAAAAGGGATGGGGGGACCATAGCGACGGAGCAGCAGCTAGGAGTATGGTGGAGGCTAAAGCAGAGAAGCGTTTAAGAAAGGTTTCTGGAGTGGATGCTCCAGATTAAAAAGGAATTCACCCTGCAAAGAAAGGATTAAAGTAAAAAAAAAAAAAAAAAAGATGCAGCAAGCTCACCTGCATGCATATGTCATAAACACACATACACAGTGTTTATGAAATTACTTCCACTGCCAGAGGGGGGAGACAAAAGTTCTGCACTCCAGCTTTAAAGGAATATGTGCACTTACCTTTATTTAGCAAAAGTAAATTGAGTAACCACGCTTGAGGATTTGGAATAGTGACATTTTCAATACATATTCAATACAATTTAATTTCATAAAATTCTCACTCCACCACATACTATATGTTTTTTTATCCATCCATTTTCATCCACTTATCCGGGGCTGGGACGCGGGGGCAGCAGGCCAAGCAAAGCACCCCAGACGTCCCTCTCCCCAGCAACACTTTCCAGCTCCTCCTGGGGGACTCCAAGGTGTTCCCAGGCTAGATGAGATATGTAATCCCTCCAGCGTGTTCTGGGTCTGCCCCGGGGCCTCCTACCAGTGGGACGTACCTGCACTTCCCTCACACACTGTGGTTTCCCACACCAACGTACAGTGAAGAACAGTAACACAAAAATAAATGACAAAGTCCAAACACAGTACGTCCTTCACTGCCTGTTTATCATTGAGATAACAAGTGTGAATGATTTAAAAATGTATTAGTCTTGTCCAGAAGGTTTTTAAAACATTATCCTGACAGGGGGAGTGGAGTGAGTTATAAAGGGGTGAGTTATAAAGGGGATGTGAAGGTCCCTTTGTAATGAAAGTTGTTTTACATCAAATTGGCTCAGTCTTGGAGGAGGTGCCTGCTGTTTTAGTTGCATGATTGATGATCCAAAAAAAAAAAAAGTTTTGATTCATTTTTAACCGAGAGAAAGTTGTACCAGGATGGAATGTTAAATGTCTGACTGTTATTTGTAGACAGCTGTTAAAATGTCCTTCCTTATGCTATCCCTCAGCATCTAGAGGCACATGTTGCTATCCTAATTCTAAAGGCCTGCTTAACAATCTATTATCTCTACAACAAGGCTTCTTGCAAAGCCCAAGAAGAGATTTACTGAAACTAGGGTGAATGTATTTGACCATAATTGAAGGTTTGATAGAATATTCTTTTATACAGTCTATGGTTAGACTCTATATATTCCTCTTATGGATGATTTTTGAGTTTCCTTGTGGGTAAGTCATTGGAAACAGTATGTCTGTCCTTTTTTTTTTTTAATCAATTAATGAATTTACTGATTTTTCATAGGGTATTCGTGGTGCTGTTGGGTTTCCTGGTCCAGTGGGCACAAAGGGCGAGCAGGTACCTTCTTATCTTCGCACTTGTGTTTTCAAGCTTTAATGTTTACTACATTTGAATTAGGGCTGCACAATTAATAGAATAGTAATCATGATCATGATTTTGGCTTCCCATAATTTAGTAAACATAATAGACTGTGATACTGACATTTAAAATGCGTGCTCTGTATATCAAGCACTTCTTAAACTAACAGCCAACTCCCTTTTTGGGGAGCTGTCCTGCCTCTGCACACACCATGCCCTCCAGAATAAAAGGTAATATACAACAAAGCAGACAAGTGTAACGAAAATAAAATGTCTGGAGCAGAAGGTGAAGAGCTCGTCCCTTGAAACGAAACGAAATACAGTACAGGCCAAAAGTTTGGACACACCTTCTCATTCAATGCGTTTTCTTTATTTTCATGACTATTTACATTGTAGATTCTCACTGAAGGCATCAAAACTATGAATGAACACATGTGGAGTTATGTACTTAACAAAAAAAGGTGAAATAACTGAAAACATGTTTTATATTCTAGTTTCTTCAAAATAGCCACCCTTTGCTCTGATTACTGCTTTGCACACTCTTGGCATTCTCTCCATGAGCTTCAAGAGGTAGTCACCTGAAATGGTTTCCACTTCACAGGTGTGCCTTATCAGGGTTAATTAGTGGAATTTCTTGCTTTATCAATGGGGTTGGGACCATCAGTTGTGTTGTGCAGAAGTCAGGTTAATACACAGCCGACAGCCCTATTGGACAACTGTTAAAATTCATATTATGGCAAGAACCAATCAGCTAACTAAAGAAAAACGAGTGGCCATCATTACTTTAAGAAATGAAGGTCAGTCAGTCCGGAAAATTGCAAAAACTTTAAATGTGTCCCCAAGTGGAGTCGCAAAAACCATCAAGCGCTACAACGAAACTGGCACACATGAGGACCGACCCAGGAAAGGAAGACCAAGAGTCACCTCTGCTTCTGAGGATAAGTTCATCCCAGTCACCAGCCTCAGAAATCGCAAGTTAACAGCAGCTCAGATCAGAGACCAGATGAATGCCACACAGAGTTCTAGCAGCAGACCCATCTCTAGAACAACTGTTAAGAGGAGACTGCGCGAATCAGGCCTTCATGGTCAAATAGCTGCTAGGAAACCACTGCTAAGGAGAGGCAACAAGCAGAAGAGATTTGTTTGGGCCAAGAAACACAAGGAATGGACATTAGACCAGTGGAAATCTGTGCTTTGGTCTGATGAGTCCAAATTTGAGATCTTTGGTTCCAACCGCCGTGTCTTTGTGAGACGCAGAAAAGGTGAACGGATGGATTCCACATGCCTGGTTCCCACTGTGAAGCATGGAGGAGGAGGTGTGATGGTGTGGGGGTGTTTTGCTGGTGACACTGTTGGGGATTTATTCAAAATTGAAGGCACACTGAACCAGCATGGCTACCACAGCATCCTGCAGCGACATGCCATCCCATCCGGTTTGCGTTTAGTTGGACGATCATTTATTTTTCAACAGGACAATGACCCCAAACACACCTCCAGGCTGTGTAAGGGCTATTTGACCAAGAAGGAGAGTGATGGAGTGCTGCGGCAGATGACCTGGCCTCCACAGTCACCGGACCTGAACCCAATCGAGATGGTTTGGGGTGAGCTGGACCGCAGAGTGAAGGCAAAGGGGCCAACAAGTGCTAAACACCTCTGGGAACTCCTTCAAGACTGTTGGAAAACCATTTCAGGTGACTACCTCTTGAAGCTCATGGAGAGAATGCCAAGAGTGTGCAAAGCAGTAATCAGAGCAAAGGGTGGCTATTTTGAAGAAACTAGAATATAAAACATGTTTTCAGTTATTTCACCTTTTTTTGTTAAGTACATAACTCCACATGTGTTCATTCATAGTTTTGATGCCTTCAGTGAGAATCTACAATGTAAATAGTCATGAAAATAAAGAAAACGCATTGAATGAGAAGGTGTGTCCAAACTTTTGGCCTGTACTGTATTTCGGAATCAGAGAGTGAGACTTGTGTCTGAGCTGCAAAGCAATACGACTGACTTGTTCACCTATCTAAAAAAAAAAAAAAAAAAAAAAAAACACTACAAACTGCAATACCATCAATTCATGAGGACCAAGAAGAATAATGTTCCAAACAAAACCTCACTGAATCCCCATCCTTGTCCACCGTCAACTCCAAATCCAGCAATGCTGTACAGCACGTCACTGTATCCATCCAGCCCCCAAAATGGACTGAAATAACCAATGCAATGACATTCTATTTAGCCAAAGATAGTGTCCAACAAACACTTTAATTAGTAATTTGCTTCTTGGAAATGGACTGAAGTCAGATGAAGAAAAACCTTATCTTGAGTCTTATTTTGATGCAGTGATTTGTACGTTAGCAGGAATGTGGCACAACCTAGAAGTAAAAGCAGTGTTTATTTCAGTATGAAAGTGCAATAAAAATATTTTGTCCCTAAAATTAGTGGATCCATCCATCCATTTTCATCCGCTTATCCGGGGCTGGGTTGTGGGGCCAGCAGGCCAAGCAAAGCACCCCAGACACCCCTCTCCCCAGCAACACTTTCCAGCTCCTCCCGGGGGACCCCAAGGTGTTCCCAGGCCAGATGAGATATGTAATCCCTCCAGTGTATTCTGGGTCTGCTCCGGGGCCTCCTACCACTGGGACGTGCCTGAAACACCTTCAGCGGGAGGCACCCAGGAGGCATCCTGATAAGATGCCCATACCACCTCAACTGATCCCTTTTGACGTGCCCTACGTCCCCAGCGGCCCTACTCCAGGCTCCCTCCAGATGTCCGAGCTCCTCACCCTATCTCTAAGGCTGAGCCCAGACACCCTTCAGAGGAAACTCATTTTGGCTGCTTGTGTTCGCGATCTCATTCTTTCAGTCACTACCCAGTGCTCATGACCATAGGTGAGGGTTGGGACGTAAATGGACCAGTACATCGAAAGCTGTGCCTTCCAGCTCAGCTCCTCTTCACAAATGACAGTCCGGCGCAGTGCCTGATTCATCTCACACTCCATTCTACCCTCACTCATGACCAATACCCTGAGACACTTGAACTCCCTCGCTTGAGGCAGTAACACTCTCCCAACCCAGAGGGGGAAATCCACTATTTTCCGGCAGAGAACCATGGCCTCAGATTTGGAGGTGCTGACTCTCAATCCTGACCGCTTCACACTTGGCTGAAAAACCACCCCAGTGCCTGCTGGAGGTCACGGTGTGATGAAGCCAATAGAACCACCTGCAAAAAGCAGAGATGCAATTCTGAGGACCTCAAACCGGACCTCTTCCTCCCCCCAGGTGCACCTCAAGATCCTGTCCATGAAAATCACAAACAACCCTGGTGGAGGCCAACACCCACTGAGACTGTGTTTGACTTTAAATCAGTGAATAATCAAGATCTGACTATCGATCAAAATAAGCGTTGTCATGATCATTTTAGCCATAATCATGCAGCCCTAATTTACATATGTTTTAATGATGTCTAGCTTTGACAAATGTGCACCTTCCTCTCTCTGTGTATCTCTTGTAGGGAAATATTGGTCTATCAGGACCGAGGGGAACACCGGGGATGCCAGGAATGCCTGTAAGTTTCATGTCAGAAATCAGGGTGACGTCTGAAATCTTTTACTTCACTTTGCAAGTAGTTTATGTAACATATTTTATTCATTGTGCTTTCTTTTGTTGCTGGCCCTTCAACTGGGTTTGTAACTGGCATTTTGTTTTTGAGTTTGGCTTTCATGTTGTTTATGTTGTTGCTTTGTTTTGTGGAAAGAACCTTCCAACTGTCTCTGAAACTCCCTTCAGATGTACAAAGTTTATTCAGGCTATACATGTTTTACTTGTTGTCTTGGATATTTTATAGTTTGAATTCAAGCAGTTCATCTGTCACTCAGATTTTTCTTTCTCCAGATTGTGTCTGAAAAATGGAGCGAGCACAAAACTGGAACGTGTGATGGAAATGTTATTGTTTTGTAAGATTAACTCATGCAGACTGTTATCTGTCAGCCAAATAATCTTTTCTTCAGCTGCCAGTCTGTTGAATCATTCACAGTTCACCAGCACATCATGATTGTGTTCAGCTCACTGTGTCTTGGGGGGGGGGGGATTCCATTGACTTTGGTGTCTGATAGGTTCTTAATGCAGCAGATAAAAGCACTCGGAAGCTCTCTGTCGATAAATGTACTTCACCGTGGAAAAAAATCGTACTAATGCCCTTTTCCTCCCCTGTTCTCTCCTCTGTTGCAGGGTTTGTTTGGATTAAAGGTATGATATCATCAACTCAAGCACTCTTGTCCTGACAGATCAAACTCTCCTCAGCTCTCACTCACCCTTATCTGAAGTGCTGAATGTCCCGCAGGGTTTTTAACATTAGGATCGCTTCGGTTGTGTGTTGATGGCACATATAATCATAAAGCTGTCACACTTTGGAGCTGGTGTTAGAATGTAATGAGATTTTCCAGCCATCTTTATTTCCATATCAATGTGTTTTTATAGTTAATGGTGGGGTATTGTTGTACAGAACAGCGCTGAATTGTATGTTGTGCTTATCACATTTTCTTTTCCCTGCAGGGTTTGAAAGGATACCAAGGTTTCCCTGGTGTGCCCGGCAGGAGGGGGCTTCCAGTGAGTTCACAGCAAACAAACTGTAAATAAGAGTTTGAGTGGTTGCAATGTGCTTATCATATTAATATAAAGCACATCCAAATTGTATAGATTTATACAAATGTGTATAGATTGACAATGCCTGATAAGCTCAATAAATATTAGATTAAGGCCTGAACATACTCGGGCGGAACGTGCGCAGAATGGACTCCGCGGAGGTCTGTGCGGACTCAAAGCAGACGTCCACAAGCCCTGTGCGCGCAAAGCTCAGATTTTACGACCGCACAGACTCCGCTCCAATCACAAGTGACTGCTCGGCATGTATTTTTCACATCACGGGGATTTTTCACGGACATTTTTACAGGAAACTACAACGCGGAAATGCGCTCGACTATGAAAGCCCGAATGACTGCGGACATTCCTCGTGGAGTCCGCTCCACTTCTAGTGTGCACGAGTATGTTCGGGCTGCATACTTTATGTTGTGTCTGACAATTGGATCTGTTTATTACTTGCCTGGGTTTACCTGAGTTCTTCTTCTTCAGCTCAAGGCGACCCAAATTGAAAAAGGCATATTTTTCCTCTTACTTGTAGTGCTATTTATCAGTCTAGATTGTTTTGGTGTGAGCAGCTGTAGAGATGTCTGCCTTCTCTCCAATAGAACTAGATGGCACTCAGCTTGTGGTGCTCAAAGCGCCAAAAAATTCATTTGAAAAACTCAACAGCAATGTCTCTTTCCAGAAATCATGACCTGGTTACTCAAGATAATCCACAGACATTGTTGTGAGCAGCTTCATGTAGGAACTGTTTTCTTTCTATCAAACTACACCCACCAACTATATAACAGTGCAGAAGGAAGAGTGCATCTACACTTGAGAGGCTCATGCTCATGACAGCACAAGATGTAAACGTTAATGGCGTCCTTCTCATCTGAGCTGAAATGTTAGCTAGTTCTGTGATGCTAGGTGAGCTAGCAGTGGATACAATTCAGTTCAATAAAAATCTCCCAAAGGAATGTCTGTGCCATAGAATGCTTCAGATTACAGTAACACTAAGTACAGTAACCGCAATTTTAACGATTCACAACCAGTAACAACCAGTGGGTTACCCGGGTCAGGGTTGCTCACTGGGCCCAGTTTTATAACAATAGTACATAAAATTTGTGGCAGAAAATAAAAATGTAAAAGAGTGTTTTCAAGGAGCTGCAGTGCCTCACAGAGTAACAATAGGAGTAAGATGGGCACAAGAGGGGCGTCGGTAGCGTAGTGGATAGTGCCAGCGCCCCATATACAAAGGCGATTCATCGCCGCCGCGGCGATCGCAGGTTCGACCCCGGCTTGCGACCCTCTCTGCATGTCATTCCCCCGCTTCCTCTCTCCCCATTTCACCCTGTCTCTGTCCATTAAAGGCAAAAAGGCCTGAAAAAAATAATCTTTAAAAAAAAAAAAGATAAATATAAGACTTACGAAAAATGAAATAAAATGGTAGAAAAAACAGACTGTGACTGCTAATCAATGTTATATTGAATCGGAAGTATCAACCAGAAGTTGTACATGCTTCCTTCTGTGTAATGATACAGTTGGCAGGTGTAGTTTGGTAGAAAGAAAATAATTCCCTTTCATGAAACTGCTCACAACAAGGTCTGTGGATTATCTTGAGTAACCTGGTCATGACTTACTTTGTTGAACACCACATTGTTTGATTTAGGAAAACTGTCAAAATGTGAAACAGCTTAAGAAATAAACCACTGTCATCGCATTGCCTCACCACTCAGTTGTTTGATGAATGTAAGATTTTTACAATTGGAGCATAGTGTGAGACTTTATTCACTTTATAGTTCTATCTCTTGTGGTGGATAACAACTGGATTCTTATATTGATATTTTTTTAGTGGTGTTGTAGTGTTTTGTAGTGTTGTACCCAACATATGCATCTTCCTTGTGTTTTAGGGTCCACCAGGGGTCCCAGGACCCCCAGGACAGTCACTGAACATGACACTAACTCAACTCAAGGCAAGTTGTTTGTGTCTTCAGTGTTGAAGTATTTTGTTAAATGTAGGGTTGGAATTTTATGTTATCATGTAAGCATTTAAAATGTGTTGTGACTGTACTACAATATTTTTTTTTTTTTCTCCCCCCCTGTCCAGGACCTGATGTATGTGTCCGATAAGCCCAACTACCCTCTGATCCAAACTCTGCTAGATTCTCTGCAACAGGAGCTCCGGCTGCTGGTGGATCCTCCTGACGGCAGCAAGGAGCATCCTGCCACCACCTGTCTGGAGCTCTGGCTCTGTCACCCTGAATACAGCAGCGGTAGGTTCCCAAAACAATGAAGTAACAGTGAATCCACATTGAATTATTTTGGGAATCACAAAGCTGGTTGGAGTTCTGGATGTTGTCCTTCCTGCATGTCTGCATCAGACAGGACATGCCGACAAAATACATTTTCCTGCTAACATTTATAATTTTAGCCACAGAAAAACTCAGTTTGATAATTTTAGATTGAACATAATAGTACAGTCCAGTACGGTAGAGTGGTTGTGTTCCTAGTGTTGCTCAGCTCCTTCTCTCCATGTGAAGCCCAACAATTCCATCCCTCATGGATCTCATTGAACTCTCACTAACCTTTCTCTGCAGGAATGTATTACATTGACCCCAACCAGGGCAGCACAGCGGACGCTCTGCTGGCCTACTGCAGCTTCTCTCCCACATCAAAACAGACCTGCCTTCATCCTCAAGACTCTCAGGTATAAAGGCATCACCTGAGAAAGGCCACAGGAAATTGCACCTCTGGATCAATGGCCTGCTCGCTATCTTCACTTATTCATGTTGTACAACCTGACTCGCAATTCGGTGAACTGTCAGTCTGCTCACACTTTGGTAGTGATGGCGTAGACTTGATTCCTACAGTGTCACTTGTGAAATTATTTGATTCACTGACTTTGTTGCTGAGATCAGCGATCTGGGACACACACACACACACATACACACACAGATTCTTTCACCCTACAGTTTCCAGGACTCACTACAAAATTTCCATAAATATGATTTCAGAGCATTATGATAAAACATATAAATTCTAGTGATTACAAAACATATAATGTTTTACATACAATTTTGTCCAGTGGGAAAGAGACTTTAGTCTCGCTTTAACATTGTGCCGTAACGTTGGTGAGTACTCTCTGTTTAAGAAGATTTAGATCTCAAGAGTCCATCCTGAGTAGATAAAGAAAAATTCGTCCTATTAATTACCCAGCAACACTAAACTTCATGCATGAAAAATGTTTCTTCCCTGTGGGAAGGAAGGGAGCAGTGCGTGGCTAATCAAGACAATACATTAATTCAAAGGACGATCAGGACACAGACGTTATTATTGTTGTTATTATTGTCCTTTTCTCTCCTGCGGTCTGCATCAAAACACAAAACGCACCTCTCACCTCTAATAGAATCAAAACTCCATAAAAAATTGACTCGCTCATCCAGAGAATAATATGAATTTGGTCTCAGGTAGCGTGAAGTGAATGCATAGCTCACCCAGGTAGCCACTTTATCTCTGGTTCCTACTTGAGCTGCATGCTAATCCAGAGTTCACCAGCCGCTGACTGAACAATGTTGACCTTCAGAAGTTTGTTACAAGACAGCCGGACTTACATTCAGGTGTGGAAATACGTGCCTTCTTTTCTCTGTCTGCAGTTTCCTATGAAAGCCTGGATGGAAGAATTTTCGGAAGAAGGATCTTTTGAGTGGCTTAGCAGGCTGGAGCAGGGCTTTCAGGTGAGTGACTCCTCTTGAAGGGACCAAAACTAAATGCTGGATCTCAAACAAAGACTTTAAAAATAATGCACATACTACAGTGATGTCATCTATTGGTTTGTGGACCACCATGACTCCCTCTGGAGTCAGGGGTGACCATAGTTGGGAGGAGAGGTCGGCACTGTGGTGGAGCGAGGGGTGGATATGACTAAGGACACTATCAGCAGACAGCCTGTCACTCAAAGAAGCCCTGCCCTTAAGTATTCTTGTCTTTAAGCCTTAATAAAATGTAAACAGGTGAGTTATATAACAATTCACACCTGTACAGTTGTCATGAACAGGGATATGAGCTATAGAGAACAAAATAGTTTTTTGTACAAGGCTGTAAAGTCAGGCATTTTAACGTGGGGGTCTGTGGGGATTGACTGACTTCTGGAGCCAGGCTCAAATTACAATTTTTGGCACTTCCATGTTGGCTCCATTTTTCTGTCCTGGGGGTTGCCGCTTGATGTCAAATCACAGTTTAGTATATTCATTAAACCCTGTTAATTGATATTATTGGACACTTGGGGGCAGTGGAAATCCACAACAATCTGAAAAACCCGGACTCTTACATATTGAAACTATATGTTCACCATAAAACAATGAGCTAATGAGGCTAAAAGGCAGCAGGCGACACCTTTCACATTAAATAATACAAACAAAACTGGAGATACATGTCACAATAGAAAATATAATTTTCTACAATGATGTTCCTGTGTTGTTTTCTGTCACAAGATTAAGTGTTTGATTAATGAGACTTTGTTCATTTTAAGGTATGTTTGCTTTTACCGTTAAAAGTAACTGACATTTTCCAACCTGGAGTGTATTTTTCCGTGTTTTTGTGTCCAAGTGACTAATGGGAACAACAATTTTTGGAGTGGAACAGCTTGGGGCATGTGCATATCGACTGTGTACATCCACTAAAAGTGCTTGTTTTTGACACTGACAGGCTCAGATTGTTATTTTTGTTATTTTAAGTGTCTGACAACATTATGGAAACAATCCCTACAGAGATGGACCTTTTTGTTAACGAGTAAGATCCGTTTTGTTAACCAGAAACACCCATGAAATCACTGTCACCAAACCCACCAGACTCCATTTAAATGAAGATAAATTTTATCATCATAGAAAACTCTTCATGCAGAGTCAACAGAAACAAAATAAAAGTCACAAAACCTGTCTTAGTTTGTCTTTCTACTGCTTAAACATGCACCAACTCTGGTTTGGTTGAGATAAACCCTTAATTCACCCATTTAGATATGGAAATATGCTCTCTCTATACACACTAAAATTACAGTTTATTTAAATGGAGTCTGGTGGATTTGCTGATGGCAACTTCAGGGCTGTTTATGGTTAAAGAAAAGGGATCTTACTCTTAAACAAAGATGTCTGTCTCTGCAGAGATTCTGTCCATAATGTTGTCAGACACAATAATCTGAACTCATTAGTGGCAAAAACAAGCACTTTCAATGGACATAAAGTGATGATGCACAAATGCCCCATGTGATTACATCGTAGCCTGTTTCACCACTGCCAGCTGCTGCGCTCTCGCCCAATATGGGACCACTTTCAAACATTGTTGTTCCCATTAGTCACTTAAACACAAAAACACGAGAAAATAGGATCCAGGTTGGAAAACACTGCAATTATCCTTTAATATTGTCACCGTTTCTTCATGCCAGCTGACACTGTTAATACTTTACATTCTTATTCCTTTCTCACCAGTTTTACTATCCAGGTGCAAATGTGGTCCAGATGCGTTTTCTGAGGTTGCACAGCAGCACGGCCTTCCAGAACATGACCTACTCCTGCCACCCAGGACACAGACTGGGGCAGACAGACAGAGAAGTCAAATTCCTCACTGACACAAGGAAGCAAAGTTACCTCGGAGCACTGAAAGACTGCGTGGTAGGTGAAATGTCCCTTTTCATAGTGCCCTTGGGAGACTTAGGGAAGTACAGGTTATCCTGCTGCTGTTCTTTTGTTGAGACAAAACCTAACAAGTTATGCTAAAGTATTGTCACATGAAAACATAATGATTCCTGACTGTTAAATATATATGAATATATGTATTTTGTTTCCTGTGTCAGCCTGGAGAGGAGACCGTTTCTGGAGCCCGGGAATCTGTGTTTGAGTTTGAGGACCTCCATCTGCTTCCTCTGAGAGACATAGCAGTAATGGGAGGTGGAAACTTCACACACCAGTTTGGCTTCACTGTGGGGCCTGTGTGTTTCAGCTAGAGGTGCGAGAAAGCGGTGCCGTCCCAGAACACTCACAGATCCAGGACACAAACCTCTGTTCAAATCATGGACGCCCAGAGGACAACAGGAGCATCTCTTCCAGTTTCTGAAGATGTCACTTCCTTTTCCTCTTGTTTTGGGGGATCTCTCGTTGATCTCTCGAGTTGAGTGACTCCGTATTCATGAATTTGAGAGGACACAAGGCTTTTTTTTTTCCACGGAGAAGTCAATTTTGTTTACAGAGACGTTTATCTTGTATTGAATAATTTAAAAATGTATGTTTTTTTTAATCCTTTTATATACAATGTTTTTTTTTCTCTGTTTGATTTTTGTTATGTATTTTGGGCTTCTGTAATAGCCTGCTCATTGTGTATATAAAAGCCAGACTGTCCTTACTGACCTCTTAAAGGAATAATTCACCCACAAAATGATCATTTGTATATCAGTTGCTTATCCTGTGTTATGTCTAATTTGTGATGCAGACTTTGGTTTTCTCGCATCCCTTCACAGAGGAAGAATCCAAAAAAAGAGAACATTCTTGATGAATTGAAGTGAAAGGGGGCCGTGTTTAACAATAGTACAACTATATCAAAACATCTATTTACAGACTCTCACATGCATTATAAACCAGGTTTCATCAATCCAGTAATATGCTCAGTATTTCCCAAACACATGCATTTTTGCTAAAAACTTACTATTCAAAGCACTTGGGTAAGCATGTGTGTGAGACTGTTTATGGGCCATTTGTATGTGAAAGTGTTTTAAATAGTAAGGCTAAAGAGAAAATATGTGGAAAGTTCTGAGCGTACTAGTAGACTTGCTGAGCATTCCAATCCCCATACCACCATACTATATAGTATGCCAGAGAAAGATTTAGTATGTCCCGATACATAATATGTCAAATGCAGTCTGCCAAAAATTCCAGGTTTTTCTTCGACATCCAGTCCGATTTCACAGTATGCAAGCCAGCATGCTTTTCTGGCTATTCTGACCCACAGTCCTCTGCACAGAGATGTCACATCAACTGTCAAGAATCGCAATGATGGATGACAGCGCATTAAGCTGACTGATGATCAGTCAGTTAGTAATAATAGGAATATTAATTGCATATGTATGAAATAACAATGACAGAGAAATATATAACCTATGTCATTTTATTATGGTGAATATTTTAGACTCTACAGCGTGTGCAGTTATTGCTTTTTGCAGAATAACAGCATCAGAACTCTCTCTGGCGAGCTTGGTGAACGGCGTTTAGTTTTTGTCTCCATGGTATATGAGTAAGAGGATCAAAGTTCAGGGCGTAATATTATGAGGAGGTAATATGTCCTGATTGTGTTCAAACTGCTTGCAACAGTACGTACTTTTTAAGGGCAGCTGCAGTACCTATTAAATGTAAAAAGAAAAAATATGCAATTCAGAACGCACCCTTGGATTTCAAAAAAATACTTTTATTTCAGTGGAGTCTGGCTTTAAAGAGAGCAAGTTTCAGTTGTAGTACAGTTCCTCATCAGAAAGGTCTGTCTGTATGGGACGTACTCAGCATACGATTGGATAAATGAGACTTAGATTACACTGCATTGCTTGTGTGGGAGATACTTAACCTGACCTTTTGATATAGTTGTGCTGTTGTTAAACACGGCCCCCTTTTTACTCTAATTCATCAAGAATTTAGTCTGATTTTGGATTATCCATTGACCATGGAGATGTGAGAAAAATAAAGTTTCCTTTAAGTATTCACTGTAACACTGGTTGAATAATTGACATACAAATGATCATTTTGTGGGTGAAATATTCCTCTAACAATGTGTTCTGCATGGGGACACAGCTACTGTGGTCCCATTGGCCATATGTGACCAGGCCAGTAAACCTTCTCACTGTAAGTTTAGTACTGTAAGTGACCTCAGATGTGTCACTTTTCTCAAGGTGATGGTCAAATTTTATTTTAAAGACCCAAAACAGTAGAGGGGGACAGTCATATTATGTTGTGTGTACTTGATGTCAACAGCAAGACCAAATTTCCTCAGTTTGTTAGAATACAAAACCTTGTTTATTGTTTTTTACAGTTTCATGTAATTGTATGTTTTTGGGTTTTTTACGTCTCAGGTATGATGCATTGATAATATACACATGGGCACTGATGCTGCTGTTGCCACAGTATGTTGGTCAGTTCTGTAGTTTAGCATTAAAGCAAGACTTTGTAGAGTGTTTAGGGGTAAATCTATGAAGACATCAAAACCAACATTGACAACAACTGTGTATTAATCCACAACTGAAAATAGTCCACAACGAATGGAGTATTTACTCCTGTTTGAGAAACGTTGGCTCAGTATAACAGTGCCCAGCTGTTTTAGGAAGGGACGGACTAGAGCATTGTTGGTTTTGCTCTTTTCATTCGATTTATTGACGATAAGAAAATGACAAGAACGCCAGCCTTATCCTTTCAAACTCCTGCACACTGTTGTCAAAAAGTGTTTCAGTCGTATAGCTTTATTAGGCTTCAGAACAAAAATTAGCTTCATAAAGATAATGGCAGACTGAAAAATGAGGTGAAACAAAATGGTGATTCAGTCTGATTATAAGGCAACTATTTTCCCTCGTTTATGACAAAAACATTGCCGCTGCTTTAATACACTTTGTGCTGACAGTGTTTGAGAGTTTACCGCATTGTCATGAGATTTCTTTCTGCTACATTAGACTTATTACTTTTTTAGCAATAGAAATGTCGAGTGTTTAAAGATATTCTCTCTCTTTCTATCAATCTCACGCAAACCAAAGACTGAAGCAGCCCGAGCTTTCATATCCACCTATTCTCTCTTACAACAATACTGTATTTCTTTCGCTGTACTGTAAAGATCATGCATAAGTTCGGCTGTAAAGCGCAAGAGTAGTACCCAGACCCTGCAGAGCTTCTGTTGGAGGAAAAAAAAGTGCCTATTACCAGCCAGTTAACATTGAGTAATTGCTGTCGACCTGACTTTCTGCTTCACTCAATCTGAGAAGTGCTTGGGTCCAGGGAAAAGAAGCAAGCCTTATACCTTCTCAGCTGAATCAGGATTTGGTGTTTATGTCCCAGAGTCGGTCAGCAGGGAGTGATGAGCGGTGCTGTGTGCGGTCTGCAGGGAGGAGAGGATTCATTCAAGTGAGAGTTTGTGCGAAGAGCGTAGCGTAGCGGCTCAGACAAAACAGCAGCTCTGCAGCTGGAAAACACCAAATCTTAATTTTCTTGTTTATACCAAACTCTCAGCTGTGGAGAATCTGAGGGCCTGGGAGTGTTTCACAGGGCTATAGCGGGCCACTGCTATTTAACAGGAAAGAAATGGACTTAAATGAATACTTCACCCACAAAATGATCATTTTGTATTTATTGAATTTGTAGACAAAAATCTGCATGCCTCCATAGTAAAAGGAGAATCAAAAATTTAGAAATTTCCCATAAAATTGTTGTTGTGACACAAGTTATTTTGTGGGTAAAGTATTTCTTCAGTCCTAATCTCAACCACATGAACTGGATAAACGTTTAAGCATTTCAGCCACGGGTTTGCAATTCTGGCCTGGTGTTTAATATTCATTGTTTTGTTTTGTTTTTTATATATCTAGATTGTCATATCATCATTCCATATGATTGCCTTAGCTGGCTGAGACTGATCATTGTTACTTTACTTGTTTTGTACAAATTATCATTTTTTTGGAAATATGAAATGACATGCTGGACATCTGTCTTGTGTGATCCTCCCTGACAGCTCATTCAGAGAATTGCATCAGCTGAATTAAAAAAATACATAACCAAGTCTTGACTCTGTGTCTTTAATCGTCTTTAGTTTTACAGTTATTTGGTCATAAATCAAAATAGTTTGACCTGATGATGGCACTAGGTACAACATCATTATTATTTGTGCTGGATTGTCAGCAGGGGATCGCCAGTCACTATGATTCATCCTGTGGGGATCATATAAGTCTGTACAGTTTCATCTAAATCCATCCAGTTGTTCAGATATTTCAGTCTGGACCAAAGTTGTGGGCCGACTGGGTGATACTGACATTGCCATCTCTAGAGCCAGCATGATTTAAGGTAAGAGGTCCCATCATATATTGTTTGACACAAAGCCTGTAGTTACAACTTCGGAGGAACGGCTGTCACAGTTTGCTGCTCACCAAAAACTAATAGATTCAGAGAGGAAGTGTGCTGCATGGACATCTGCTGCTACTAGGGCATATTAGCACTGAATTTATTTGTTGTCTTTTAATGTCTGAAGCATTATTTTGTCAGACAAGTATGCAACAAACTCATAACAGATGGCACTGTACAAATGTGGGTTTATTCTCCAGTTAAAAGAAAGCGCTAGTCATTGGAATTTTTGCCATATATTGGGATGTTATTGCCAGCTACATGTCAGAAAAGAATACTTTAATGGCCTATGTTTACAACGATAAGTCTGGAGACATAAGGCTGACACAGGAACATTATCAGCAGAATTAATGTCTAATACATTTATGTACAGTGTATTTAAGTATATTTAGTTGGATGCTGTTAAAACTAACTGGCATAAATTACTAACCAGTTTGATCACTTAAGTCTGCCTTAAAAGGCAACCACTGTCACTGCTTCCATTTCTCCTGTCTTTCAAATGCAGAGCTATGAATCATCTATCCATCCTAAGTGCTAATATCGTAGGCAACTGGACTTGCTCGAGTGTTTTTTGAAGAAGCTTTGCCTCTCATCCAAGAAGCTTCTTCAGGTCTAACAGGCTGGTGTGGAGTTGCAGGCTTTAAACTCTGTGTAGAGTCGTCGAGGTCACATGTGAGTTGCTGACCCACCTGGCCATTGTGTGTGTCACTAGGGTTAGATGGGTCCAGGTGTGAATGAGTGTTGAATTGTCTGGGAAGGGATCCCAAGATTGCATTGTAGTTGGGTGGTAATTGGTGTCACAGGCCAGCTCCTCTGTTCAATGGTAGTCATTCCAGTTTGACGTAGATGGCTTATTTTATGCTTCTTTCAAACCAGCTGTCAACCAAACCATCCATCTATCCACAGTCACCCTGCCCATCCACTTATTGCTACCATATTTGCTACCTGAGCCAGGGATGGTAAAAACAAAAAGAATAGCAACTCAGGTACATCATTGTTAAAAGTTGCCTCTGGGCCTTTTCCACATGCCAACCCAGCTGTTGCCCCTTAACTTGCATTCAGCATGTTTATCACATACCACAGAGCACAATGGGCCAGACAAACAACAAAACCAGAGCCATGAGGTTTCTGGAGCGCTATCAGCTGTGCCTCAGCGATTGCCTGCCCAGCAGTGGTGGAAGATATATTCAGATCCTTAACTTAAGTAAAAGCACTGATGCAACACTGTGGAAATACTCCACTGCAAGTAAGAGGCATGCATTCAAACCTTACATAGAGGTAAGTGTTATCAGCAAAAATAAAACTAAGCTACTCACTCTTTAGTAAAAAGTTCCTTGTCAGTGTTTTACTATGATATGCGATATTCCTTGATTAATAATATTACTGCTGCATTAGTGCATAGATGCATTTTACTGCTGTAGATGCTGAAGGCTGTGCTCATTTTAACTCAAGAGAAAATATCAATAATATAAGACAATATCCCAGTGATAAAATTTCACTTGATTAATTCCAGTAAATCGCTAATTGAGTCTTTTAGTCAGCTGAACATGCAAAAATGTAAACTTTGTCCACAGGCAAGCACACAATTGAACTTTCTGTGCAATATAGTTCAGTATATTAATTTATTCTCCACAATACAACTTGCATGTACATATTAAATTGACATATAATACAAATAACTGTACATATTTTTTATTTCTATTCTTATTTTTATTCTATTGATGTAACAAACTAGTTTATATAGTGAAATGTAGCACTTATTGGTATATTTTTATACATTTTGCAGACTCAGCCACTGAACATATTTGTATTGTTAATATTTTACATACAAGTGTTAACCATTGTAGTATAACACACACACTTTATTTTCTCTGTATTTTATTTTAATTTTATTCTATTTACATACTTATTATTTCCTTCTTGTAATTCACAACATCCCCTCAAAGATCAATAAAGTATTTCTGATTCTGATTTAAAGTTAGTTTGCAATTTTTATTATTAATATTTACATGGGTTTAAATGGAGCTGGTCATTCAACGGATTTTTTTTTTTTTTTTTTTTTGTATTTTTTATTATTATTTTTTTTTTTTTTTAATGAAGAACAGCTAGAATTGAATAAAAATGACCTGTCAAACTAATAAAAGCCAAAATTGTGTCAGTACATCAGAACACAGTGTTGTTAAGGGTTAACGCTCAGCCCATCGCAGCACGTGCACACGTCACGTGACGCGCAGCATCATCTCTCGTCAGCGCTTACTTTTCCGCATCTGTCTCTGGTTGTTGCTTCGCTAACTTTAGCCATGTTTCCCTCAGTTTTATCGGTCTGACATTTCATGTAGCTGCCGCTCGTGTTGTGTGCCGGTCGGACGGACCGCTGTGCTACATGTTGGTTCTTCTAACGGCCGGACAGCGTCACTTTCCATTCAGGAACAAGCCGAAGAAGCTAGCTAGCATCTCTAGCTAACAGCTGGTTAGCTTCCAGGAGAATAACGTCGCTGTGAGGCAACCAACCAGGCACAAAGGTGAGGGGGAGGTAACCCAGGGGTTACTTTGTGGGTTTTTGTCTGTGTTTAAACAGGAGGAGCAGCTAAAGTAACAAATTAACAGAGTTCGGTGATTAATTAGCCTACTTAGCTGAAATAGCTCGTTGCTGCAGGTGACTTTTCTTGTCATTTGGTGCAAGTTACAGTAACTTACTTTCATTACTGACTGAATTCTTATAATCTTTCTGTCATCAGCTGCTCTCTGACGAAATAAGGAGCTGCAAGACATGTAGAGCAGCTTATTGTCAGAGTTATATTCCAGATAGCTTTGCTTTTAAGCTGCTTTCACTTAAAGTGTTTAGCTGTAATCAAGCCTTCTTACTAAGACCCCTTAAAGGAGCATCATGTGTGTGTTCAGCCCTGTTTCACGTTAACAATCAATGTTAGAAGTTAAGGGTGTTTCCTAAGGGCTCTTGTAAGTGTTTACACCCTTTTCCCAAGACATCACTCAAGAGCAAGTACACCACATGCATGTCAGCTGTCCATGGTGCTGAAGGGGATTGTTATGAATACTATAAATGATGGTTGATGTGATTTAAGGCACATGCAGTATTGGGAAGGTTACTTTTGAAATGTAATAGGTTACAGATGACGAGTTACTCTGTTAAAAATGTAATAACTATACATGATATAACTATTTTGATTACTTTATCAAAGTAATAATACATTTGAATACTTTTCTAACAAGGTGATAAAACTGAAAATAGTTTGGAAATAGGTCATGCCAAAAGAAGATATACCTGCAAGGCAAAAAAGATGCAAAGCAGAATGAATGTTATATTGAATATGAATGAATATTAAATTTCTTTTTCTCTATCTCTAACCAGTTACATGTATTGTGTAATTTAATTACATGTCACTAGTAGCTTCCCAACACTGGCCATATACAGTACAGGCCAAAAGTTTGGACACACCTTCTCATTCAATGCGTTTTCTTTATTTTCATGACTATTTACATTGTAGATTCTCACTGAAGGCATCAAAACTATGAATGAACACATGTGGAGTTATGTACTTAACAAAAAAAGGTGAAATAACTGAAAACATGTTTTATATTCTAGTTTCTTCAAAATAGCCACCCTTTGCTCTGATTACTGCTTTGCACACTCTTGGCATTCTCTCCATGAGCTTCAAGAGGTAGTCACCTGAAATGGTTTTCCAACAGTCTTGAAGGAGTTCCCAGAGGTGTTTAGCACTTGTTGGCCCCTTTGCCTTCACTCTGCGGTCCAGCTCACCCCAAACCATCTCGATTGGGTTCAGGTCCGGTGACTGTGGAGGCCAGGTCATCTGCCGCAGCACTCCATCACTCTCCTTCTTGGTCAAATAGCCCTTACACAGCCTGGAGGTGTGTTTGGGGTCATTGTCCTGTTGAAAAATAAATGATCGTCCAACTAAACGCAAACCGGATGGGATGGCATGTCGCTGCAGGATGCTGTGGTAGCCATGCTGGTTCAGTGTGCCTTCAATTTTGAATAAATCCCCAACAGTGTCACCAGCAAAACACCCCCACACCATCACACCTCCTCCTCCATGCTTCACAGTGGGAACCAGGCATGTGGAATCCATCCGTTCACCTTTTCTGCGTCTCACAAAGACACGGCGGTTGGAACCAAAGATCTCAAATTTGGACTCATCAGACCAAAGCACAGATTTCCACTGGTCTAATGTCCATTCCTTGTGTTTCTTGGCCCAAACAAATCTCTTCTGCTTGTTGCCTCTCCTTAGCAGTGGTTTCCTAGCAGCTATTTGACCATGAAGGCCTGATTGGCGCAGTCTCCTCTTAACAGTTGTTCTAGAGATGGGTCTGCTGCTAGAACTCTGTGTGGCATTCATCTGGTCTCTGATCTGAGCTGCTGTTAACTTGCGATTTCTGAGGCTGGTGACTGGGATGAACTTATCCTCAGAAGCAGAGGTGACTCTTGGTCTTCCTTTCCTGGGTCGGTCCTCATGTGTGCCAGTTTCGTTGTAGCGCTTGATGGTTTTTGCGACTCCACTTGGGGACACATTTAAAGTTTTTGCAATTTTCCGAACTGACTGACCTTCATTTCTTAAAGTAATGATGGCCACTCGTTTTTCTTTAGTTAGCTGATTGGTTCTTGCCATAATATGAATTTTAACAGTTGTCCAATAGGGCTGTCGGCTGTGTATTAACCTGACTTCTGCACAACACAACTGATGGTCCCAACCCCATTGATAAAGCAAGAAATTCCACTAATTAACCCTGATAAGGCACACCTGTGAAGTGGAAACCATTTCAGGTGACTACCTCTTGAAGCTCATGGAGAGAATGCCAAGAGTGTGCAAAGCAGTAATCAGAGCAAAGGGTGGCTATTTTGAAGAAACTAGAATATAAAACATGTTTTCAGTTATTTCACCTTTTTTTGTTAAGTACATAACTCCACATGTGTTCATTCATAGTTTTGATGCCTTCAGTGAGAATCTACAATGTAAATAGTCATGAAAATAAAGAAAACGCATTGAATGAGAAGGTGTGTCCAAACTTTTGGCCTGTACTGTATATATATTAAAAATATAGAATTTGCAACGTATAAATGACACAGCATAGGTATTGATACATGTTTATGTTACATTACAAAAAGCCTAATGCACAATCATCAGTCAGCCTTGCTTCGTCTATATGACACGTTACTGGGTTCAAGTAAGTTGATGAAAGTTTCGTTTCTGTGCATTTATTCATGCAGCTGATGCTAGTGGCCAATCAGGATAAATGGTATGTAGAGATGCACCGATTCAGCTTTTTCAGTTTCGATACCGATCCCGATGCTGTGGCTTTGAGTATTAGCCGATACCCGAAACCGATCCGATACCATGGTTGACCTAAAAAGCTATATACCTTTACATGTAGAACAGAAAAGACTAGAGGCATCAGGTATTGGTGACTACACAGTTCTTTCCTAAGATAAAATGAACCAAGATGAAATTGTGCAACAGCAGTTAAAATAGTGTGAAATACCTCCACACAGCAGATTTTCTCCTTCACTCCATGACGTATGATGTAGCTTGCGTCGCAATAGATTTAAAGGATCTCCTCAGGTATAGGTTGCATTTTCCGATACCTGATCCATCTATTTTGATGATATCGGGGCCGATATTTGATCCAGATATGGGATCGGTGCATCCCAAATGGTATGTCAGCCAGATGAAATGAGGATAGTACTCTGTGTATAGGTAGTAATAGTTATCTCTGTGATGGCTATGAGCGGTACAGTGTCTAGGGATATTCCAGCCAGTCAAAGGAAATAAAACACATGGCTGGTTTGATGCAAATCAACTGTTTCAACCCACTCTTTTTATACTTTGTGATGGGTTTAAACTGTCAATAAAACCATATTAAAGAAGGATACTGTACTGTAGTGTTTTACTGACCCCTGCCTTCAAACCAGCATAGTCCAAAATTTCAAAGGTATTACATTTACAGTGATTTAAAGCAGACAACGGCAGTAAGAGATTAAATTCAAGACACTTGAACAATTGAATGTGCTGCATTTTACTATATCAGTGACTAAATGTGAAAGTCCAAACATTGTGTTGAAAAGATTGGTTCAATGATTTTGATACCTGATGATCATCTTCATGATTAATCAATCACATTAATGTTTCACATTATATTATTAATTAAATAGCTATAGTTAGGCTAACTGTGTTTTTTACTTCTCTGAATGCAGCTTCTATGAGCTACGTCTGTTCGCCCCAATCAGAGGATGTATCCGCCTTCCAGAAAGGACTTCATCTCTCTGACACTCAGTGATCCGCACAGTCACACTTACAACAACGGCAAACACCGCAGACAGTCCTGCTGGAGGGTGAGTGGTCCTGCAGGGCAGTGTGCAGACCATGACTTTAACACAGTGTCTAATGAACTTCTGCTCATTTCATGTTTAACATATTCACACTAGACTGCCATTGTTTACACGCGGTTGTGATCCGCCTCTGTTGGTCCGTACACATCACTGCCCTACAGCAGATTTATAATTGATGGCAGTGGTGGAAGATATGGATAACATCTTCTATCACAGCACATGTCATTTTCGCAAGTCAGTCACTTTGATTTCTGGCAGCTCTTTCAAGCACAGTTTGAAGAAGAGCCATAGTGACCTAATGTTATGCAAGCTCTGAAATCAGGCTAACGTTGGTGTTGCATTTAGTAACGACCCAATGTCGCTGTCACTAAGGTGATAGTCAAAAGACCCAAAACACTATATGCATAAACAAACTGTAAATACAAATACAATATGTACAAAACTGTTAAAAGTAAAATAACTAACCTAAGGATGACAAAGCACTGTGATCACTAAGGTTGAAGGTCAGTTTGTGAAATGATATACATCACACTATATCATGTGAGTAGTGAATATGAAGAGAGGTGACAAATTCACAGAAAAACCCTGAAGAAAACATGGAAAACCTAATTAATACAGATGCTTCGAGCAAGGTTCACTGAATGGTTTGATGATTAGAAAAATGTTGCATCCATAATCACCAGATCATCGAACACCAAATGAGTGAACACCTTCTAAATGAATGGTGTTCATCGCTGCAGTAGAGTGTAGAGACTTTCAGAATTAATAAGTTATTAATAGAAAACAAGCACAGAAACCTCACTTGATGTCATGTTGCTTTTTTCTGTCAGCTGTCTTCATAGTGTGATGCAGCACATTTTCCAGAAACTATTTAAAGATAAAATAAGATGATGAGAACGTCTACAATTCCAGTGAATGAAGTACCTGAGAAAGGTACTTCATATTGATGTAGCAGTCTTGTAAATCAACTATTGCCGTGAAGCAGTCCTGCTCATTGTTTCATCTAATGGCCTGATATAATACAACTAAAGATATTAAAGGGATACCTGCACTTAAATAGTATAGTATATGAGTTGCTCAGTTCTGAGTGACTGCAAAAAGGCTTCAGCTGTAACCATCCAGCTCCTTGATTATGCCTCAGATCACCATACTGCGATAGAGCATCTCTGTCTTCATGAAATGCACTTTTTTTTTTTCTTTTGAGACAAATCGATTCCTAGGTTTCAGACTTCATTTCTTACACCTCCTTTGTTGTCGAGCAGCCTGAACTTTCAAACTCTTCAGATAAAAGCATCCCCTGAGCCCATTATGTCTCTGATCACCACAGTCAGATAAAACAAATTTCGCTCATCTCACCATCTCTTCTCGCCCGTCTCCCCTGCACATTTTCTTTTTATCTTGTTTTCTTTACTTTCACATCTCCTCCTTTTGCCCTCTCACTCTGAACCACCCTCATATCCTTTGTTGGTTTTGAGACTCAGGTTTTTCAGGTATATTGTGTTGCACTTATCATTTTACATCTCATACTTTTGTTTGCTCTTCACTCCTGAGGGAGGTTTGCTGCTTTCTTTATATGTAACCTCTCATTGTTGTACAACTTGTCTCACACCTTTGCTTGTAATGAGATTGTAACTTAACCGATTGCTTCTGTTTTACACAGTTAATCTGTTTATTGTACTCATGCTTTAAGTGCAAGGATTACAAGTGTGCTTTTTCACCAAGCAATAACAGATTTCTTTGTTCTGTACTTTCACTGTTATTTGTAATGAGTGCAGCATACACCAGATGTGTTATTCACTGTCTTGCTCTTGATACACACTGACTGACACCCATTGCACAAACATAAAGCACCATACAGACAGGGAGAAGTCAGGCAACAGTAGCCAGAATGAGCTGTTCTGTGAGGCAGATGCGATGAAATTGCTGCTTTTTTATGGAGAGTTGAATGCGTCTGTGATGAGAAATAGGACAGTGGTGTATCCTGATGCACAAAAACCTGCAGTGATGCACAATCAAGACACCGCGGGTATGAAGGCTTGCACAGAAAACAATGGGTGCAGGTGTTATGACGTGCATATGCTGCCAGTGTGTGTTCCCTTTGGTTTTGTAAGATGTGGCCTAAAACGTTTTTTGGCCCAACAAATCTGCTTTATTTTGAACACAGTTGGACCATCCCTCAAAACATAATCATCAAATGGTTATCTTAAATGGTCATCTTAAATCATCATTTCAATACAATCACTTCTGTCACTTCTCCTTTCAGAACTGCAAAATGGCACAGTCAGCTCTCATAAAGTCAATTCATTTCATTAGAATTGAAAAGGCAAACCAGCTTCTCTCATTGACTGATCTATAACATTTTATTTCAGCAGTATATCAACCGACTTTTTTTCTACAAAGCCGGCTTTATAGCAGAGACATCGATGTGGCTCAGCACTCCCCTGTACCTGAGGGTCGTCAAACTTGATTACGGTTTATGTTTCCTGAAAAAAAACATTCTCTGCAAATCATGTTCCACTGAGTGGCTTGTTGGCTCAGTGTTTATGTCCTCACTTCGCCACATGCTTTACCTCTATTCACATTGAATTCTGAGGATTTCCAAAGACATGCGAGTCAGGTGAAAGCTCTAGCTCTCTCCTATTGTTGTGTGTGAGTGTGAGCGATTGTCTGTGTTTCACCAGCCAACCTGCCGAGGGAGTTTCTCTGCCTCCAGCCCAGTGCAGATAGAGAAAATGAATAACTGTATCTTCTTCAGTGTGCAGTATCATCTTAAATATACCACAGATGCCTGGCTGATAAAATGAAATTGTCCTGAACTTTCTAAAAATGCACAACTGGACTGATTTGCGTATGCTGATGCTGCTGTGGTGAATGAACTACAGCAGAGCAAAATGAAAACATCTCCAGAGATAAAGTCTGTTGTGCGTTCGTCACAGCTCACAGACGATGGCTCAATAGTTTCATGATATTGCACAGGTGTTAATTAGAGCAGGTAACAGAGTGGCGCCACTCTGCCTGCTAGCCTTTTCTCCTGAGAGACCCTGAGTCCCTCCCTCTGCACTGCTGGGTTGAGCTGGTTCGATTAGGTAGTTCATTTGTGTGTGGGTTAAGGCTTCAGGTGAAGAGATGTTGGGTTTATACAGGGTAAGCCAGACTAGGAAGGCCATCAGGCTTCTCTTGTTTTGAGTCTGCTATTTTACAAAGGAGGCATAAAATGATTTGTGAGATATTTTAAGAGGGGAGAATCTGCTGATAGACGCTTGGGATTTGAGTTCAGAGCTGTTAGACACGTTTCAGTGTAGTTAAGCCTGTTTTTTTTTATCTGCCTACAGAAATGGAAGCAGCTGTCTCGGCTCCAGCGAAGCCTCATCCTGTTCCTGCTGGCTCTGCTGCTCATATTTGGACTGCTCTCCTATCCCAGCATCGCAGAGCAGTGGAGAGGTAAACAATGCCTGCACTACGTCACACACACACAGGCAGAGACAATGTCTGAATGGTATTGCTGCGTGACTGGATGAAGCTGATGAGTTGGATTGCCTACGTGCTGTGTGTGGGGTGATAAATTGCACTGAATTACCAAAATGCCACATGAAATGCTGTGATTGTTAATCTCTTTGTTTAGATGTGCTTGTGCATACCTGCTTGCTTAAACTCTTATATATATCATGCTCTGTATTTGATTTTCAGACCACGTCCACACTGAGACGGCTAAATCAGAAAATGCTTCTATTTTCTTCTGTTTGGGCTTTCCGTCCACGATCAGTTAGCATTCTTTTTTCACACCCAGAAAAGTGAGCTTGTTGAAAATCCCTCGTCAGAGTAGATAAATCTGAAAACTCCTTGCATTTTTGTGCAGACTTGAAAAATTGAGCTTTTGGAAAGGGATGATATATGTATGTATGCCTGCTCAGACTCGTGTGAGGCTGAAGGATGATATTTGTATTTGAGCTGAGACTCAGACGAGGCTGTGTAAAGTTAGGAAGGCGAGTTTCTGTGGCCAGCTCTTTGAAGTCTTGTTTAACATTATGTATTTTGTCAGACTACTAATACATTGATAGCTGTATAATAAGTGAGCCGGCACAGTGTGGACTTAAACTCAGCTTGTCTTCTTACTCATTCTGTGTGTTTAGGTTTATCTGACAAAGAAGACTGGCTGGAGCTGAATGACAGAGAGATTAAGGATATTCTTCCAGGTGTGGAGTCCATATTGGATGGAGCTGCAGGTAAAGCTCTGCCTCCTGTGGCAGGGCCACATGTGGGGCCAGCTGTGGATCCAGATGTGGGCGCAGATGTTGTGATGAAGCCCAGAGGACCAAACATCCCCATGTTGGCGAAACCTCCCACTAAGGTTAGACTTGTGGTCATATTTATTCATTTCACATCAATCAACATCAATTAAATAGAGTATGCAAGAGTTGGCCAGGATGGACAGATTCTCAGTTGCAGCTACACTATACCTGCAACGATCTGATATGTTAATTACAGTCAGAAGCATTGCACTTACATCACACATGAATAAGTGATAACTAGGGCTGCCCCCAACTAAGAATTTTCCTAGTCAACCAGTAGTCATCATTTAGGGCCATTTGTTGACAAGTCACCGGCATGCTTACAATATTAATTTAATAACTGAAAAAGAACTGAATTATATATTTTGGGCAGGGCAAAAGACCAAAAAGACATACAAAAGTGTATTTATCCACAGACTAAGATCTTCTCAAACAAGAGAGGTCCGCCAAGCCTGCAGAAAGATGGAAATATTTCAGAAACAGTCGCTGGGGAAAAGCCAGCACAAGAGGTGGTTCAAGAAGAAGAGGGAGAGGAGGAGGACAAAGACAAGAAGATTGTCAGGTGATCTTTTTGGGGTTTTTTCCCCCAACTGTGCCAAAGGTTTTGCAGCTTTTAAGACAAACAGACGACATGTCAACATGATATTGCTCAGAATATTGGAATCAAACATTTTGCAGCTGCACCCAAACCCTGAAGCCCCTGTACCAGAGAAGCAGTTATTAATAATCAAGGTTTGTGCTTTTGTCCCGCAGCTGGAGAGGAGCGATGATAGAAGCCGACCAGGCCACAGAGCCTCCACCCTCAGCCAATGTGAAAGAAGCTGCAGCAGCCCCAGCCAACCCTGCTGACACTGTCACAGTGGAAGGTCAGTGCCAAGCACTTTCTTTGTTTTTGTAATTCTTACAAAGAGCTTCAGGGCCTGTGTCCACATAGTGTTCTTTTTCAGCAGAATGGTGGTGGCAGGGTGGTGGGAAGCGCTTCATCCCAGTGCTTCCTAAAGAGCGTTTGTTTTTATGACAACAGTATCTTGACAATAACGTTAGCTAGGTAGCTATTGAAATGCTATGTCAACTGAGAGCTGACTACACAGTTGACAACAAGCTAGTCTTGCCACCAGACAATCAGAGATCTCCACCTTCTGATAGTCTGGGGACACTCCTTTCTAAAGTGTGTTTAACAAACCGGCGAAAACAGCCGGCAACAAAGCAACGCCTCTTGCATTTTTGAAAAGGACACACCCTCCCGGAAATGTGCACTCCCCCTTTTCTCGTCTGCAAGGAAACAAACACACAGAGAACTTGAAAATGGATGCCGAGAGATTTAACTCTGTCACTGGTTCGTTAGTGCTCCAATGGTGTGTCAACGACAGTCGTTGAAACTCCTGCTGCAATGCTGCAGTTGGAGTCGTTAGAGTCACATGAGGCCATTTATGAACGACCATTGTTTTTAGAGGTTAAGTTGTTAAACCTCCTGGGCAAGGATGAAAGGACAGCATTATAGGTGGGGGATAGGTGGTGTCGCAGACCTCCTCCTCTATTGAGAGATGGCTTTTCCAATTTCACATAGATGGCTTCTTTTACACCTCTTTCAAACCATCGGTCTTCCCTGTCCAAAATGTGCACATTGCTGTCTTCGAAGGAGTGTACTTTCTCCTTGAAGTGTAGATAGACAGCTGAGTCTTGCCCTGACGAGTTAGCCCTTCTATGTTGGGCCATGCATTTGTTTAGTGGTTGTTTTGTTTCACCAATGTACAAGTCTGGGCATTCCTCACTGCATTGGACAGCGTACACTAGGTTGCTCTTCTGAGTGTGTGGTGTACGGTCTTTTGGGTGTACCAGTCTTTGTCTGAGTGTGTTACTGGGTTTGAAATACACAGGGATGCGGTGTTTGCTGAAAATCCTCCTGAGTTTTTCAGATACCCCAGACACATAGGGGATGACAATGTTATTGCGCTTGTTCTTTTCTTCCTCACCCACCTTGTTCTTTCTGGAACAGGCTGCTGATTTCACAAAGGTCCAACTGGGGTAACCACAAGTTTTTAGAGCCTCCCTCAGATGTTCATGCTCTTTCCCTTGGGCCTGAGTGCTGGTAGGTACGTTATCAGCTCTGTGTTGTAGGGTCCTGATAACACCTAGCTTGTGTTCCAGTGGGTGGTGAGAATCGAACAGTAAGTATTGGTCTGTGTGAGTGGGTTTCCTGTATACCCCAATGTGGAGGCCTCTGTCCTCTGTAATGTGCATGTCACAATCCAAGAAGGGCAAACTATTCTCCTTAACATCTTCTCTTGTGAACTTGATGTTTCTGTCCACTGAATTGATGTGTTCAGTGAAAGCTTGTACCTCTTGAGTTTTGATTTTAACCCATGTGTCATCCACATATCTGAACCAGTGGCTCGGTGCTGTTCCCTCAAAGGAGTTCAATGCTCTGTATTCTCACAGACCAATACTTGTGAAGACCTCCCCAGAGGTTAAATACCTGGGTGCTTCCACACCAGTTTGTCAGACTAGTTCCAGCCTAGTCAGACAAGCATGAACTGATGAAGCCTCTTGGATAAGAGGTGAAACGTCTTCTAAGACAAAACCAAGTCCAGTTGCGTTCAATTCAATTGCCTTGAGATAACTATGACCTGGATGAATGAGAATATCCACAGGCATCTTACAAACTGTACAGTGATAAAAACACAGCACTCACCAGCAACACTTAGTGTCTGCCAGCTGTTCTGCTCCGACAAATGGGCTTTTCTGTCCTTGTTGGGACAATAGCCTAGCTGAAGGAGCACCAGTGACATCACCAGCACCATTTTGAAAAGTTCAATAAGAAGTGCTTGGAGCAGCCACACAAAAAAGGCAGAGCACTCTGAAATAAGATGCTGGGCAGTGTGCTATTACTCTAGATGTCCACATGCGCTCTCTCTCATTGGGAACAAATGAAAAAAGAAGCACTGAGGAAAAAGTACTATGTGGACACAGGCAAAGGTACAAGGTCTGCAGCCAACAATTATCCATTATTCTGTTGTGTCAGATTTATGTCCGAAACTAACAAAAACATTTCCATCACAAGTTCCCAAAGCCTAAGGTCAGAACTTCATGTCTTGCTTTGTAAATCTAACAGCTCAAAACACAAAGATTTTCACTTAATAATGATGTAAAATGCAGAATGTAAAATGCATTGTCATTCTTTTATTGTTCTCCAGCCCTGTATCATTGAGATCCTCCTCTTGCATTCTGTTTTCTCTGGAAAAGTGAAAAGTTCAGACTGTCTTACTCTTTGGGTCCACTGAGTAACTTTTCCCCTGAAGTAGATTCTGTAACATGGCCTGGTCCAGCTCTACTGGTGTATGCTGTTTAAAGCCCAGCACCTTTTTTTACCTGAAAGTTTGAACACTTCTACCTCGCAAGATACAGCCCTGCTGTGCTCAAAGCAGCAGCAGCACTCATGGCACAGAATATTCCCTCTACTGAAAATAATCAGAAAATGAGACGTGTTCTGTTCGGAGGGTATCCTAGAGGAAACACAGAATTTTAAGATCACACTTTCATTTTTTATTCATTCCTTTGTGGGCCTTTGTTTTTAGTTTCAGCTGGAGCCGTGGACAGACTGGAGGCAGTGCGTAATGCCTTCAGACATGCTTGGAAAGGCTATAAGGAGTACGCCTGGGGTCACGACGAGCTCAAGCCCATCTCCAAGTCTTTTGGCGAGTGGTTCGGACTGGGTTTGACGCTCATTGATTCTTTGGACACCATGTGGATTTTGGGTCTGAAAGAAGGTATTGTGTGTTATTCCCTCTCTTGCTCTCATCCTTTCATTTTGTACGCTATGTACAGAATTGTGCCATCTCTAAAAAGTAGCTTTGCATTTGGTCTCAACAAACTTTAAAAGGGAACCTCATTGATTTAACACATCAAGTCTGTTTACAGGTGTTGGAGAGTTCTGCTGCATGTGTGAAAAATATTGTATAAAACCTTTTTGTGTCTCCTGAGGGAGCCGTGGAAAGTCTGATATTACCAGATCTCAGTAGCCCGCTCCTTATCCCTGCTTGAGGCTGGCGGCCTGAAAATTCATAGGCGCTACATTAGCAGCGTAGTTGCACTAGGGTATTGTAGGAAGGGGTGAAAATTAATATCACAATATTCCAGCTTATTTTTGCGATAACGATAGTCTTGACTACATGAGGCAAATAGAATTGCAGAAAAATAAGTGATACAATTTTACTTGTTAACCTAACATTTTGCCTTCAAATATCCAGTAAAAACAAAAATGATCTCTCCTTTCTTTAGTTTTTAAACAACAACAGTAACTCAGAGTGAGACTCAGGTTCTGTATACAATATTATAGTTCAACTAAATAAAATCTGCCACAAATTACACATTTAAACAGCTCTCAAATACAAAAAATGTCCCCTGGGATCTATATATATATAAATCAACAGGTGATTTCCTTCTTTTAGCAAAATCCTAAATGACTGAGTTGTTTTTTTCCACCTGGACCTTTATGCTCTGCCATTTCTCCTCATCACGCTGTAACCTGTGACAGGCTGTTATGATACCAGAACTATCACACATTCACATATATGCAGTTTTTTGTCAAGCCGCAAGCGTCACGTAGATTTACATTACCAAAGGTTTATGACTAAATCACTTGATGGCACCGACTCTTGAGTGCATGGCGAGAGAGGAGAGGGAGAGACGCTGTGCTGCTGACAGAGGAGCCACTGAATGAGTTCCCTCTGAGCAGTAACTCACTAAAAGAGTCTGAGAAGTCCGGGGCTGTTCATAAAACGTTCAGGACGCCACAGTTTATTCCACACTACTGAAGCTGCTCCTCTTTTTGGAACCACCGCAGAGTCTGTAATAATTTCGCTTGCAGCCATGCTTGTTGTTGCTGTGGGTAACAGTATGATGTCGAAGTCGAAGTATCGCAAATTTTTCATATCATTAAAAAGAATACCGGTATTATTGTTAACGAGATGATATGGCACACCCTAAATTGTAGAAGGAAGAACAATGCACTGCGTATGCACAAATCTGTGCTCAGAACGTGCGTACAAATATTTAAGTAGAAATCTGGGATTCATCAATGTTTTCTTTCCTGATTTTTTTTTTTTTTTCATTCTCTGCAAGCAAATTCGGAACTACCGCAGATGATGTGTATGCACAATTAATAAAGGCCTGGCTTTGTTAGAAAATGTAAACACACCTTTTAACTAAATGCATCGCATAATAAAACCACATTCATTAAAAAAAGCTTTAATAGACAACAATATTTGGCCTTTTTATTGTCTTCAATTATTGTCATAATTAAAATAATCCACTACAAAAACAGGATATATAACAGATTCTGATCCAACTCCAAGCTGCTGATAAGATAGCATATCTAACCCGACTGGAAGATATTGCTGCCCATCAGGAGAGAATGCATCAGAGAGCGACATGTTTGAACATGTTTGAAAAGAGTCAGCTGTTTCCGCTTTCACACTGGTGTGTGAGGGCCTTCATATGAGCGTAGAAACAACTTAACCACTTTCTCCATGATACACTTTTGGGCAAACGTTTTTTTGTTATATAAAGAATGAGGGGCGTGGCAGTTGGCTGATTACATATTAGTGAGTGAGGCCCAATAGCTCTGCATTGATTTGATTTTAATCTTTTTTCTTGTTCACTCTCCCTCGTGACTCCGACAGTGTTATACGACGTTTAATCAGTGGAATTTTCTTTTAAGAATCTGACAGTGCCTTGATCCAGTGTTTTTTTTGTCACAAGACCAATTGAGTATGTCACTCGAGGCAAAACCCTTAAGCCTGATTTACGGTAGGGTGCTCGACACTTTTGATAAGTGTTGCTTGCCGGAAATTGAACAGTGGCACGTTGTTTTCAATTCAAGCGTGGTTTCTGCTGAGTGACACTCATCGGAAGTGTCAAGTGCCCTACCGTAAATTAGACTTCAGAAAAACATCTTTGATCCACCATGATAAATTGGTTTTATCAAGTGTAATTCATTTTTTCCTCTCATTCTTCTTTCCACTCTTTCTTACTCCAGAGTTTGCAGAGGCAAAGGACTGGGTAGAGAAAGAGCTCTCCTTCGACAAGAACGTGGAAGTGAATCTTTTTGAGACAACCATCCGCGTCCTTGGCGGTCTGCTGAGTACCTACCATCTCACGGGAGACCAACTTTTCCTAGAAAAAGCTGTGAGTCAATTCATTACAGAGATTCTTATTGTCCGGGTTTCTTCTGTTGTGCTGTTATTTTAGAGCAGCAATGTAAGGCTGTTAGTTTTTCAAGATATTAGATTCAAACAAAGTAGAATGCAGCTTAATTGTGAACTACATTGTAGAGTTGATGAGGTTCGTGGTGCCGCCACTGCCTCACTTTAGTTTCAAGTTAACAGGTGACTTCAGATTTACTGATGTGTAAAGCAGTCGTATTGGCCCTTATAATTCTGTTTCTTCCCTCCAACAACAGAAAGATCTTGGGTCCAGGATGATGCCCGCCTTCAAAACTCCCTCAAAGATCCCATTCTCAGACGTCAACATTGGGAAGGGAACAGCCCACCCCCCTCGATGGACGTCTGACAGCACGCTTGCCGAGGTCACGAGCATTCAGCTGGAATTCAGAGAGCTGAGCCGCCTCACACAGGACCCACAGTACCAGGTCAGGAAACCAGGCTGGCCTCTATTGCCGTAACATGTGCAGTAGTGTGTGTGTATGTGCGTGTGTCAATTGCATTTGGCATTACTTCCAGATCTCTGAGATGGCATGAAAAAAAGATAGATATATGATTGAGGGTTTCAGTTTGGTTAAAAGCAGACTTTAAGTACAGCTTGCAAACACTTGTGATTGAAATGACAAGCTTGAGCAAGGATTCTCTTTAAATCCATCATGTTGTCAGTGTGTGAGTGATTCCAGAAGCTAGAGCTTTTGCCCCTGAAGAGCTTAAGACCAGTCTGACATTAATTTGAGTAATTTCTGTCATAACCTTCGCCAACCTCTGTAAGACATCGCTTTTGATGAGCCCCATTTCATCAAAGTGTGAAATTGTTAATCATTTTTCCAATGATACATTGCTTAAAGCGGTATTTTTCAAACATATTGACCCACACACCAACAGTAAGTGGAGTGAGGCTGTTGGGCTCATTATCTCATGTCTAGATGGTAATGGTAGCTCTTTTTATTTTTAACCTCTCCAGGACGTTGTGAATGAAGTAATGAAGCTGGTCCACAAGCTGCCAGGCAAACAAGACGGCCTGGTGCCCATGTTCATCAACACCAACAGCGGCCAGTTCACCCACAAAGGCGTCTTCACACTTGGTGCCAGGGCGGACAGCTACTACGAATACCTGCTCAAACAGTGGATCCAGGGAGGCAAGACGGAAGACGAGTAATGCCAACTTTATATTTCTCTGTTGATGTTGTGTGATTGTGGGAGAAAACACTGGATTTGAAGATGGAATAACATAGAAAAGCAAACTTGGTGTGTTACTTAAGAGACAGAATACAAAACATAAATGCAGAGGAATGTTGGTTATTTACAGAGTTTTAAAGCACAGAGAGACAATTCGAGGATTACCAGATCTGACGTGACATTCAGTGTATTTAAGTTGTCCGGCTGCTTAAGTCACAGCTGGAAAATAACTCAGTATCATATGTTAATTTTTAGTGGGATCAGATTATAATGAAATGATCATATCATATCATCATTTCCCAGTGAGTTAATTGGATTTAGAAATGAGACAATGGAACTCACTGCATGGCACCACAGAGTCCCTTTTACTAACCAGATGCGGCTGCATATTTTGACAAATAAACACAGGTCTCAATGATCTGGTTTTATTTGATCTGGTTGAGCTGGTGCTAAGCTGGTTAGATTGTGCCTACAAGTATAAATGTTTAAACTTATGTCAATATGGATACACTACAGTCCATTGTACTTTACACAATTCAACCATTCAGTCCATTTTACGTAAACCATGAGCACCAAAGTATAATTCAGTCGCATTTACCTGCATGGTAAACAAGAGAGACGACAAAAAGGAATTATTCCCTCCCTCTGAAACGGTCAAGTTTGAATATGTCTGTTATTTCCTTTCCTTTAGTACTTAAGGGTCCACCAGTGAAAATAATCACAAAGGTTTTTCCTAGAAATAAATCCAAGTTAACTCAAGTTAATCAAGCGCCATTAACTCTCTGTCTCTCTCTCTCAGTGCAGGATGTTGGACTAGATGTGCTGTAGGAGCTAGATCAAATCATATGTTATTTGATAGCCTAATTTTTGTACAAGTAATATGATTACTGGTTTACATAAATAGTTTGATAGTATTTCCCATCTTTGCTGAGCAAGAGTTTTGTGCAAAAGGAATTAAGGGACTGTGTTATATAGACACCAGTCCCAAATATATGACTGTTGAGTTTAGTGATTGAAACAGATAAAAGTTCAGGCTATTAATTGAAGTTTTAAGGTGTATTATATGAAATGTTTCATGTATTCCTCATACAGGGTGTCTACAGGTCCTTGTAAAGTCTTAAAATGTCTTAAATTCAATGCTACAACAATAAGGTCTTGAATTTGTGCGGTCGTAACTACTACAAACATTTAATCTAATTTAATTTATCCATTTTTAATTTCCTTTTGTGAAAACGTGTGAAGCCTTTCTATGTAAAAGTCCATATTTCTGTCTTAAAACTATAATACTGTCATTTTACTTCATACTTGCACTTAACTCATGTAGTTTGACTAAACTCACTCTAATAACCATATTCCTACATAACACTTACCACAAGACCACATATATAAGACCACATATATACTACTTGCCTGCGATGCTTACCTGCAATGCTTACATAAGTAAAACATGATTAATTTTGTCCAAAAATCTGTCCTAAATTTTGTTTAAATGTGTCTTGAATGGGTCTTAAAAAGCATTAAATTTAACTGCCTGGTACCTGTAGACACCCTGTCATATTGTAATATCTTTTGACACCATTTTCTTTTAAAAGTCGTTCATGACTTCAGTCATATTGTGCAGCCCTAAACTATTATGTCTAATATAATACTGACTATCTGTCATATTTGCTGTGTTTGTTTTGTCCAGCCTGTTGGAGGACTACCTGCAGGCCGTGGAGGGAGTGAAGAAACACCTTGTGAAACATACGGGGCCCAGCAAACTGACCTTTGTTGGAGAGTTGTCCCACAACCGCTTCAACCCAAAAATGGTAGAGATGCTTGCCAAAAGTCAGTGTGTGAAATACAGGGGGTGTCAGGAAGCTACGCCCCCTTATTTAATCTAGGACCTGCTGAAAGCCTCAAAATCAAATTTAGTGGTGTTGTATATTTTCTATGTATATTTTGTTGCTGATGCCAGATGTGTTTTAGAAGTACTACACACAGCACAAGGACCACCGACTGTCAAAGTGAATTTCACACACTGCCAAAACTCAGTGAACACACATCACAGACAATGAGCGCCTTGTTCAATCAATCAGCCTTTGTGCTTTTGTTGAATCAGTAGCTGTACAAACTCATGTACAGTCCAATCAATTCCAGCACTCATCATTATCTCTCATCATTTCTCAGCCACATCCTTCCTGATTGTACTTCTCTCTCGTCTCTCTGCAGGACCACCTCGTGTGCTTCCTGCCAGGAACCTTGGCGCTGGGGGCCCACAACGGCCTCCCAGGGGACCACATGGATCTGGCTGTGCAGCTGACGGAGACGTGTCACCAGATGTACACACAGATGGAGACGGGGCTGAGCCCAGAGATCGTTCACTTCAGCCTGCAGTCCAGTGATGGGCGCGATGTCATTGTCAAGGTGAGGCTAATAGCAGACAGGTGGCATGTGATCATCTTTTTTTTTTTTTTTCCTTTTGTTTTATGTACTTGCAAATTTACTAAACTAAAAAATGAGCATAGAGTGAGTTCAGGCAGAACACAATGTCAAGCTCAGCTCACATCCCAGCTATATCAGCTGATCTCAAACAGCCCAATCAACTGATAGAGCAGCTGATTGATGGAAGGGTGTCAGCTGATAGATCACATGATTCCTTTCTCAATCAACTAATTGGTGAATCTCATTCAGGGCGCCCTATTTAAACTGCTCTGGCCTGCCTACTGTTGCTGCTTCCTCTGCAAGCTGCTTTGCAACCTGCCTCCACCCCAGCTCCTCCTTTTCATGCTGTGTCTGACTTATCAATGCGATTTCTGTTAGTTATTGGCTCTGTTTTGTTCCCGGAGGTCTTTGCTGCTGCTCTCCCTGCCTCAGGCTTTCCTCGTTTGCACATTGAAGGGCAGAAAGGTGTGCTCTCTCTGCCTTAAGGGTTTACACGTAGGCCTGAGGAAAGGCAGAGTGGCCCCAGAACAGAGCCATACCGCCAAATATAATACTGCAAATGGAAATACAGTTGTCTTTGATGAAAGTGTTCCTGACTGAACTAAGAAAAATGCTCTGAATGGGAACTGACTTTTTCAAAGTGTTCAGCAATTGGATGAAAATCCTAAGGACCAGTAATAGTGGAAACCCTTTGTAAATTCAAATATATGTACATATGGAAGCACTGTTGTTACTTTCTATTTAATTCAAATTCTGTAATTTAAATTAAGCTACAGTATCCAAGAAGAGCAAAAGCCCACTACTGATTAATGAGTGAGCCTGCTGAATAAAATCGGCTATTCTAAATTTGTCATGGGAGTTGTGACCATGACCTTCCTCACCCTCCAAGGTGCTCATTCACTTTTTCATTAACTGCTCTGGGTTTATCAAGGCAGCCAATATTATTGTACTTGTCTCTGCTGCTACTTCATTAAACTCAAATGGAAGTATGAAACATCTTAAACATTTTCAGAGCTCATTGTAGCTCTAGCAATAAAATGTACGGAAATTAATGTCAGATAATTCATTTATTTCTCATGAGTCATTCATGGTGGACTTACCACTGGTGGAAATGGGGAAAAATGTTTGTCCTATGTAAAATAAAGTTCCGAAAATGATCATAAAAGAGATAAAGGTCCCTTGGTTGTTACTGTGGACTGTTTTATTCAACAGCTGGAGGATTACTTGTGCAGACGGGCTCTTCATAAAGTTTTTTTTTGTTTCATTTATTCTTTTTTGTGTTGTTTTATTTACTTAAAATCTTAGTTGACAAATCCATAGCGCCTCCATAAGCTCAGCTCTAGGATAAGATAACCTTTATAGTTGCGTTTTAAAGTTAGCAAAGTCACATCTCGCCCCGGGAGCTTTTCAAAGCATCTATTTTGTCCTGATGCTTTGTGCTTGGAGCCTTAGTTAATCTCCTTTCTTCCTTTTTTTCACTTCACCATCAAAGTGCTTTGAAGGAAGTACAGAGATACGTGTGTGCCATTGCTGTCCAACTATCTGTTGTGCAGTCATAGTTGACACTTAAATCTGTCTGCTCTTAAATTGTGTTTAGTCTTAACTGTAGCTATGCTCACTGATCTTGTACATGTTCATCATCTGTGGGACTTTCAGGTTGAATAAGGTTGATTTTGGTATTTATTGACATGTTCTTTACCCTCCAGCCTGCAGACAGACACAACCTGCTGAGACCAGAGACTGTGGAAAGTCTTTTCTACATGTACAGATTCACCAAGGACACTAAGTACAGAGACTGGGGTTGGGACATACTGCAGAGCTTCAACAACTACACTAAGGTACAGACAGGCTTATTAGTGTAACTAAAATGACCATTTACATTAGAGTTCTGTATCCATTAAGGACCTGTCCAAACACCTCCGCCTCTGCAGGTCCCAGGTGGCGGCTATACGTCCATTAACAACGTCCGTGACCCCGTTAACCCCGGGCCCCGGGACAAGATGGAGAGTTTCTTCCTTGGTGAGACGCTGAAGTACTTGTACCTGCTCTTCTCCGACGACATGGAGCTGCTCAGTCTAGACAAGTATGTCTTTAACACAGAGGCCCACGCTCTCCCCATATGGCCCTCTCCACCCAAGTGATGTCACCATACAGGAGACGTCTGTAAAGATGAGGCCTCGCAGAGTCCTGTGTGAGTCAGAGACTGTTATTGCCGCTCAGTCAGGCAAATCTCTTAAGCAACCGTCCGAGCTGGACTGCTGTGATGAGCAGCGAAGCAGACCTGTGCCGTCCACCTGTACTTTGATACGTTTTCATGTGAAGGAGTTTATTTTGCTTTCATTTTTTTTCCTTTTTCTTTATTTTTCCTAAGGAAAAGGTTTGTGTTAGAGCTGGTCTCTAATGTAAAAAAGCTTTTTTAAACTCAGCTCTGACTAGCTGGTGCCAACAGGAGAAGAAAGAAGATGGAGGGAGGGCTTTATTACTTGAGTGACTGGGATAGTTCTTGTATGTGTGTGGTAACAACAGTCATGTCCCTGCGTTTACTTTGCCATGTGAGGTTAAAATCCTCATCAGTCCTACATATACAGGTGTCATAGCTTTGAAGGAGCCCACAAATTCATTTTAACTCACCGATGTTTAAAGGTGCAGCAACCAATGATGGAAACTTATGGAGCACGTTCAGCTGCATTTATATTGAAACAGATTGCCACAGTGGTGGAGTCACATATTATCTGTAAAGTCTTTACTTTGGCAAAGCCCAGTGCACTTGCTCATGTATAAAAAGGACATAAAAGAAGTTAAAGGAGCTGTGTGCGACATTCAGAGCATTAACACAGCAGCAAACCATCATTTGCTATGTTAAGATATAGAGGAGTAATGGCGTCCTGAGCAAAGAATGAAGTCGAGCTTCCTCTGTGTGTGTTGTAATCTGAACTTCGGTCCAGCTGCATGTGCATGTTAGTGCATCTGAGTCCCTTAAGTGTGTCTCAGTCGTGAGCTAGTCGCTGCCACATTGCACTGTGCTTATATGGCACTACTGCTGATATTGGGTTGGCATTGTTGCGGAAGCGTAGTGCCTACCGTCTGGTTACCCTCCATGTTAACAATGATAGCTCTGCCAGCACTTTTGAGTTAGCACTTTTAGCTTGTAGCTCAGCCACCTCCATGTTGACTCTGAACTATAGATATGCTCTGAATGTTGCACACAGCTCCTTTAAGTTCTGCTTTTAATCCTTTTTCAGACGTCCGTCCCCTGAATCGTCCCATCCTACGCGGAGCAGTGGGCAGCTACACTACAGTGTCCAGGGACCAATTTCAGTTCTGAGGCCAGTGCCTTGTTGAAAAGCAAATGCAGAGTATTCCTAATATCTAACATGCATGTCTTTAATTAAATAAAGACTTTGAGAAAAGTATTAGGATGTGTATGGCGACGAAGCTTGCCACAACTTGGGGGTACACAAATACAATTATTTAAAACCTTATTGGTGATACTGTCGGATGCATCTAAGCCTGTTTTTGTTGTATGAGTATGAATTTTATTTAAGCAACTTTTTTGTTGCTTTCTGATCAGTCCAACGTGTTGAGCTCAATGGATTCCCATTGCATGCTTTCCAAAAATGAAGTTTGTCTTCTTTCAGCTCACCAAATTAAAACACTATAGCGGTTATTAAGAACTGCGAAGCCCCAAAATGCATTGCACTTACAGTAACTTAACATGGATTTCTTAACGGGCGCCACTGTTGCAAATGTAGCAAAGATTCTGTAGATACTGAAAGATAAAATGTTATCTACGGTAAAGCTTCCTGCACAGTCACACCTCATTGTGTTTTTAAGGGCAGTCTGGTTGTTGTTTATTGATCTTTTGGTTTAATGCGGCAGCAACAGAGTATTCAGTGGGTTTAAATCATATTTATGTGACCTAAACATTTGAAAGTGAAAGTATATGGAGGTCTATTGAATAATTAAGGCTCTACACATCTTATTTTATAGATGAATGTAAACATTGATCTCTACATTTTAATTTTACATTCAGTCATAGAGGAGCACTTGTTAGTGTGTTTACATGCACTCTTTCTTTATCCTAATTTGTTTAGTTGTATATGAAGGGATATAAGTTAAGGCTTCCATGCGGTCTTAAAGTGGAAACAGACAACTTTTCCCCCTATAAGTGTTGGCGCTGCTGACACAAAGACAACCAGATCACTTTCCTATAAAGCCTCACAACTACCACAGTTTCCTCCGTGACTTTGGTTGTTTCATTGTCCTCCATTTTCCCTTCTGGGGATAGTAGCTGCAAAGAACCTACACTGATACTCTTAGGTAACTGGGGATAGCTGCTGATAGCTACCGGCAAAAACCAAAGCACTATCCTCTTCCTGTTTTAGTTGAGCAGTGGTTGAGGCACTTAGTTTTCGTGGGAGATCGCACTCTGTGACAGACAGAATTGCATAAAGGAATGTGCCGAAACACAGATGGCATCATTATTCTATAGCCATTACATAAAGCAACCAATGTTTACTTCATAATGATAAGCTAAAGCAAAAAAAAAAGTCTATTTCCACTTTAAATCAGCAGTTGCTGTGAAGTTAGATCTAAACTCAGTACATTACCAGTTTGTGTGTCAGGGACAATATGCACGCAGCTGCTCATTCATCCTCTTCTCACAGACGACTTGTTTAAGAAATGAAGTATGTTGAATTGTTGTCTTCATACTTGAAAGAGTTTGATTTATGCTATGTAGCGATCCCTGACCTCCCATCAAATGTGATGCAGAGCAGTGTGGGAGCGCTTGTTTTCCGTACGGCAACGTCGACAAATCAATTTGAAGGGCACATCCGGTGCACTGTCGGAGCTGTGTTTTTTTACTATCACTTTCAGTTCTTGAGTCCAAGATGGATTTATGTCTCGGAGCATTTTTCAGCAGTAAGCGGTTAATTGGACCATTGTGTACAAGTTCTAACCATCACGTTTTGTTAATGAACTTCTGTCTAACAGAGAGCCATATACTGACCCGCATCAGTGAATGTGCACTACATTTGCCAATGATCTGCTGTGCCTATTGAAATGTATGTTGTGCTACAGTGGTTTGGTTCTGTTTTTTATTGCTGCTGTATCAGTGGTGTTTATTTGTGAATTGCTATGGGTGGAAGTTTGATTCACACTTACTTTTGGATGAGTGGGTGACAAAACAACATGGGTGTAAATACTTTGTGTAAACTGTTTCTAACTTGTGTACTGAATCCAACCTGTCCATCCGCTAATTATTGAGCCCTTTCTGGTCTTTGCATCTTTGTCATCAAGTTCTGTTTCAAGCAGGTCATTTTTGTGTCTACCCTTCTTTTTACGCTGCCCTTTTTCCTCTTCGTAATGGTAAATTTCATGGCATTCCGTCCAGATATCAGCGACAGTTTAACATTTATGGAGACTGATGTCTGATAATTGAGTGATTATCTGAGGTTTCTGCAATCTCTTTTGCTCCACACTGCAAGGAGGAGGTTTGGAGGATTAAATATCCTAATTAGGAAACATATTTAAAAGAAGGCTTACTTGATGTGACAAGGACATCTGTACTACAACTGGAAATTGGTTAATTCACAGTGTTTCATGGTTTATTAAACCAGTTTTAATTCCCGGTGCACATAAAATGATGATTAAATGAGAGATTTATTTCAGTACATTCATTAATATGTTTCTCTATTAACCTTGAGTGTTAATGTGACCACATTCGAACCAGACTTGACCTGTAAAGGAAGAGTTACGGTGCTGCAGTTGTCATGAGGTCCTATTATCTACTGAAGATGGTTTGTGTGACTTTCACAAAAAATATAACTCAAGGTACTTTTAAAAATTATCCTACAATTTAGAATTGTCAGCATGTGCATGGAGTGAAGTCCATGTCTGAAAGCTGCCTCAGGTGCTAAAAAGCATAAAAGACAGTAAAAATAAAGCCATCCCATCACAAGGTCACAAATGTGGGCGGGGGAGCCAAACTGAATCACTCAGTGGAAAACAGCCATACCTTCTAAAGGAACATTTTACCTACAAATTAACCATTTGTATATCAATTATTCACCCCATGTTACGCTGAATTTGCCAAGAAAACTTTATTTTTCCGCATGCCTCCTGTGAACAATGATCCAAAAATGGGCATAACTCCTGATGCACGTTTCACAACAGTAAAACTATATGAAAACATCCGTTCACAAACTTTCACACAACTCATGTTGTGTAATTCAAGTCTCATTTATCTAGTTAAATGTGTAGTACTTTCCAGAGACAGACAGACAGCTCTCTCCGACAGGGAACTGAAGTAGAAGTGAAACTTATCTATGCTGTCTGCCAAACTCCATTGACAAAAACTGTAATTTTACCTCACTGAACACAGGAGCTGCTGGTCTACCACTGGCTTGAGCTGTAGTTTTTATGGTATTGTGTGACTTTGTTGTTTTAAAGGGTTTGTTCGGACTCAGCAAAGTCACACAATAACTCTAACTAACCGATTGTAGCAGTGGTAGACCAGAATCTCCTGTGTTCAGTGAGGTAAAATTATTGTTTGTCAATGAAGTCTGGCTCTAAAGAGAGCATAGATAGGTCTCACTTTTACTTCAGTTCCCTGTCGGAAAGGGCTGCCTGTTTGGGAAATGCTGAGCAAACAGCTGTATAAATGAGACCTGAGGCCTGTACTACAAAGCCAGTTCAACTTACCCAGGAAATCTTCTCATTATCTGGCTCGACTAACCCTAACGTTGGCCGTCTGGAGAACAGGTACTACAAAAATGGCTATCAACTAGTTCAGTCAGCTCTGGGTTTTCCTATCCAGCCACGAGCGCATTCATGTTAAAGAGGCGGGGGTATTAATTACGAGTGACATCATCAGAACCAAGAATGAAATAGACTGCTTCATTCATTCAAGATGAAACGGTACCGAAAGTGTCTGGGACTGCAAGACAGTAAAATGTCAGTGGCGTGGGATCTAAGCGATGCTCTGTAATCTTATAACAGAAAATCTAGAAGCATTGAAAACACTATCCAAAAATTCACCATCAGCCAGGACTTAAATTACGTGCAGGTGTCACTGAGCTATAGGTGACATAAGTATAGAGTATTTTTTGCTGTTCAGTTGGATGATGATGATGAATATGTCGCATAAGACAATTTAAAGACTGTTTCTGCTGTCAAAGTAAAGGGTGGAAAAGTAGTTAATGACGGATGCGGTCTACCTGACTGAAATGTTGCATTTATAATAACGAGCCAAAGAGCCAATTAATAGTGTGTGGGTTATTTTACTTATAAAATATCATCTGTTTTATGCTAGTTCTCATCACACAGGTGTCTCATGTTATTTTGAGCTGCAGTGATGGAAGCAGAGTGTAAAAGTAGCAGCTCCGTTACTGTGGACTGAAGTAAACTCCGTGTTGAGCCCTGGAACAGTGAAATGATCCTACTGACCTATAACAATATATAGCCTCTTCTTTTTTACCCTAGACTCTAGACATTTGTCCATGGATACTTTTTCCTCAGTGATCTCATTGGTCAGAGGTCGAGGTGTTGACAGGCTGTCATCCGATACTCTGATGGTAACTTGCTTGGGGCAGGTTGGCTGTTCAGCATGAGTTGCCACGGTGATTTATCCTGGTAAAAAGAGAACTAGCTTTGTAGTGCTGAAAACCCTGAGATAACCCTGAAGCTAACTTCAAATCCTGTTTCGTAGTACAGGCCTCCAGATTGTCTTGCGTGAGTTGTGTGTGAGTTTGTTTTTAAATGGTCCCCCATGACTTCAGTTCATCAACAATTTTCTTAGTTTTTGGATTCTTCGTTCACTAAAAGGCATGCTTGAAAAACAAAGTTTTTCTTCACAAATTCAATATGACATGCAGTGAGGCACTCAGCCCCAAGGTCAGTGGTTCAATACAAATCTAAAATATGATCTCCTGAAACAGCTGGGTTACTCAAACAGGAGAAAATAGCAGATTTGATGGGAACTATTTTCAGTGTCCGATTAATACACAGTTTGTTCTCTAGCGAGTGTTTACGGCAGCAAGATGGTGTGTGTGAGATTGACTCAAGATAAACTAGTGTGTTCGTAATAATGAAGGAATGTGTCATCCGGTGAAACAGTGCGGCTCACTGAGGTGTTTTTTATAGTTTCTGGACAACAGTGGAGCTCAGTTTTTCCCTTGACCTTTATTTGTTTTATTCTGCGTTTGAATTGAAAAGGCCTCATAAACCTGGGCACCGTGCCATGTTGTGTATCCACAGAGAGATCTGGAGCCTGTCAAGTCAGAGCACAAAACTCATCAGATAAAAGACTCCACTTCATTCAGTAATACAACTGTAGACATGAAGACGCAGCAGGTGTCAGGGTCTTCACACTGATAGATACTTGGCTCTCTCTGTATAATTGCCCCTTTTATCTTTAGCAGAAATCAGCCTTTATGTCAGATATTCATGATCGCTGTTTTGTGTTACGATGCTGATGGTAACAGAAAAGATAAAAGACAAGAAATGACTCATTTAGCTCGACGGTGAGCTCCCACAGAAGCTATTTAAATTCTGCCTTGTTTCATTTTAATTATTTTTCTCCAGTGATTCTTCCACGTTAAGGAAATTGGGCAGTCTTGTCCCTTTTTTTAAAAATATGTATAATTGTAAAAGATTCTTGAAGTTGTATTTGCAAAATCCTGTCCAGAATTTTAAGGTTTATAAAACATGAGGATGCAGGATTTTAATGTACGGTATTTGTTTTTTGGTACGAGGCATTTTCTTCTAATCGACTCTCTCTTATATTATTGGCCAAATCCTACTTGTGATGGTTATGATGATAATTATTAATAATGTGATTACTATTGATTCCAAGCCATAGCAAAATGACAGCGTGACTATTTTACATGGATGCAGGCAAGAAAACATCAGTGTAGTTCATCGGCTTCTTGCCCGCAGAGGTTCCCTGTGTCAGGGGCCAAAGACATGGATCAATGTTGTTTTTGCTGGTTCAATCAATTAATTGATTCGTGCTAGTAAAGAAAAAAAAATCTTGACAGTAATCACTTGAGCCAGTGTGTTAGCCTGCGAGTTGATTCCTCATCTGCATATTTTGAAGACATGCTGACATGCAAAGTATTTATTTTAATTCAAGTGATTATTCATTTTCCTCCTTTTTCTTATACAAACTAATGAGTTCGGTTTTCAGAGCTGACAGTTTCACATGGTTTGCACTTTTCAAGGTTCTTTGTCTGTCTTTTTATCCGTCATTTATCAAATCCACGTCCACTGTACAGATGATTGATTGAGCACTTTGTAACTGGAGTTGAGGCTTATTGCAATGTTCACCCGATTCAAACTTTTTTCCTGCCAACTAAATTTTTAAATAAAGCTTTTCAATGAAGGGTTTTTGACTTTGTCTTGACCTAAATTTACTTTATTTTAAGGCAAGCTTGAAGAAGATTGTTTGGAACAGAGCCATCATGTCAGAGCCTCCTCCGGGCTGCATTGCTCTGCTTTCCAAATCCCCCCTCCAATAACTCTATGCATGTCTCGTACAAGTGTTGGACATGCTGCATGCTCTCTGGCATTCTCTCCTCGAAGGCATCCACGATCCGTAGCCAGGTTTATAAAGAAATTATTTTCCCAGTTTGGTGAGGAAGAACCTGACTGCCCTGCGCAGAGCCCTGACCTCAACCCCGTCCAACAGCTTTGCAGTGAACTGTTGCACTGACTGTGAGCCAGACCTTATCACCCAACATCAGTGTTGGAGCTCAGTAATGCTCTTGTGGCTGAATGGGAACAAATCCATGCAGCCAGGTTTTAAATTCTGGTGGAGAGCCTGAAACCAGAATAATGGAGGCAGCTACAGCAGCAGATTAATGCCCATGGTTTTGGAATGACATATTCGACAATCACATTTGAAAACATCAACCCCAGATGCCTTTGACTGAATACTAAATACTTTATTGTCAGCGTTCCAACACCAGGGGGCAGCAGAAGCCATCCATCACTGTCTTCACTACTAAGCCTAATGAATGAGACAAATGCTTACAGTTGCTGAATACACAAAGCAGCGCTCTACCTGGAAATACCTTTTTTATCTTCAAATAGGAAAGTCAGAGTGTGTGTGTACACGTGGAGTCTGCAGCAGGCACAAAAGACGGGGGATGAATATCAGAAAGACTCATGCATATTCTGCTGGTGCAACACAGTGCACTGTATTGCACCAGCAGAATATGCATGGAACTCTCTTTTAAAATAATCAAACAATTAATTTATTAATTTCCTTTTATCTTTTCCTTTCTAGATAAGAATAACTGCAGCGTTTCCTTCATGGCGCTACCTGGTGGCTCTATTTGCCTGTTTGACTGACATACTGTTAGAGACGGAAAAGACGTCCAAATCTACAGATTAATATGACTGATGTATGTAATACGATAAAACTGTTTCCACAGGACAGTGTTGACTTTTGTCATTGCTCTTTTCAGCCCCTGCTTTCACTCGGATGACCAGAGGATTTGTAGGTTGCTTGCTTGAATGCTTGACATGTCCTCAGACACACATTTGGTGGTTTTAGTGATCAATTTAGGCAGTAAATATATGAAGATATATAT